TAGAGAATTTAAGGTAAATGGCCAAAGATTAAATATTTATTTAGAAAATGAAAAATTAGGAGCCAATGAATCTATTTCTATATTAGAATCAGACTAAAAGCATGTATACGAACATTTTAACTTATGTTTAGTTTTTTAGTAGTTTAGTTAGTTTTTATTTACTCTTGTTGTTTTATTTAATAATAAATACAATAGAAAGTTAAAGAAGATATAGAAGAAAAATGATGCATGTAAGTGAACGAAAAATATAAATTTTTACTAAAAATGGGTGATTGAATTAAGAAGTGTAGGTGCTCTTTTTCTAATTGTACCCAATTGAATTTTTATTTTTTGATTGTTTCTTTTTTTGATATATATGATTTATGTACTTTCATGAATATTTTAAATCATAGGAAGTATGCATTAGATGCTCTCAACTCATCATTCGAGACTGTTGATTTTAGTTAGAGAGGAAGAGAGTGAAAAATGAGAAAATTGTGAGATTGTAGTATTTTTTTATTTTTTATTTTTTGAAAATCAGAAGTTGTATCTATAGGAAGTAGAAAAATATATCAAACATGAATAAGAGAAAGAAATTTCACATATCATGGATGGAACTTTAATAATTATAAATTAGTAATTACATCTATACATTAATATATCTTATATATAGATGTTAATTAATAGATAGAGAATGTAATTTTACGTGTTACCAACTCATTATGACATTCATAATGTTTTATCATTTAAGTCATAACACATATTATTTTATTTATACTGTGAAGACTAACTCCACTTGACTTTTTTAAAGTCAAGTGGTGATTCTTTCATATTTTATTGATAATTATTTGATTACAAGGACTTAAGTGAGCTCTTATTATGAATTGAAAGTAATAAAAGAAGCTCAAATTTTCAGCCCAAAGAAAAACTCAAGTCTTGTGAAGAGGGACATTTTAATATATTTATGGGCCCAAGAGAGGACATCATCATAGATTTAAAAGGGCTATCAGAAGATGAGATCTAGGTTGTCCATCTTAAGGTGTCTTAAGATAAAATTAAGAGAAGGATTAAAGCACCGTCCTCATAGAAGAATCTGGGTCGTTCACTAAGAGAGATGATTATTAATCAAAATTTTTTATTAAAGGGGCCTAATTCTTGAGAGGATTAAGGCATCTCACTCCCCTCTTAGAGGGCACTTTTTAAGTCTCTTTCTAGCAGTAGTTAGCCAAAAAAAAGGTGGAAAATTACAACCCGATCAATAACATTCTTGTGCTCAAAATCAACATAGAGAAGAGGTTACTTAGAGTGTATTAAGATCATTGCAGATCAAGCACCACTAAGCTTAGGATTAGCGCACAACAAGGTTTGTGTAAGATCTAGACTTAGGACATTTTTGTAATCTTCTCCATAAATAGATTAACTCTTAGTTCGAACTAATTTTACTATTTATACTATTATTCTATTATGATAGATTCATTCTCTGTTCTTTGCCACACTTTTTATTTCTCTTATCTTCACCTTTTTTAGATTTAATTCTACCCTTCACAATCTAAGTATATATTTATAAAAAATAAAATAAGTAAAAATTTTACTCTCATTACTCATGCTCTATGAGGATCAACCCTTACTTATCCTAAACAAAAGAGTCAGGTTTAATAAATATTATTTACATGAACTATGTTATATCACAATGACATATTTAATCCCTAAATTGAGTTCATCAAACCTAAATTGAAGGAAGCCCAAATCTATTTTTTTTTGGTGAATTTTCTATTACATTAAATAGCCAAATATTATGTAGGAAGTATGTTGAAGGGAACTGGGCTAAGATAGATTAGAAGTTTTAATCTAAAGTATTTAACTACCCATGAAGTACACAATTTGATCATGAAACTGAAGTTGTCATTTTTTCACAGCTTGATAATATTTATGCTAAGTATTAAGATGTAAAGAAATTATGAAAGTAGTCACTTTGAGAAGAAATTAGGTAAGTCAATAAGAGGAAAGAACCAAACTATTTATATTTTTAGACAAAGTGAAAGGCTCAAAAGACAAATGAGAAAAGAGAAATGGGGTCTTCCCAATTGTCTTGTGGAGCTTCCACATGTGCCATTTTGTCAAAAAAAATAAAAAGAGGGGGAAAAGCTACCTATTAGTTATTGTTTAAATAAAGGGATTCAATATAATCATATATCTGAATATTAACATTCATGATTGGTGTTGAAAGTGATTATGAAATGAGATCCGAGCCAAATGATATTTAGTATTTACAAACTAATGGATGTGAGAATGTACAAAAGAAGGGAAGTGAGAAATTTTATGGAATATATATGGGTGGTTTGAAATTTGAACTAGATTTTGTAATGAGGAAAAAATTGAATTCTGTAAATAAGAAGAAGAAGAGAAGTTAGATCTAGGAATTATGAAATAATATGTGAAATGATTGGATCTTATTTATGAATAGATGATATAAACCTTTATGTAAATTTCTAATACAAAATATTTATTTTTTTGGTAAAACATAATATTTTTTTTGATGCAACATTTTGATCAAAGTATTAGAATGAAAAAGAGAGTTTATATTCAATGGAGTCATTATTTGTTTATTTTCATTGCTAAGGGATTATCAATGAGGTAAGTTAGGGGGTGTGATAACTCATTATTTTTTTCAGAAATATTTTCAAATATTTTAATCTAGAAATTACATATTGAAATTGACCATAAAATATTTTGAGAAGTTTTACCAATGATTATTTTCATTATCAATATTCTTGTTTATTAGTTTCATTTATTGAAAAATATTTCTTGAATTTTTATGACCTTATTATAATAAATCATAAAAAATGCAAAAAGAAGCAAACTTTGAACAAAATTTTGTTTTTAGATTTTTCCCATGAACAGTGAATGTAATAGATACAGTGAGAAATATAGCAGATGATTTGATGAAATTGACAGAATTAATGCACAAGAAGATGAAAAAACTACGAGAGAGGAAGAATAGAGCATCTTCGATCAATGTATCACTGTCTACAACCACATTCTCTCTCCTCTAGTGGTGACGAATGTCAAATTCACCAAAATCATCCATATAATACAAATGATGAATTTCTTCTTGATTTCTCCTTGATTCAGCCACTATAGAAGCTAAGCTTCATCTACAAACTCATCTCATTCTTCGTCCAATACAAATGACAAAGAATTTCTTCTAAAGATCCTTTTCCATATTTCATAGCATGCACAAAATCGAACCATCACCATCGATCGATTCCAATAAGTGATAGTTCTTGGGATCATCATTCATCAACTAGAGATTGTATAGGAATGTACTTAGTGCACCGCACTTGCACAAATTAATCAATTTGAGCAGAAATTTGATCGACGACTATTTTGCCCATTCTTTTGTAAAACTTGAATATTTGCATGATTTTTAGTCTTTTTTGCTTTATAAGAAGTTTGATTTAGTGCTACACCATGTTATGAATAATTTCTCTTTTGAAATCCATTTTAATTTGAAGTATTTTGTATTTAATTTTGAGAAATACGAGTCAACATATTTCCTATGCCTTGAATTTGGGGGTGTTCTTTGCAGGCTGACATATGTTGACATCATAATCCCTATTTTTTTTAATTTAATTTTATTTCTAAAATATTTATCAATTAATTGGAAATCATAAATATAACCAACTGATTTTTTTATCTTCTTGGAAAAACCCCTATGCATTTAAATATTTCTAAATTGGCTTACTTTCTAATATTCATAAATTTTAAATTTGCAGAATTTTCTTTATAATGACACGAAATATTCAGACACTATTCATGGGAGTTCTCTTCTATTTTCATTCTATAAGATCATACTTATCTAATATTTCTCTTACATATTTCATTATGAGATGAATATAGTTTTCTTCAGTTTTTTATTTGGAGACTTAAGAAGTAGCTTAATTTGTGTATCATCTCAAATTTATTATTCACTGCATCAGCAAATTCTAGACAAAGAAATTCATCAATTGAACCAAAAACTATATCATCTATATACTTGAACAATGAGTAAATGATCATATATGTCCTTAGTGAATAGAGTTGTATACAATACTATCTCAATTAAATCTGTTTTTTAGTAGAAATGATGTTAACTTCTCATAAAGTCCTTAGAGCCTGTTTAATCTCATAAAGTGCTTTTGATAATTATATGGCATGTTCAGAATGCTCTTCATTTAGAAATCTTGAAGGTTGACTCATGTAAACTCTCTTTATTGTCATGATTTAGAAATGAGCATTTGACATCCATTTGATATAGGATAATATTTTTATGATATACATAGGTGATAGTATTATGATTGCATCAGTCATGCCATTAGTGCATATGATTGCTCATAGTCTAATCCTTCAACTTGAGAATACCTTTGTGCTATTTGTGTAACTTTATTTCTAATGACTTTGACTTCTTCATCTAGTTTATTTTTGAAAACCCACTTGGTTCCTATGATGGACATTTCATTTGTTATGGGTACTAGAGTTGAAACATTACTTTTATTAAACTGATTTAGTTCCTTAGTTATAACAGTGGTCCCATTTTTATCATTTAATGCTTTATCAGAATTCTTTGGCTGGATCTTAGAAATGTTTGGAATGACAAATCATCTTTATGTTCATCTTTTGAATAACTTCTTCATGACTATATGCAGCCCACCTATGAAAAAATTTGAGATCTAAATATTATTTGAAAGATCTTGCTAAATTTACCCTTTGTAGCATTACCTTTTTTCAATTCAAATTCTCAAATCGTGATTTGCCACAACTGTAATGATAATGTTAATCATAAGAATATCTCAGAAATATTCAATGATAATTTCAATACTTATCTCAAAGTGGGCTTTTAAAATTAAATATTATAATATTTTTCATTGAAACATTCTAATTGAGTATTTTGATTAAAATCAGAAAATTACTCTAATTAGCCTTGGTGGAAGCACCCATCCTTCAAGCACCAAGGTGGAACCTACCTTTTAAGTTGATGTGTGATGCATCCAACTATATTGTGGGAGTTTTATTTAGACAAAGGGTTGACAAGAAGTTTAAATTATCAGCATAAACAACTTAATGATGCATCATGTAGTGGTTATTATGCTAAAAAGAGTGAAGATCATGCTTATAATCTTCTTGAAGATTTTTCACTTTCTTATAATTATGCCTCTTCAGATTTTGATAAAACTAATCCTCTCTTGAAAAAAGATGCTGTTTATGAATTGATGAAGCATGAAGATAAGAATTTTAGGAATGAAGTCAATGAGATAAAGAAGAAGTTGGAGAAGCTGCCCTCTTCTCAAGGTACACAAAACCCTAATTCTTCAACTTTGAAAATTTCAATTTGTTATATTTGTATTAGCATTGGTCATGATGAAAATACTTGTCTGAAATTTATACAATCTATGAATCATGATCACAAGCATGTCAATGTATTTTTGAAACCTAATTTTAATTCTTGTCCTCATTAAAATTATCTTTGGAATTCAAATCCACAAGGCATGCAATTTTCAAAACCTCCATCTTACGATTTTCAAAATACAAATCCTTGTTAGAATCCTTTATATTCTCAAAATTCTAAAACTTCTGAAATTTTTTAAACCCATCCATTTTTAAATATAATTTTAAACAATCATGTCTCCTTTTCAAAATCAGATGCCTTCTCAAAATACTCCTCATCTTCAAAACCATTTTCCACATCCTATGCACAATAGAGTGCCTTTAGGAGCTCCATCTCATGTTCATAATCCCATTTAGAGGAAACTATTAATTCTTTGAAGCATCATTTGCATCATCAGCAACAAGCTATGGTAGAACTCATGGCCTAAAATTAACAAATATTACAAATGTTTCAGAGGTCAAACAATCAAGTGGGCCAAACCCAAGAGGGCAACTCTCTAATCAAGCCATAGCTAATCCTAAGAATGATCCTCTTGGTTTTGCACCTTCTTCTATCCCTAATGTCTCCATGATTGATGACAAGACGTCAGTAATAGCCAAGGATCTCAAATAGAAGAGAAGGAGGTGATGAGACTTAGGAATGGTAAGTTGATACCCAAAGCCACTAGGGTGCCTTCTAGTGATCGAAGCTGACCTAAATTAGGCAATGATGTGCAAGAGAAGGAAAATATTATTTCTGATCAAGAAAATGAAATTAGAGAAAGAGAGAATGAGGAGGAAAGGAAGAAAGAAAAATCCATCTTGAAGGAGCTTGATACAAGTGAAGCAAAAGAGAATCCAAAAAGGATAGAGCTATCCAAGGAGACTCAAGCTTATAATCTACTTATTTCTTTTCCTTCAGCTCTTTTTCCTCATTTAAAAAGAAGAATACTCATGAGTGTGAATTAAATAATTATTTTCTAAAGTTCAAATTAAAATTTCTTTGGTTGATGCTATTCGACATGCTCCACCTTATGCTTAATTCTTGAAAAATTTTGTACTCCAAAGAGAGAAAACAAGAAAATTAACTTTTCACCTAAGATTAGTGCTATCATTTTAAATGAAATGCCCAAGAAAAGAAAAGATCTAAGAAGCCCACTTGTCTCTTGCTGCATAAAAGGTATGACTTTTAATAAGGCTTTACTAGATTTTGGTCCTAGTGTGAATCTACTTCCAAGTTATCTTTTTGAAAATTTTGATTTAGGATAATTAAAATCTACTCATATTATTCTCTCCTTAGGGGATAGATCTATTAGATATCCTAAAAGGTTAATTGAGGATGTTATAGTCAATCTTGAAGGATGTTATTTCTTAGTTGATTTTTTAGTTCTAGACCTAATGCCACCTGAAAATCTTGAAGAATCTAGTAATATTTTGGGACACCCATTTTTGGCTACACCTAGCACTAATATAGATTTCCCCCATAATGGTACCAAAATTTGATGTGCCTAAAGTCATCGTTAATTTATGCACTCAAACATAATATTTATAACTAAAAATCTCAATAAACACTTTTTAATAATAGGAATCTCATGTCGATCATCAAAGAAATCAAAAGGTTGAAAGCACCATTTTAATATAGAAATTATAAAAAAGATATCAATTAGATAGTAATTTCAGTAAATTATGAATGCCAAAGGTATCTAACTCTGAAAATTAAGAAAAGTCAAAAAATATAGATTACTAACTCTAATTTAATATCCTTAAAAACTATCTCATAGTTCAATCTGTACTTCTTTGAGTAATAAAATTACTCGAGGTTTAAAGTAAGAAATCGAGAACATAAAATAAAATAGAGAAAAAATTTAGTGTAAAATTTAGAAGCTTATATATACTATTGTAAAATCAACAAAAAATTATAGAATATAAGAAACTGACTATGCTATGTTCCCAAAAAGAATTTAACCTAATTCCATATGGTACTCACGAAATTAGATTCATTCCAAAGAAAGACCAAAAAGACAGAAAAATAAGAAACTATTCATGTAAATCTAAAAACCTATTTTAAATATTTTATAAAATTTTGAAAAAAATGTATAAGACAAAAAACTAATTATGCTACATGTGGCACTCATTAAATCAAATTTGATCTAATGAAAGGTCAAACCAAGAAACCTTGAAAATAATTTTTGGTGATGTGCATGATGATTCTATCATCAAATCAGCAAAGCATGATCTTTGGACAAGAAAAAACATTCATTGCATTTGTGAGGAAGTAACGTATTTAGGAAAAATCATCAAATCTAAAATTAACTACACAATTAGATACATATCTCTTTTGGTTACTGAGAAAATGATTTCCAATGATATGTTTGATGATTTTATCACCAAAATATGATCTTTCATTAAGAGATAAAACATTCATTAGATTCCTAAGGATATAAGGCATTCAAAAAAAATCATAAACCTGAATCAAATTGTGCGAATTGTTACCAATCTCTTTTTCTTTACCTTGGTGTCACCACCAAGACATAAGAAATTAGAGATAGAGAATAATAACTTACTAAAAACTCAATGAAATGTCATTTATTAAATGATACTTGTCATCTAAAAAATAAGAGAGTCTAAGGAGCTAAGAAATGAGAGTAAAAGGTGGAGAGATCATGCTTACAACATCTGAAGCCTCAATTGTCTGTCACCCATCCGTCACCTCCTATTTGAGTATGAAAATCCTTTCTTTGCCCTCTCTAAGTTATATACTCATGCCCTTTTTGGGCCTTATTTCTCCCTTCTTTACGTTGCCTGATTAAACTCAATTTTTTGGGCACTATGTTTAATGTTTTTATGCCCCAATCTGCCCTTTCTCATGTTTGGGCTCTTTAAACTTTAACTTTCCATGCTAATTCCTCTAACTTTGACAAATCCATAGAAATTAATCTTCTTGGAATAAAACTTCGAAATTTTAAACCTCTATTTCTGATAAATTGAGATACATTCTCAAGGTGATAAACCTTGGAAAAAGGTTAAAAAAATGTAATTAAATCAATAAATGTATGATGTAGATATAGCTAAGTTTAGAGTCATTTATAAGTACCTTTTGACCTTTGTTTTAATATGATGAGATATAGTAATCTATGCTTATTATAATTCATAATGCAAAAATCAAAGATATAATTAATTAATTCTTAGTCGTAATTAAATATTTATCCGAATTCATAAAGAAACTACCCTCCACTATTTTTGTCATTTTACAACATTTAAAGGCCCAACTCAAGATTATGACAAAGGCCGAAGGAAGAGAAGAGAGAGAAAAGAAATGGGCTACGATTTCAAGGCCCAACTCAGGATCACAACCAAACCCAAAAGAGGAGAAGAGAGAAGAAATGACCAAGCCCAAAGGCAGGTCCAACAAAAGACCATGACCAAGCCTAAAGGAGGAGAAGGGGGACCCACCTTTCACCTTCTCTAGGCTTCTCCCATGATCCCTCACCTTCTCTAGAAGCTTCCACGACCTTCCACCTTCCCTAGGCTCCTCTCATGACCCCTCATCTTCTCTAGAACCTTACTCTCCCTTCATCCTTTCCACCCTCTCACGACCTCTCCTCCTCCTCTAGCACCTCTCATGGCCTCTCCTCCTCATCTCCACTCTCTCACGACCTCTCCTCCTCATCTCCACTCTCTCACGACCACTGCTCCTCCCCACTCCGTCATGACCTCTCCCCCTCCTCTAGAACCTCTCACGACCTCTGCTCATCCTCTAGAATCCTCTCACAGCCTGTCCATCATCTCACCTCTCTAGAAGGACTAGCAGTTGCAACCTCCCACTCTTCATGAGAGGAGTCTCTAAAAGGTGCAGCGGTCGCAACCTCCCATTCCTCATGAGGAGAGTGTCTAGAAGGCACATCGGTTGCAACCTTCCTATTCATAAGGAGAGTCTCTAGAAGGTGCGATAGTCCTCTCTTAAGCGTGTTGGTTGATACCTATAAATAGAGAGGATGGGGAGTCTAATGGGGTATCATAGACTAGATCTAGGTTAGTAATTCGTGATTCATTTTCTTTAGAGAGAGAGATGTATGAGAGACTCATGGTGACTTCGAAAGAGTTACAGTTGTAAGTTTGAGTTTTCATTAGTGCAAACGTGTTTTGTTCCTTTCGATTCCTTTAATTCCATTACTTGGCATTGCTCAACTTTTAATTTGAATCTCCTTTCATTTGCACTTTCTTCAATTTTCTTACAACTAAGCTTTCTTCTAATTTTTAGTTGATACTTGAATCAAGGACTTTATCCTTCTCGACGTGACATGGAAAGGTTGCAAGGTTCTGATTTAGAGTTAGGACTGAATTCATTTTGATTAAAAATAGTTTAGATTCATTTGACTTGTCTTAGATCCTTGTTTTCCTTCCATGCGACATTGAGGGAATGCCACATATTTTACGTGATCGCCACATATTTTATGTGCTTACAGCTCCTTTTCTTTTCATTTCGATTTCCCATTTAGTTAACATGTTGTTCTATTTAAGTCTTTTCTTATATTCTTTTTTTAACATTGCCTCCTCTCCTATAACCTTGAATTTTAACTTGTGTTAGTTTTAATTTCTTTCCTAATTCACTTCTTAATTCACTTCCTTGTTAGGTTTTAACTTTATTGAATATAGTTCACTTCTTGATTACTTACCTTCTCTCTTCTTTTGTTTCTCTATTCTTCTCCTTGTCGTGACTATATAAACGTTTTTATTTTATTTTACTTTTTCACGTCAATTCTTGTTTTCTTTTATAATTGTAATTTTTTTTTTGTAGATATTAATCTCATTTAGAGCTTTCATATCTTCATAACTAGGAATCATCACCTAAAGTCATTTCAACAATTCATATTCTTGGAATAATAGAGAGAACTTCAACTAACAGTACCATCCCTAAGGAGAGGAACTTACATCACCTAACTCATCATTTATACTCTACAACTAGAGTTGAGATTAGGAAAAATAATAATGATAAAATAGGTATATACCTAAACATTAAAATTGAGTATTCTTAATACAACGACAATAGAGCTCTCACTAAAGAGAGAAAGAGACACAATCAACTTGTTTTTATAATGACCATGATTTTCAGATAAATATAAAATGTCCTCCACCTTTTAACACTTCAAGGTTAATAATCAGCCTTTAATCTCATTAATTGATATTTAAAATTAAAAAAAATAATTTTTATTCATAAGATATCAGTAATTGTAGAAATTATTAAAAAAGTTAGACATGATATATATTGAAATAAAAATTGTTACCTAAGTGAAGGCTTGATTTTGTTTGAATGTGTCACACCATATTGGAAGTTGCAAATGTATCATTTGGAAGTGTTGCAACACTTGTTAGACAGATTTGTCAAAAATAGAGGTCTTGAGTGAGGTTAGGAAAGGAAGAGATGAGCTTGTCAATTGTTGGAGGCATTGATCACACAAAGAGAATATAATGGATGTCATTTTTGTGACTATCATTGCGATTTTAATGATAATTGATAATATTTAGTTTACTAGGCAATAATAATATTATACTTATACTTTTAATAGTGATACATGTATGAATTTAAGTTTTTAGTATTGTGGTGTTTCACTTGTTGTTAGATCAGATGTGCTTGGTCACATCGTGTATTGAGCCACATAGAATTAACCCACCACTAACTATTATCAATTGGGAAATGTTTTTGGTATCATGGCACTTCACTTGGCCATCATATCATCTTTTTTTATGTTACAATTCACAAACTGCTCATGGAATGTTTTATGCTTAGTATCATGGTGTTTCATCCATCATGAGATTTACTTTATTTGATAATGTGGCCTGTTAAGCACCATTAGATTAAATCACCCCAAAATAGTTTCAAGGGTTAGAAATATGTTCAAATATTTCCTAACATAAATTTATCATTTTATTCTTCATATATTTTCTTCAATTTGGATGCATACTGAGTCAAAAAAGTTTTGATATCTTAATACAATTACAAGAGTTGGTTTAGTTGTATACTTGGTCATTTCTCATACCAAGTGATTTGACTTGCCTCTTAGAGAGGAAGTGAATAAATAAAGCTTTGCAAGCACAATAGACAAGAAATTTTGGCACACAATATTACTATTTTTCCACATGTCTTTCCAATTGTGTGAACTTATCCAACAAGGTAAGTCAACTTCTTTCTAGAAAAATAAAAGAGACACTAGGGTCACGCAATCAATCAGTCAAATCACACTAAACTTTTATTATAATATTGGTTTTAAATTATTGTTTTAGCCTTCCATCTATTTTTTAACCATAAAAACCTTAAAAGCTCTAAAATCCTAAATCAGCAAGTCTAGTTTTTATGTAACTATTGTCCCAATTCGATATGATGCCATCCATATCCACATAAAAGTGCAAGGGCAACTAGGCTAGTAGTCTACTCAGCACTAGATTTGGATAGAGACCATTAATCATAACAATAACTTTAAGAGTGCAACTTCACTAGAGCTGAATTTATTTCCACTTCAAAACATGACAAATGAAGAGACCAGCAACAAGACATCAAGGCAAAGTCAATAGTCAATAATTGAAATTGGTGATAGTAAAAGTAATTCATAATGCTCAATTTTTTTATAATGCTTCAGGTAAAATTAAAGTAATTGTCACCTAAATCAATATGAAACCATATTTTTTAACATTAAAATATGTTCGTATTGGCCTTAGAATTATGTGATAATTTTCTATTTATTTCAATCATTTTCATTATTTATGTAATATAAACATATTTGTTATTTTGAATCCCTATATAACATGATTATCCAAGGCATAATCGTGAAAATTATTCTAACTTGAGAAAAACTAATTCTAAAATTATAGTTTAGAAAATAATTTTCTTAAATTTTTCAAGAAAATTATAAAGATATTTTCTAGTAATTTTCAGAAATCTAAAAATTATCAAAAGATGTTGTGATTCAAGGCTACATCAGCAAGAGGAAGTGTCAAAGGTTTATGGGCTATGTTAGCATAAGTGAGCAATGAAGTGGTCAACATTTTATACCACATCATACATATATATGAGTAGTCCAAATTTTCACTAATAAGGAGGATCAATAACAATATTTACATAATAAATTTTCAGCAAGATATAACTAATGAATGTAGTAGAAATTTTGGTTGATCTATAGAGAATTATCTAACCTAGGACAAGTCAAGTGAAATTACTAGATGGTTGATTTCAAGGAAGAATGAGATGAGAAGGTAGAAGAGAGTTGACTTAGACACACTAAGGGGGGGATTGATGATTCTTCTTTTGATGATTTTTCAATCACCAAGAGAGAAAAATCAGATAAGGAATAGATGGTGAAATGTAAGAAGATGGTGAATTCCTTAACCCTGAGTGCATAAATGAAAACTATAATCTTTTTATGCCCTCCTACATCACCTTAGAGATCAATAGAAATATTAAAAGAGGCTAATATACTCCTAAAATAATTCCTAATATCTCATTATCTCTCTCTGCTTCCAATGAATGCTCAACTTTAATGAATCGAAAGAGCAAAAGAAAATAGAGGAACTTTAAAGTATCTTAAATTTGCCCTATCTTACTCACTCTCATAAATATAATTAATACTGATAAATCAAAAGATCTACATACATCAAGGGGATTAGAGGAAGGGTAAAAAGATTGAATTTTATCTGAAGATCAACCTAGTTTCACCCTAGGGATCAAAGAATCAAATCCCTAACTATTCTTCAATCATATCAACTCTTTCTCATTGAGAGGGTCTCAAAAAGAAGAGAATGCAATAAGAAAATAAACTCATTCATTCAAGACTTAAAGAGGTTCTTAAAACATGAATAAAATATAATAGATGCACTTACTTGGTTAACTTTTGGAGTGCTTCAAGGAGATTCTTCCTCAAAAGTTCTTGGACCTACACCTCTTCTCCTCTAGGTGGCTTCCTCTTCCAAGCAAAGAATGATCTTCTTTCTCCTCAAATGACTTTTTATTCTTATCTAGGTCGTGCCCATTCTTAACCCTTGGATCATGAAGGAGAGAGCACAACCCTTGGATGAGATTCCTCTCTCCAAGGGCAGCTCCTAGGGAGTCTTCTCACCTCCCCTCATCCTAGACTTAAACTTTAGATTGAGCTAATTGAGGGGCCAAGATAGTCCCACGGGTTGCTGAGGAGGGAGAGGGGAGTGGCCAATGAGAAGAGGCCACCTATCCCCTTTGACTCCTTCAAAGAAGGAAGGTGGGTAGTCTCCCCATTTAGAGGGGGCGGTTTCCCCCTTCCTTTGGTGGTGGGCTTCCTCTCTTAAGGCTTACGGGCCTTCCTTGCTTCATGGGTCTTCTAATAGGCCCTTCATTCTATTAATCCTGCATTAAACCAATAAAAATAATTCATATGTCATTTCAAAAAAATAGAGAAATAACTAAATAGGCAAGTCATCTCTCTCTAGATTATAAATTAATTATGCATCAGCTGACTTTAGGACTTCGAAAATAATGATAGATCAGGAAAAAATATGGAATATACTTTAATTAATCATAATTTAAAGTAATTCAATTAAACCTTATAATAATAATTGGATGATAAATTATTCAATAAAACCTCATGATCGAATGCATATGCATCAATTCGGTTTCTTATGCTTTAAATCAATCATTCATATGAAATTCATGATCCGTGAATTAACCTTAACAACATTCCAATTATAATCATAGAATCATGTAAAGATTTAAGTTTTACAAAAGAATGGGTGGAACAATTGGCGATCAAATTTCTGCCTGAATTTGATTGATTTGTGCAAGCACAGTGCACCGAATGGATTCCTACATAGACTCTAGTTGATGAATGACGATCCCAACAATTGTCACTCTTTGGAACCAATTGACAATGGTGGTTCGACTCTAATCATGCCATGCTATTTAGAGAAGGATTCTCAGAAGAAATTTTTCACTATTTGTATCGAGCGAAGAATAAGATGAGTTCATGGACAAAGTTCAACTTCTATAGCAACTGAATTAGGGAGAAGTCAAGAAGAAATCCATTGTTTGTATCAGATAACATGATTTGGGTGAATTTGGCATTTTTCAGCAGCAAAGGAGAGAGAAAATGATTGTGGAGAGTGATAGAGTGATTGAAGATGCCCCTTTCTTCCTCCCTCTAGCATCTTCCCATTTTCCTATACATTAATTTTGTCAATTTTGTTGAATCATCTACTATACTTCTCGCTATATTTGTTCAGTTATTGATGCAGAAAACATAAAAAAGTAATTAGTCTTGTATTTTAATTTATTATTTATTTATTTTTATTATTTATTATAATAAGGTCAAGAAAATTCATGAAAATTCAAGAAAAAAACAGAAATAAATGCAATTAACATAAGCAATAATATTAGTCATTGGAAAAACCAATCAAAATATTTCATAGCCAATTTCATCATGTAGTTTCTAAAAATTAATAATATAACCATATAACTAGGTTTAATATCACTTTTTCTAGATTAAAATATTTTATAAAATTTCTGTAAAATTAATTAATAAATTATAAAATATTAAGCATTTTATCATGCAATTAATGAGAGTTATCAAACTCTTTGACTTACCTCATCGCTAGTCCCTTAGCAATAATAATAAAGATGTAATTATTTCATTGAATATAACTTTCTCAAATTTCATTCTAATGCTTTGATCTAAATGGTGCATTAAAAATATTTATTTTTATCAAAAACAAAAATAATATTCTCTATTGAAAATTAGATCAAAAGCATAATAAGAGATGTAAGAGTTTATATCTATTCATGAATAAGATCCAATCATTTCACATATCATTTCATAGTTCTTGAATCAAAATCTTATTATTATTTTTGAAATTTTAGAATTCATCATGACCAAATCTAGACCAAATTACTATATAATATGTATATCTAAGGTTCATAAGATAAGAATCAAAAAGAAAATTAATAATTCATGTTCAAACAATCCCTAAAGATTTCACAAAAATTCTCACTTCTCTTCTTTTGCACATTCTCACATCCATCAATTTGTAAAAACTAAATATAAATTATCTTAAATCTCATTTGATAATCACTTTTAACATCAATCATGAATGTCAATATTCAGATATATGAATTTATTGAATCCATTATCTAAACAATAACACACATGTAACTTCTCCTCTTTTTTTTCTCTTTTTTTTTGTCCAAATCGCACATGTGGAAGCTCCATGGGACAATTGAAAAGATCTCATTTCTTTTCTTTTTTTTCTTTCTTTTTTTTCTTTTTATGGGCTTACACTCTATCTGACATACCCAATTTCTGCTCAAAGTGACTACTTCCATAATTTCTTTGCATCATAATACTTAGTATACAAATTTTCAAGTTGAGAGAAAAATGCCAACTTCAGTTTCATGATCATTTTGTGTACTTTATGGGTAGTTGAACACTTCAGATCAAAACTTCTAATTTATGTTAGCCCAATTCCCTTAAACATACTTCCTCTATAATATTTGGCTATTTAATGTAATACAAAATTCACAAAAACAAAAATAATCAGTTTTGTGTTTCTTTCAATTCAGGTTCCATCCATGATATGTGAAATTTCTTTCATCTATTCATGTTTGATATATTTTCCTACTTCATATAGATAGAATTTCTATTTTCAAATAATAATAATAAACTAAATATTCAATTTCAAAGTTTGCTCAATTTTCACTCTCCACCCCTTGACTAAAATCAGCATTGTCCCCAATGATATAAAGAAGTCTAATCATTTAAATATTTATGAAATTTTAGAAATCATATATATCAAAGAAAGAAAAAATCAGAAAATAAAAATTAAAATGGATAAGATTAGCGTGATAGCACCTGCACTTCTTGACTCAATCATCTATTATTTTTCAGTAAAATTGATATTTTTTGATCACTCACGTGCATCCCTTTTCTTCCATAATTTTTTGCTGCATTTATTATAAAGTAAAATAACAAGAGCAAAGAAATACTAACTAAAAGCTAAAAATAAGTAAAAGTATTTGTATATATGTTTTTATTCTGGTTCTAATAACGAACTAGATTCTTTGGCTCCTAATTTTTCATTCTCTAAATAAATCTTTAATGTTTGACCATTTACCTTAAATTCTCCACCATCTATGGGATCTTTAATGATAACAACACCATGATCATAAATTTCCTTCACAATATATGGACCTGTCCATTTTGACTTCAATTTTCCTAAAAATAATTAAAGTCCAGAATCATAAAACAATACTTTTTGATTTGTTTCAAATTACTTTCTTCTAATGTATCTATTATGAAATTCTTGAGTACGAGTTTATAAATTTTGCTATTTTGATATGCCTCATTTCTAAGTTCTTCTAACTCTTCAATCAGTAGTAATTCTATGGTTCACACCATTTTTCTCAGTAATTCTCTAAATTGAGAATGTGTAAAATGAGTTCTTGCATCATTGATAATACTTTTGGGACAACTAAATCTATAAAATATGTGACTCTAAATAAATTTCATAACAATCATATGATCATTTTTTTTTAGTAACAATGGCCTCTACCAACTTAGACACATAATCTATAGCCAACAAAATAAATTCAAAACCAAACAAAAGTGGAAAGAGACCCATGAAATCAATTTTCCAAGCATCAAAAATTTCTACAATCAAAATAGGTTGTAAAGGCATCTCATATTTATTACCACTATTTGCAAATAATTGACATGAATGACATTTCTTACAAAATCCTTAAATAAATAAGGCCAAAAAAAATCCATATTGTAAAATTTTTAAAGTAGGCTTATTTCCAGAGGAATGATTACAACAAATAAATGCATGACACATTTTCACGATATTAGATTGTTCATCCTCTAGTACACATTGTTTGAAAAATTGATCTGACCCTAAATAAAATAAATTAAGTTCATTCCAAAAATATCTTTTGATTCTAGCAAAGAAATAATCACGTTCATATTTTTTCTAAAATTCTAGTAACTGATTTGAAGCTGAAAATTCACAATAGGAGCATACCATGAATGTTTTTGTTATTGAATCACTAAAATTTGTTTGACAAGGAATGAATCATGTAAAGGAATGATATCAGCCTCAGTAGTACTTAATCTTGACAAATGATCAGCTATCACATTCTCAAAACCTTTTTATTTTTAATTTCCAAATCAAATTCTTGAAGCAATAAAATCCATCTCAAGAGATGGTTTAGTATCATTTTTAGTAAGAGGAAACTTAAGTGCAGCATGATCAGGATAAATAATAATTTTAGATCCTAAAATATAAGATCTAAATTTTTCTAATGCAAAGAAAATTGCCAATAATTCTTTTTATGTGGTGGTATAATTTAATTGAGTATTAGAAATTGTTTTACTTGCATATGCTATTACCACAGATTTTCTATCAATTATTTGCCATAAGACAGCCCCAATAACTTCGTTAGATGCATCACACATAATTTCAAATGGTAAAGATCAATTTGGAGACTGTAAAATAGGTGCTTCAGTCAATAGTTTCTTAATTAAATTGAATGCATGTAAATAAGAGTCATCAAAAATTAACGGTACATCTTTAGTTAAGAGTTAAGTGGTTTGACTATTTTTTAAAAATATTTGATAAATCTCCTATAAAATCTAAACATGAACGAATTTGTTTAATAGAAGTTCGTAGCTAAAGAAATTCGTAGCAGTCCCAAACGCCCGTCTCAATCCCGTTGAAGTTTTCTCACCGACGGGAGACCCCCCACGGTGCTATCAGCTTCCAGTTCCAACCCCAATGAACCATTCCTTTGACTCTTAGAGGCAAATAATAGATGATATTGACCAGATTCGTGAGAGCTACGTTGGGTTCTCTCTGTGTGATGAAGCCATGCAGGTCAGCTCCTACCGGCTCCTTCCGAGGTGGAGCCGACGACGACGCTTATAAACTCGGGCTCGGGTCAGACTCTGAGAAACATGCTTGTCCGGATTCCTACTTTGTTGGGCCATTAATCTTGGTCCCGATCGAGCTAATTGGACGATCGAATTCGCGGCCAAAAGAGGAGGTTTCTTCTTCGAGAAACACCTCAGGGCCGCGCGTGGAATCAATGAGAAATACGCCGAGATCCGGAGATCGATCGGCCGTCGTCGGTCAAGCAATTCTGAAAGGAGAAGGTTTCTGATCTTCTCATTCGTTCAGTTCCTTCGGGGGGTGGGGGGGTATTTTTACAGACATTAAGAAAGATGATGGTACGTACGTAGGTAGGTACAGCTGCTGGCCTCAGGATTCCTTCTCCACGAGGGGTTCGAGGATGGCGGACTTGGGGTTGACCATGGGGGGGCCCTTCTCTCTCCTCTCGAGCTCGTCCAGGCGGAAGCTGAGGAGCTTGTCCCAGTTCCCCCCTTCGAAGAGCACGCCGGCCATGCCGTCGGTGACCCTCTGTACTGTCCCGCAGTACATGTAGTAGGGATTGCTCGGGTTCTTCACGATCACGATCATCCCCGGCATCAGCAGCGGCAGCTCCGGCGGCCGCGGCTTCGGCGGCGCCGCCACCAACCCGCCGCCGGCGGAGGTCTTGGGAGGCGGGGGGTTCTCTTGGATGAACTTCTTCAGGCCCTTCTCGCCGCCGGGGAAGCCGCCGGTGAGCCCCAGCAGCTCCTTCTCGAAGGCGGCCTCGCCGGCGCCGATGGCCGGAGCGGGGGAGGCCGTCGGCGTCGGCGGCGGAGCGGGTTCTCCGCCAGAGGCCGGCGGGGGGTCGTTGAGGAACTTTTGGAGGCCCTCCTCGCCGTTGCAGAGGCCGCGCCCGCCCAAGATCTCCGACAGCCGGAACTTGGCGGAGATCCTCGCCGGCGGCGCCGCCGGGAAGCCCGCCGACGGCAGGCGATGCCCCCCCCCCCTCGCGAGATGGGCCGGCGAGGCCGCTCCCCAGAAGGACGACCTCGCCGGAACAAGGAAGGACGACGCCATCGCCAGGCCCCGAGAGCTGCCCGGAGAGGAGGAGGAGGAGGAGGAGGAGGAGGACGACGACGACGATGACGAGGAAGGGATTCGGATAGAGGATACGAGAGAGAGAGAGAGAGAGAGAGCCCTTCCAGAGCTCGCTCCGCCGCGAGGATCCGGCCATTATCTCTGCACCGCACGTTGCCGTGGTGGGCCAGCAGACCCAGCGGCGGTAAAAGTCCAAGGTCAAATCTTCGGGTAATTCTTCCGAAAACCCGCCGCCGGGCGGACGTGGTCTCCGACAGGGACGGATTCACCGCCACCTGGGGGTTTCTTCCATTCACTGTACGTACTTGTTATCGGCCCTTCCGGTTTTCCAGTACCAGCTGGAGAAAGGAATCCGATCTCTTCCCGAGATTAACCTAAAGGGTTCGTCGTAACCTCCATTCTAAGACCTGCTTCTTGCTATTCGCAGGTTCCGGCTGCAAAACCTCTCCTGCTTGATCAGAAAATTTTCTCCGGGAACTCCGTCGGCGTTCCTGCGGAAGAACACCGACGAAGAAGGGTCCAGAGACCACGTCGATGGCATGGTTAAAACCCTCCTAGAAAAGAGATAATCTTCTGGTTGTCACGATAATTAAAGCAGAGATAATCTTCTGGAAGTGGGAAGTCGGGTAGTACCACGAGGGAAGAGGTACTGCTTGCTTGAGGATGGCGGTACGACGAAGGGGCGATGTACGATTGCAGAGTTCCATCAAGAGAGCATAGAGCAGCGACAGCAAGAACAGAGACGTCGAGAAGAACATCGAGAACAAGGAGAACGAGGTCAGCTGTCGTCGCCGCCACCGTCGTCCGATCTTGGGACGACGACAGCGACGACCGCCCCCATCTCCGCCGAGGAACAAGAAGAACGTACACCTACAAGAACCCGGGAGAATTCCCATTTCTTTATCTATCAGCAGATTAACATATCTCTAAACAGCTTGGAGATGGAGCGAGCGAGCGAGCGAGAGAGAGAGAGAGAGAGAGGTAGGATTTCTCTTAAATGCACAGATATAATGGGGACAGATACAGTGGATATATGTTCGGCCTCATCAGCTGTCGTCCGAATCGTCAGAGTCGCTCCTTTCGGGCTCTCCGGCATTTCCCCCGGCGCTCTCCGGGGCGGCAGGCCGCCTCGCTGCAGCGGCAGCAACTGCAGCAGACTTTGCTCGCTCGACCCGTGAGCTTCTCCGCCAGTTAAAGAAGACCCAAAACTTATAAATTCAAGAGCATTCAATGCAGAAATTAAAATCTTGATGAGCAAGAAGATTTCCATCATTCACCGAGATTCATCCGGAAAACGAAAACAAACGATTCCGAAAGGATATCCTCTGCCGTTCCACCTGACAGGATGTTCAGCAAGTCCTTCTCCACGCGCTGGACGAGCTCCGGCTGCAGTGTGAGACAAATAAACCAGCCGGCGATTACTACTGCCACCATAGAATCTATCTAGGCCGCAAAGGTGAAGAGAACTTCTAGCTTCTGGGGCGGTGGTTCTGCGTACATTGAGGTCAGGTTCTCTTCGGAAGCGCCGCTTTCGAGCATCTCTCATCGGAGGAGTCAGTCCGTGCTTGAACTCGGCCCCCTCCGGAGCAGGGTCGCCTTCTTCCCTAATCATGATTATCTGCAACGAGCTCGGAGTCTCAGGCTCAATCAGCCGCAGGCCTAGCAAGAACATGCGTCGGGGAGGGTTCGAGCACCTGGCCGATGTCCGCAGTTTTGATCAGCACATTGTCATCGTATGTCTTGTAAGACTCTACGATGGAGGGTAGATCAAGGAGCGACGCAGGAAAGCTGTCGTTGCCAATCATAAAAGTGCCGGTTCTTCCGTCCTCTGCACAGCAAAGCCGCCAAATTTTCAATCTGCATCTGTCGAAAACAACACCATGCATGTTCTTTCGTATATTCAAATCATATGCATGCAGATATTCATCATCCCCTCAACCAATCACTATGCCGAGGTAGACAAACTGCACCGCAGTGCAAGAAGTCAATCCAGGCATCTTTCCTTGTTCCTCCGGATTTGTCTTTGATGTGCGGGGAGAAGGTCAAATCAGTCAGAATGACAGGATCTAGGCAACTGCAGGCCCAAAGGATGATTTCAGAGGCCAGTCACGCAGAAGCAGCACCCCCGTTGATCAATCCATGCTGGAGCTATTAAAATACGGCTTCCTGCTGCATGGATATTAATGCAGAAATTCGATCTGAAAGCATATTTTGCATCCATGAGCCATAGATCCTCGGATGTATCCTCAGGGGCTGATAATTGACGATCAAATGTTCATCAGGATCAGACTAACCCACATTCAGCCAAGCTCTTTCTTTGAACAGCGCATTTATAACGACAATCAGTTCATCTACAGTCCCACAGGGGTCTGTCTAGACGCCTGTCCACACAGCAGGCAACTCCAACTCTCGCAGGGGAAGAACTCCGTAAAAAAGAGCACTAAACGTAAATAAAATAAAACGAAGAACAGCAAGAACGAGTAGAGAACAAAGCATACCCGCGAACGACAAATCCAGAGAAGCATCCTCAGATGAGGAGGCCCCCTCATTCAGAAGCCTCTCTATCCTCTCTGCCACCGAGGGCGGCACCCTCAGTATGAACTGTTCCTCCATCCTCCGGAGCAGCCAGAAACACACGAGAGCAACAGAATCCCAGTAAACCTGGAGTCAACCATAAGAGCTCAGGGTGGGTTCCGATTCCCAAGTTCTCGAACCAAACCGACCAATGTGAAGCCCCAAATCAGAGAGTGAGGGTGCCACAAAGATCAAGGTATTCGTCGATGAACAATTTTAACCCCGTGAAAAAAGTGTTCCCGCCGGTGAAAACCCTACACGGATTTTACTAAGGGAGTTGCTATTCTAGTATCACCATTTCATCCTGTCATAGATATCAAGCAAGAATAAGAACCGGTGTTTCGCGCACAGGGGTGCAGGGGAGGGACGAGAACAGGGAATGAAAGGGATGAGAGAAAGAGGGCACCGAGACCAACAAAAAGGGATCGATCAATCAGACGTGGGGCATAAAAAAGCATGATGAAAGAGTCTTCATCAGGAATTGATCAGTTCATTCTAGCAACTTAGATTCCCCGTCACTACAGCAGTGTTAGAGCCGCTTCACACAGACAGAAAAAGGGAGCGCGCTCTACGCAGGGGTCCGCTTTTGTTCGTGCATTCGAACGACTAGGGCATGAATTCGCTACTCTTCTGGTCGAAATAAGATTCCCTTCTGAAGCAACCAGACGATGCAAGTCTGTGATAGCACCATCGCCACCATCAGATCGCCGCTGCATCCCCAGCGCAAGGGCGCCGCCAGCGAAGCTCCAGCCCCTCCCCCAGGCCAGAACGGGCCAACGCCATGGCGTCGGACGACGTGATCGGAAGGAGAGGGGTTTCCTGGATAGCCGAATCGCGAGCTGGCGGAGCAGGGAGTGGTGAAGAAGACCGTACCTGGGGGGTGACGGAGAGCGCAGCTAGAAAATCCCTCGCCGGAGAATCGGGGAGGGAGATGGAGAGGGCGAGTGAGTTCTTAACGGCAGCGGAGCCAGAGCTCGCGGTTGGGTAGGATATATGTATAGTTAAAATATTTAGGGGGAAACTAAAATTATTTTAATTATAAAAAGGACATAAGTGTAATTACAAAATATTTATGCATGACTTTTCGTAATTTTAGTGTCACTGGAACCTCAGTGCGGTTTTGTTCCCGGAACCTCAGCGAGAAATAATGACGCTAAAGTCGGACCTTTTTCCCTCGAAGCAAACAGGCGTTGGAGGCTTGAAATTCCGTAAAAGTGGGCATTTCGACCTCTCCAAACGCTCCTCAGGAGAGGAAGTCCGAAAATCTTATCCCCTGCCTAAAATCCCCGCGAACATCACTCCCTCCGCCTTGCGCCTCGCCTTCTTCTTCTTCTTCTTCCAACTCTTCGACGTGTACGATGGGGGAGATGCTGGCAAAAGTCCCTTCGAATTGCTTCGCGGAGTGCACTCGGTGCATTCCCGGTGGTGGGCAGAGGCTACACGTCGCCGGAGGATCCTGGCCGCTGCTTGGCTTGCTCTCCTCCTCCCCTGGCCATGGCGGAAGCAGCTGCGGCAGGAGGAGGCTCGCCGTCAAGGCCAGGACCTACACGCGGATACCGATGGAGACCGCCGGCGCCTACCAGCTGATTGACGAGGAGACGGGTGAGAGGGTCATTGTCTGGGGCGGGGTCGACGACGGACCCGATTCGCCTCTCCCCCCCAAGGAGGTTCTCACCTGGAAGCCCGACGAAGAGCCGGCAGACTCAATTGGTGAGTAGAGAGAGAGGATAACACGTACGATTTCGTAGAAAACTGAATCCTTTCTCTTTTTAACTCTGTTGGGCATTCATTTTTTTCTCATAATTTTACAGCACATGGTGGCAATTCTTTGTTGCATTTCTTCGTTGGGTTCTCTAATGTAAGTCGCGCAATTATCGCGCAGGGCCCGTCGGCGGTGATGGCAAACCTAGGAGGAGAACCGCGGGCACCGCTGGGAACTTTGGAAAGTTGAAGGCACAGAAAGTGAAGGCCCTGATTAGGAGCAAGAAGACGCCACTGACTGGATTGGGTGTCGATGTTTCTGAAGATGATGCTGATGACGAGGGCGTGTCCATCAGTGCAGACACTGACTTGGGAGCGAAAATGCAGAAAATAACTGAACTGGTCAGAAGTAAGAGGGCGCAGCTATCCCAAATTGGCGTAGATGTTGATGCATCTGATGATGATGATGAAGAAGAAGCTGACGATGGTCTTGAGGATGACATAGCTGCCAATACTGAGATCGAATTTGGGGCAAAAGATGATGGCAGTAGACGCAGTGAGGAAAGTATTAGACGATCGAGATTCTTGGGTGTTCTTCAGAGAGGGAAACGTGTGCCTGCAGGTGGGAATGATCGTCAGAAGGCTGGCGGCACATCCCCCTTGAGAGGGTGGAGGAATGCGCAGTCATCCACCATGGAGAGAGCTTCCGATCAACCAACTGGCCATCTGAAGAAGCAGCATCGAGATTTGTCGGGTGATGATGGGAGATTCTTTAGTAGGAAGTCTTTTAGAGAGTTGGGTTGTAGTGATGACATGGTGGAGTGTCTAAGTAGGCAACAGTTTCGTCATCCCTCGCATATTCAGGTGCGACCCCTCTTGCTCCTATTTAGGATGAATACTGGGAAGTCTCTGTCTGAAAAATTGGCCTTTTGTCAATTTCTGTGGTGACGTAACTGTTGGTTCGCACTGATTGGCAACCCTTTTTGTTATTACATCCTTGGATTTATTCTAGTGTAATTTCACCATGACAATTGGACAAAATGTTGTATGCATCAGAACTTGTTGATTCAGCTTGGAGCAAACTGTTCTGGCTTTTTGTGACTGACTACTGAATGATGATGAGCTGCCGGGCTGTGCCTGCTTTGTCCCTACTTAAAACTCTTTTCTTTCTTCCTTGAGCCATGCTGGTCAAGACTTGCCTCAAGTTTCTTATGCTGTTCTTTTGAAGCTGAGTTCTGATTATGGTCCTATTATGCATTCTTATTCAGTGAATTGTTCATTGATGACCGCAGGCACTGACATATTCACATCTTCTAGAGGGAAAGAGTTGCATCATTTCGGATCAAAGTGGATCAGGAAAGACATTAGCGTATCTTGCTCCAACAATACAGCGCTTGAGGCAAGAAGAACTCCTGGGGCTTAGGAAATCTTCCTCAAGGAGTCCTCGGGTACTCATATTAGTGCCTACTGCAGAGCTGGCTACTCAGGTTGGTATTTTGGATTTACCCTATGTTGGCTTGGTAGATTAATTTTAAAGAAGCCCTTTTCATGCTATTCCTTCTGTTGAGATCTGAGGAAATGACAAAGTCTTCTGTTAGATTTTTTGCCCTGTAGTTTTTTAATGAAACTTTTAGGTTTTGGCATTGCAAGTAGAATAAAAAAAAATCTAGATTAAGTGCAGAGTGGATGTGGCATTTTTAAGCCACTGAATAGGCATTAGTGTAAACGTCCTCAGGAACATCTGAACTCTGCAGCTGGTCTGTAGGATCAATGTCATCTATTGATGTCTGAACTAATATAGACAAAGAATGATCACGGAGATGCTTTTTTGCAGGTGCTTAATAACTGCCGATCCATAGCAAGATCTGGTGTCCCATTCAGGTCTATGGTTGCAACTGGAGGTTTCCGACAGAAGACTCAGCTGGAAAGCCTTCAACAGGACTTGGACATTCTTATAGCAACACCAGGCCGTTTCATATTTCTACTTCAGGAAGGCTTTTTGAAATTAAATAATCTGAAATGGTAATTGATTAATGATTTGGTATCATTTTTTTATGAGAATGGAACCGTGATTTTGTATAAAATATATATTCACAGCACCTTTTGGATTGATGAAATCTTTTTATCTTCCATCATCTTTGTTATTTGATAACTTTCATGCCATTCTAACTAGGAAAAAGAACATGAATCATTATTCTGTTAAGTGGCTGTCTCATTTATCTTAAGTGAGACGTGTTAAAGGGCTCCTACCATTTTTTCTACTTATTCGCTTTTCTCTGCATCATGCCACTAAATTTCTGATCTATTACCTGCCTGTAAATGATATTAAGCTTTTGTCAACTGCTTTGTGATGCCTATTGGATGGCTTAGTTTATCATTGAAGCGAAATAGGTTTAACTCTAACAGGGTTTTTTGTAGAATAGTAGCTACGAGAGAGATTTTTTTGAAAGAAGTTGGAGCAAGAATCAATTAAGCTTCGTCATATATCATAATTGTTGGGAACCCATGTAAATTCTTATTCATGTCCACCAGAAGCTTCAATCAAAGAGGAGGGAATAAGAAGAAGGTAATTTACCAAGTCCATGGTATGCAGAAATATATTCTAGAATCAAGTGTTATTGGCACCTTTGATTGTGAAAGAAAAAAGATTGCTATGAGGAAACCCATTTTCCAGATTGATGGTGGGAATGACATTTTTTCCCGCACAGTACGGTTGACAAAGGCCCTATACCCTTTCTGGTTTCTATTCACCAGGAATCACTTGTTCTGACCCACACTTGGTTGTTTCTGTTGCCGATTATTAAACTCTAGGAGGCACATAAGGATGGGTATCCATTCAGGTTTCAGCAAACAATTGTGATCTGTACTGGACTGGACCAGTGGATTTCCAGGGTCTAATTCAGATGGGGACTAGTTGGCCAATCTAAGGTGCTTTAGGATAAAAAATGAGAAAAAATGATATATTTCGAATATATGAAACAGAGATTTATTTTAAATGAAAGTTTTAACAAAGGTTTTTCTATAAACATCAGTGTTCCACTCGATCCCTATTCTTCTACGAGAAAAATCGGCATGTGTGTTTGAGGTTGGAGGGTGGCAGGTCGTCATTGCAGGTGAATGGTATCAATTCACTTGTGAGTTTACCTTATTTTTTCCATTTAATGTGGAATTTATGTGCTCACTTCATTTCTAGTTCTACATGTTCAAGAAATATTGTACAAGAAAGTTAGAAAGACAAGTTGTTTGTCGTCTGCATGTGCTGCAGTAAGCATAGTTTAAGCTGGCTTATGATGAGGAAAAATGTTAAATGATATCCTTTTTCTTTGGTGATAGTCTCGGATGTGATGCGAAGCATATTGTCTCATCTCACTCGTATTTCCTTATTTCAACTCGTATTAGGAGATGAAGTGGAAATAATATTTGAACTCCATCCTTCTTGCCGCAACCTTTCTTTTAAGTGCCTCTGCAATCATACAATGCACCTCAGCAAGATGATGGTTTCTTTATGGTTTTGGAATGATCTAATAACTCAAATCGTCTTTGTTTTCGGGGTCTCTTGCTGCTGGAACTTTTGACGATCTGCTAAGTGTTTTTCTTCTCTGTTGTTATCTATTGTATCAGTGCTGTGCTTGATGAGGTGGACATACTCTTTGGCGACGAAGCATTTGAGCAGGTTTTACGGACCTTAATCAACTCCGTGCCAGTAATGACACAGTATCTGTTTGTAACTGCAACTCTGCCGGTTGATATTTACAACAAGTTAGTGGAGGATTTTCCTGATTGCGAGGTGATAGCAGGACCGGGTATGCACCGTACCAGCTATGGCCTAGAAGAGGTTGGGTTTATTACTGTCTTTGTTGAGATGATCTTGGATAGTCCGTATACTAGCAGATGCATGAAACTATTTTCGTCCTGTAGCTTCCTCTGTTCTCTCTTCTTCATTCGTTCCAGATATTGTCTGTCATCCCTAGGACTGCAAGATTTGTGAACACTAATCCGTATATTGGGCTGTAGAATTTTACTCTCCTACCATGGCTGAAGTTGCTTTTCATGCATTAATTTGGTCAGAAAAATGTCTTAGTTTGGGTTCTAAGCGATAATTACTAATTTCTCGGAATTAGTTGACCCTAGGCAGTAGTATATGGCTTATTTCTCCTGAAACTTTGCCAGAATCTATTTATGTGGAGTGTGCGCTTCTGAATCAGTCAATCATTCTGGATTGGACCAGGATGGATGGGGCTGCATCTGCCCTATCGTAGACTGTGTGAGAAAACGCCTGCAATGGGAATCGTAGCAGGCGATATACCTGGTTGGTTACTTCTAGCAGCGGCCGCTAAAAGTTGGGACATTTGGTTTTGATGCAGGTTCTCGTTGACTGCAGTGGAAAAGATGGGGAGGAGAAAACCCCTGAAACAGCCTTCTCCAATAAGAGGACTGCCTTGCTGCAGCTCGTGGAGCAATCTCCTATTCGCAAAACTGTCATCTTCTGCAATAAGGTTGCATTCTTTTCCCTTATGGATTAACGCCATTGACTATTTATTTCCTCTTTCATGCACTTATATGAAGTTTCCAGAGAAATTTTTCTTGAGTTAAGAAAACCCAAATTCCTCAGCCCAACGGAAAGGCTTTCCTTGAGTTATTCCTCTCAGTAGGTCTTGTTGGCTTCCCTTTGGCAGATAGAAACCTGCAGAAAGGTTGAGAATCTGTTGAAGCGTTTTGACAGGAAGGAGCATCGCATCAAGGTCTTGTCGTTCCATGCTGCATTAGAGCAAGAATCACGCCTGTCAAATATGAAGGAGTTTATGAGTTCACAGTCAGCTGACTCATTGTTTCTGATATGCACCGACAGGTACCAGTGTGACCCTTCCTTTGACTACTTTTTAGTAGATTTTTAAATTTTTTTTCCAGTAGGTGTAGATATGTTTATTTTTGGTAGATTTACGAGTACCTGGTGATATATTTCTGTACTACAGGGATTATACTTTGTCAATATTAATTATAGGAGTTGATGGTGTAGTCAACATCCCTCCCTAGTAAGAAAGAAGAGAATGCTTCCTCTTTGACTTCCTTCCCATGAAGAAACCATCGGTTTGGATTAATCATTTGAATCAATCCACCTATTCATCTCATCTTTCCTTGGCAACAGGGCTTCACGGGGAATTGACTTTGCCAACGTGGACCATGTGGTGCTCTTTGACTTTCCGCGGGACCCAAGTGAGTACATCCGCCGCGTCGGGAGGACGGCCCGGGGCGCTGGTGGCACAGGCAAGGCATTTGTGTTTGTGGTGGGCAAGCAGGTCTCCTTGGCCCGTAAAATAATGGACAGGAACCAGAAGGGCCACCCTCTCCATGATCTTCCCTCTACCTAGGGGGGAGCCGCAGACGGGCTCTCCCTCCACCGTGTATTTTTGAGCATCTAATGAGGAGACCAAAGAGGAGATGCCTTTTTTGCCCACTCTGACTGCTGTGCATAGCCGGAGGTGAAGGTTCTCCTCCCCAGATTCTCTCCAAAAGGAAAGATAAAATGTTGGTTCTTGTCTGTTTGACCTCCTCTGCACCCAGGTGGGGTCTCTGGCCCCTCCTCCCTCCCCACTTATTCCATCTCCGCATCTATCTGGGATATGATAGATGGCTGGTTGACCCTTGCAAGGTTGGGTCACAGCCTTGCTTCGCAGGGTTCATCTTTTGGCTCTCTGGCACCCCTCCCTCGATTCACTGGCTTTTGTTGCCGTATTATCCATGATGTGGCTGTCATGTTAGTGAGAGGCCAATTTGCTTTCATGCAAAGATCTATGAAAAAGAGTTTCGAGTCAATTCTCCTTCTGATCCTCACATATGCAAGTTTGACATTTTTGTGCAACCATGGTTGACTTGACTGCCGAGGTCGAAGAAGCCTAAACTGTGATCGAGCAATCGACAGCTGGCATCGGTAAGTTGACCTTCTTCGGCACGTTGGCACCCTTGGACTGATGCAAGTAAGTTGACTTGCACGCCGTTTTCTCGGAATCACTGTACTGCAAGGGTAATTTCGCAAAGATGGAATTTGTTCTTGTGACGTTGGGTCTTCCATCGATCTCTTATTGGGAGTCAACTCACCAAAAGTTCTTGCGTGCGGCCATAGTCAGCTGGGAGGGGGTGAAGGTCCGACCAAAATTGGATAATTTATGCAGGGTGTATTTGAAATTTCGCCGCGGATAGAACCAAATCTAGGCGATTAGGTACCCCTTTGTCTCCGCCACCGCGTTCCGGCCGTCCTCAGTCGTCGAGCTGCGCCGCCGCCGGTCGAGACCACGTGGCGGCTTTCTTGAAAGGGGGGAATTTTGACCAAGAGCCTCGGATTATCTCGACCGTCCGACGGCCGCGGTCTCCGCCACTAGGCCCACCCTTAAAGGTGGCCTGGTGGCTCTCCGATCGCCTACGGACGTTATCTGATCGGTCCGCCGAGGAGGAGGGAACGGGGGAGGGGTTGGGGTGGGGTCGATCGGTTCTCTCGCGAGCAAGAAGCCCTCCTGCAAAAAGCTACTATTTGTATTGCTTTCCGGTGCCGCACTCCAAAGTCCGGCACATTTTGTTCGGTCGAGGAGTCGCATTCTTCTTCCTACTCCCCCGACCCCGGCTGCGGTCCTCCCATCGGAGCCGGGCTCAGATCAGGTGCCGCCTGCAGGCGTTATTCGCCTCTCTTTGTTATTGTTGTTGCTGTTGTTCCTCTTCTTCTTTCTCTTCTTTCTCCCTCTGTGCTTGTTCGGGTTTCCCCCCGGATTGTAGTTTCCTAAACCGGGGTATCGATCCGTGCTGCGGGGTTCTTCCCCTTTCCTGCATTCTCTGATCTTTCTTTCTGGGCTTTCGGTCGTTTGCGACAGGACAGGAGCACAACAGCGCGGTCGAGATGTTGGCGGCCACGAGGAGGAGGGTAGGGATTCATCTTGGTTTTGACTGAGTGCTGTGGTCTCTGCTCAGCGACGGGGTCTTGCACAGATATTTCTGTGTCTCATCATCTTCCTTTTATGCGGTCGTTTGCAGGTCGTCGGGCAGACTCTGCTGAGGGTTCGGCAGGCTGCGGTTCCTTTGCCGGAGAGCTACTGGGGTGCCGGAAATGAGGTATCTCCTGCTGGGGATTCACCATGGAAGAGCTCTTGTTGTCATCAGATTTAAACCGGCGTTGCTTCAAAAGTGATCTTAGGATTCTCTGAATCTCTCTTCGGCATCACACGTTGTTGTCCTGCGTTTTCATATCTGCTGGGTGATAGTTCCGGTCTTTCTGGATATCGATTGAGTGAAACTTTCTTATTTTCCTTCTCTTGAGGATTCCTCTGTCTAGCTGATCATTTTAACATAACTAGAGGATACAGATGGAAGAGAAAGCCCTTTTACATCAGCTCCCTCAAGGCTGAGACCCAACACATATCACGAGCCATCTAGTCCATGAAGTATCAGGCCAGGCAGGAATATATTCATTTGCTTCTACTGCATTGGATGCCGTAAGATGACATATTACTCATATTTAGCCGGTCAGATGAATGTCTCTCAATGTCCAAAGCTGACTCACTAGTCCTCCACTCAGGAGAACTGAAAGCACCTAAGAGGGCAGCTGACATAGTTTGCGGATACTTCACTTTTGAGCATTGTTTGTCTGTGTTTGTAGCAGCATGGGTTGAGGAAGTTACCTAATTCAGCAAATTCATTGAGGGAGTCCTTGAAAGGAAAAGTGGATCTGGTTTAAGCTTGCAGTCCTAAAAATAGTAACAACATGTTGTATTGCCTCTGATGGAAAGGGTCTAAATATTCTGGGAGTTATGAATTTCATAAAGTATTGTGAAGATCTTGCCATGTAATATGCCAAGGGATAAAAATACATGCCAACAAGGGCTAAAAAATGTTTATCGCCCACGATTATAAGAAGTGTTTATTCTACTCATGGAATGTATTTCAATTTCGGAAGATGTTCTTGATCATTGGAATAGATTTCAACTATGTTGAATACCTCGGAGGATGAGTCCAGTGGAATGCCGAAATTGAAGTTTATGGGAAGCGGATCTGAGACGAGCCAGATCAAGATGGCAAGTAGATTGAGATGTGCCACAGAATTGCATAATTCTGTCGGTATCTAAGCATAGTTCTGAAGGCAGGCAAGCTCAGAATGTTGTTTCATGTACAGGTGCTCAAGCAAAGGCATCACTTTTTTATTTAGTTTTGGTTTTTGTTTGAAGTAAAGAGACTGAAAAGTATGAGATGGTGGGAGCTGGGGAGAGATGAATTGGGAGAGGTGGAGATGCTATTTACATCTCGAGACAGATAGATTGAGGAAGTGAGAAGAGTGATGTGGAGAGACAGTGCTAGATTTCGGATAATCTTCTTTTAAAGGCTAATCTTTCTGGTTGGTGGGGCTTTTAATTATGAACATCACAGGAAAATACAGGGTGAGATTTTTTGGTAATGTGGAAGGGTGTATTATGGTATATGCTATTTTTGGTCTTCTGGATTACAGCTACGGGCTACACCATCTTTGTGTGGTACATAGTTTATGTGCGTGGGGTTTCTGAGAGGTCATGCCTTTCAGTAGTTTTTTTATTCCATTGGTCTGGGATATGGAAGGATCCTACCTTCTTCATTCCCTTATGATTTGAAATAGTCAATTGCCGGAACCTATCTCCCTTGCTGCCATTCTGCTCTTCTGCTGAAAATTTGATTCCCTATTAACAGGAGATCGCTCTCACGCCTTTGAAATTCGCCACCGTCTCTCTTATTTGCAGTTTCTCCACTCTGAATGCTTCCGTCCCCATATGACTCGCATGGTGCCTCTCACAAAGTCCCCTTTTTTCTTCCTTGCTGTTCTTTGTAATTCATGGAATATGACGTTCCTTACTAAATGTTTTGTGTCTGATTTCTCCTTTACAATGTTTGACTCCATCACAATCGTTTGTCTCGAACTGTGAAAGGTTTTTTGGGTTTGCTAGTAGGGGGATATAACCAGATGATGTAATGCATAATGATTTGGTATAACCAGACTGGCCCTTTCCAGTTCCAATCTGGCATCCTGGATCTTATTTGGTTATGCTTCGATTATTCTTTAGCTTCAGATGGGAGGCCTGAGCACCGTGGAAACCATGACTGCTGTGTTTACAAACTGGGCCTTGGGAGAAGGGGCTATTATTTGGTATTTCGAGGAACATACTTTGTTGAGTTCCTAATGCACGTGTCTATTTACCTATCGCTGCTTTCAGTTTCTGTGATTGGTGGGATCCATCACTAGCCTGATTCATCGTTTTCCAGCCCCTCCTGCCAATATCCACAAATTGTGGTATGGGGAAGTGATAGTCTGCATTTGTGTCGTGTCAAAGTAATGTTCTATGTGTGGGCTGGCAGCAACAATTATCTTTTCTCTGTTGAACTTGCACTTCCTGACGATAATGCACATACTCTAGGCTTTATTTAATCAATTTATTGGATATCCTTCTCGTAAGTTCCTACCAATCATTTTTGCAGATATTATGTCTGGGGAGAAACCCTAGGCATTTTCAAACTTTCAGTGTTCCTCATTTGAAAGGTGAACTTGTCTGCCATTTTGAAGTATGGAATAGAGTAGATTTATTTTTTGCAGCCACTGATAATGAAAGTTCGTTTCTCCAGGTGGTCAACTTGAAACGAACATCAGGTTAGTAGTAAAATGCTTGCTCACCTGTCAATTTGTTTTGCTTAGCTTTAGTTGATCCAACAACTGTGACTAACCTGACTTTAGCTTCGAGAAACGTTTGTCCCCACTTCACCTTTCGCTCAGTTTTTATTTATTTATTTTTATTTATGTTATTTATGATGTAAAGGATGGTTGAGCTCTTCCAAGCCACTTCTGCACAACGCTGGAGCAGGTCATTTGCATCAGATAATGGTCTCTATGACGCTTCCTTTTCATCAAATATTTTGGAAAGGAAATTAATGTTCTTCGCAAGAATATGCTCTTGACACCCTTTTTTGTCCCTTGTTCTTTCTCAATGAAGGTGAACTAGTCGATGCAGTCGTTCCCTTCATGGGAGAATCTATAACCGATGGCACACTCGCAACATTTTTGAAGCGTATGTTCTACTATAAACCCTAGCGGGGTGCTGCATATGTATTCCAAACCCCAGTTATTCGTCTAGTATGCTCTATCTATGAGCTTAGTGTGTTCTCTTGTACCGGATTGGTTTTTATTGATATACTCTTCTGTCTGTACCTATGAAATTAGAAGAAGCTCGAATGCTGTGCTCATTATTGCTCTGATTTCATGTCTGCCCACATTTTCTAATATGTTGAAACAGAGCCTGGTGACCGTGTTGCAGTGGATGAACCGATTGCTCAGATTGAAACGGACAAGGTTTCTTTATCGACTTGATGAGCAGTTTTCCAAATATTATATCTGATCTTCGTTGGAAATTTATTTAATCATGAACTATTCTTTCCTCACAGGTTACCATTGACGTTGTTAGCCCCGAAGCTGGTATCATCCAGAAGGTGAACCGCCTTTGTTCTGTGTACATCAGCTTTCTCGTCACAGAGTTTTATCATGGATAAGTTCTGTTAATATTAATGGATCTGATCCTTTGATTTTGAGCAGTTTGTGGCCATAGAGGGAGAAACTGTCACACCAGGAACCAAAGTTGCTGTGATTTCTAAATCAGATGCAGGCACGACTCATGTTGCACCATCAGAGGAAAAAATCGCTAAGGATATCCCCAAGGCACCTCCCGCGGAGGTGCAGGGTTCCGAGAAGAAAAAACCTGTACCAGAAACTCCTGTAAAAGAGAAGCCCAAAGCAGCTTCTCCTTCACCTTCTAGAACCTCTGCGTCAGAACCTCAGCTTCCTCCCAAAGAAAGAGAAAGGCGTGTAAGTCTTCTCAGCACACCTATGGCGTTTGATACAAGTTGAGGTTGAATCCTGTGTCCTGTTATTTATCCATATTCTTTTGTGTGGATTTAATTTTAATTTTAGGTTCCCATGACAAGACTTAGGAAACGGGTTGCAACTCGTTTGAAAGATTCTCAGAATACGTTTGCAATGCTGACTACATTTAACGAAGTTGACATGTAAGCCTTGAAAAAACGCTGGATTCTCTTGTTATATATTTTTGTCTTTGATTGTGAAATTTCGTAGATGCAGGTGACTGTGTGTGCACGCTTCTATGGTTTTCTAAAGAAATATAGACAAACTAACAAATTTTCATGTGACTGGTTGAAAACGTCAGGACAAACTTAATGAAACTTCGGTCTGAGTACAAAGACGCCTTTGCGGAAAAGCATGGCGTCAAATTGGGTCTTATGTCTGGCTTTGTGAAGGTATGCATAGTCAAAAATATTTGGCAACCGATTTTCTGTTCTTGGTTTTATTCTTCACTGTTTTATATTTATGAACAGGCTGCTGTCAGTGGACTCCAAAACCAGCCAGTTATTAATGCAGTGATTGATGGGGATGATATCATTTACCGAGAATATGTTGATATCAGTATTGCAGTTGGTACTCCAAAGGTTTGTCTTTGAACCCTACCCACCCGTTTCATCTTAACTCAAGATTTCCAATGCTCATTGATTTCTTACTGTCAGCGCTACCCCCATTTATCTGTGTAGCATCAACTAAAAGTTGATACATTTAAGCTAGTTTGATCTATTTCGATTGTGCCGATATTTACCATCAAGCCTTCATCTGCCAATGCTGACATCCTCTCTAATTTCCATCCACATACTACCCCCCCAGATCCCCAGAGAAGGTTCTCTTCTGGTGCATAGGAAGTTAGCATAGGATATTTCTGCTGTACAATCTATGTTTGCAGCCTGGTTGGAAAGCTAAATGGGGGAAAACAGCATTTCGGATAGATAGATGATTTAATTCGTGATAAACCATGTACAATTCGTGAGATGCAGGCCAAAAAGCCGATATAATATAATTCGTGAGTTGCAGTCAATTGGAAGAGTTTATGGGATGAAGCCAAAACCTATTCGGAAAGCTTCTGAGATCAAGTCCATCTGTGATTTCTGAGACGAAAGCATCATATTTGGGAGTCTGTGGGATGAATTCTTGTTCAAGAGGCTATTGGGATGGGGTGTCCTCGGTTTGTGAGATGGATCTCCTCCGAGCGAGAGTCCATGAGTTTAAAATTCGTTTGTATGCGTGCATGAGTTTAATGAACCTCTGCGATGAGGAGGCTCATTGGGATACGGAATGCGGATGTTTAGAGGCCCATGGAGATGGCTGACGGATGATGGCCGGGTGACATGGGATCTTTCTGACCGCTAGGTTCCATGTCCACGTGAGTCCTTGTTTAATGTGGATGTCTCTGGCCACCTAACTCCCTCCATGGGACTCTGAACCCACCCACGGAGTATCTTGATTGGATCTTGACCACTGGTTCTGGGGCCTCAAGATCCTGCTGAATCTTTGCTTATAAATGGGAGGGAGATTCTGGTAAATGGGCCTGGAGCATGGGGCTATGCTGGTTGAGATCTTTCCTTCTTTCTGAACTTGTGCTTGAACCATGTTTTTTCTAGCCACTCTGAAAGAAGGAGATATCTAGATGGTCTGTTGCACACCCCGTTGCCCAGAAATTCACCCTCGCCATCCTCCCAGGGGCTCGTCGTTCCAGTCATCCGCAATGCTGACAGGATGAATTTCGCGGAGATTGAGAAGGAGATCAACACACTGGCCAAGAAGGCGAACGACGGCACAATATCGATTGACGAGATGGCTGGGGGCTCCTTCACTATCTCCAACGGCGGTGTCTATGGGAGCCTCCTCAGCACGCCCATCATCAACCCTCCTCAGGTACCCCGCCCCCGTGAATTAGAATCGAACAGTTGACCTCCGACAGGATCGCTCCTTGTTCGGGGGGAAATCAGAATTCAGACCCGGCTGCAGATCCATCCGAGATTGGCCCGCAAGGATTTTCTTACAGTTACAGGCATTGATCAAAACATGAACTCGTCTTTGAATTGCAGTCGGCCATCCTGGGGATGCACTCCATCGTGTCCCGCCCGATGGTCGTCGATGGCAGCGTCGTGCCGAGGCCCATGATGTACATCGCACTGACGTACGACCACCGGCTCATTGACGGAAGAGAGGCGGTGTTCTTCCTGCGACGCATCAAGGACGTCGTTGAGGACCCTCGCCGGCTGCTCCTGGACATATGAGGCGGCAGGACCCACCCCCCCACCCCCCCTCGCCGGCTGTTTGCTGGTTCCTGCTTGTGGGAGTGGCCGGGTGCAGCTGGACCGCTTATTATTCGTCGTGAGAAATAATGGCCTCAAAAGCAGGGATTCTTTTTGCTCAGTCGGCACGGTTTTGCAGCAGAACTGAACCCAGAAGATGGGCTTTGTTGCGTTTGCTCCAATTTTCAGCATGCCCTCCACCTGTTTGTCGTGTGTTTCGGCTGAATACTGGCCTCCGAAAGGGTCGGACGAGCCCACCCCCCATCCCTGGGGTGAGGACCGCGTGAATACTCCTGTTTCTGTCCGAGCAATCTCTTATCCCACGGACAGAGATGAGCACTTTTGTGCTTCCCAGCAGACTCTCTCTATCCCTCTCTTTTTATTAATGCGGTTCAGGTTTCAGCCACAGCCTGCGAGATGAGAAATATAATGGGGGTAGGGCGAGTCGACTTAAATTGCAAGGTTTTATCTTTTTCCTTTGTTTGATCTTTGGTCCTTCCCTGTCAAAGAGAGAGCCCGGCAATGTCGCAAGATCTCTCTCTCTCTCTCTCTCTCTCTCTCTCTACTGTCGTAACATTCAGGAACCCTTTACCCTCTCCCAGAAAGTCCCACCGTGATCTTCGACAGTCTGTCCAGGTTTGGTCTGACCTGTCTGAAGGGCAAGCACGATAACCAACGCTTACTCCCACCAAGCTGAGTTACTCTGAAGGGTAGGCGACGCAGAAGATGCCTCACCACGCTCGCCTGGGAAGAACGGCCTGTTTAGCGGCTTATCCACGCGGAAGGGGTGGACAAGGGCAAGCGACCTACCATGTCCAAGGTCAAAGCGGACAACCGGCGTGTCATCTGTCAACTCCATCGGCCAAGTCACTGCCGAGAGATTAATCACTGCCCCACCCCATGTAACTGTTCCCAAGAGATTGTCTATGCCCATACACATGAGTAGGGGTGATAAGAGCGAGGTAAGTCTGAAGTCAGCCATGTCAGGTCGGGGTTCCTTGTGGGTCTGGCCCAGATATCTGGGTTCCAATTGGACTCGCCTTGGCCAGTCGGCACCCATTTGCCTCAGTATATGTGCACATATATGGATATATAAATACAGAACAGTTGGTGATTTATGTATCCCATTAATCATGATGAGGCAGTTGACTTTTAGATCGATTTGGCTCGCAGACGGCACATTATAATATGTATTATTGTGTCCATACTCCTCGCCTGCGAAGGGATTAAGGTCTTCTGATGGAAATGATCAAAGAATCCATTGTTGGAGAGGGAGGGGGTCTCATCACAACAAGCAAGTTCTTTGAGTATATGGGTGGGGTGGTTCTAAATCATTGAATCAGACTCTTCAAAATGGACACTCTTCCTTTGTACACTCTTCGTACCATACAATGTGCGTATCATTTTGAAAGCAGGGATGCCATTTTTTGAGAGGCATTGGTTGAGAGAACTCGTTCATTCTTCTTTTGTAAGATCCCGTACTTCTTCAAAGACTTTTCTTGCGTTTGCTATCTTTTCGTAGTACAAATAATTATCAGCCAGCCATCTTGAAGTTCTCTTAAAATGGACAAGTCAACACTTTAAAAGATAGAAGCAATAAAAGTTCTTGTTCCACTTGTATTGGCTTCGTAGGTAGGCAACATTTACGTTGGAAAAAAGGTAATTTACACGAGAAAGAACTCATAAAAATAGTATATGGGGACGGCATCTATGGAGCCTCGGCCTATGCCAGATCCTTGGTCTTGGGTTGACCTTGATGTACTAGCTTATCCTCGTAGGAAGAGAGATAGAGAGAGAGAGAGAGAGAGAGAGAGAGAGAGAGAGAGAGAGAGAGAGAGAGAGACAGACAGACAGACAGAATGAGAGAGAGCGCCATGGAAGTGATATTAGAATAAAATTGCACGCCTATTTTTCTTTTGGGATTTGATTTACCACATTGAAAGTTCTTGGTTCACCTCACCTCAACCATTGTGCAAGCGGCATGTACCTCCTATGGGCCTATTCTAGACTCGATCTAGTGTTTTGTCACAAACGTTGTTCTTGTTACTTGTTTGATGTGAACCTCATGATGGTTTATTTTTATTATCTTTCCCTTGGAACAATCTCTCTCTCTATCTCTCTCTATCTATATGCACCCATACATATATATATGTATATATGTACATGTCTACGCATAATCTTGCCAAATGAAATGGGTTGTTGACTTTGCGCTAACCCTCACCTATCTCTTTATAAAGTCATCCCGACATGATCTTATATCTACACTGTCCCACGTTTCTCTTGACTCGTCTGAATTGTGAGGATAAGAATTAACTCTTATCCCAACATGGATAACAAACTCGCAACACTTCGTGACGTAAACCCTTCGATATAGTCATCTTTCATCCACCCTTCTCTCTCTCCCCCCCATTTGTTCATCTCTTCATCTCACTCCTCTCTATCTCTATCCCCATTGAGATCTAAAATATACTCACATAAATAGGGCGGATGACGTCAAAGATGCGTCACAACTCTAGTCAAAGTAACCTATTGACACACACCACGCTAGAGATTAGATTTTGTAGCCGTCCATCAACGTGGCAGGTTTGCGGATGACAGCCGCTCGCCGTCCATCGACATCCAACGTCAGCTTCAACAACCGCTGTCTAGCCGGTCAAGGCTATCGGCCCCAGGCAATCCCGCGAGGTTGCGTAACAACACCTGCTTCAAACCATGACATCTATCCGTGTATTGCTAGATTTCTGTGGTTGATGTCAACAAATTGACCACGTTGAGTTCGAAGTTGACTTCAAGATCGGTTGGGACGGCTACTCTTTTGGTATTATTGAGTCCCTCCTCCTTCCCAAGGAGAAGCGTAAACTGGAGAACCGATGAAGACATCTCCAGAGCAAATCGCACGGTTCTGTCTGTTAATAAGGACGCGGAGTTCGTCATTTTTCATTGGCACGTGGATTTCTACATCTTGTCCGCCCTCTGAAGAGATCTTGCGGATACTTGGCGCTCAGACGATAAGCGTAAAGACTGAAAATATACCAGCAATCATCCGATTTACTCCACACACACAAATACATAGAAATCCAGATAGGTTGGCACTTGATTCTCTTGCATGGCGAGGTCTAGGCTTCATTCACATGTCAGAGACATAAGCAGATGGCCTACCCAGCGAATCAGCGTGCTAGAACAGACGCAGGCAATGACGCAGTTAATGAGAGAGTTAAGTAAGATCACGTTGTTAAATGAGTAAACATGTTGTGTTGGATTCCGAATTGATCGAGCTGTTGAGTTCTTGGCTTCAGAGAGGTAAAGATACAAGTTAAATCACATGATTAAATGTTTGGATCCTTTATTGTTCATTGTCAATCAATTTTCCGATTATTGACAAGATTCTTTTATAATTTGACAAAAACGCAAAGAGATGGCATGCACGTGACGTGACGTGGCCTATTGGAACGGGAATTGAGTGGAAGAGATGATGGGCAAAATAACGAGGTTGAGTGTCTGAATCTATGACGATAATTGTCCATTGATTTTGACTATAGTAACATGAATCTTTTAACAAATGGAACAGGGCTCGAAGGCTTATATTCCAAATGAAACACTTTTAAAATAAAAATCTTACAATTTTGCACTTTCTCAAATTATTATTATTATTTATTAAACTTTTATGAGTAGCCATTTAGTTTGAAAGTTGGGTTTAGAGAAATTTTTCCAATGTGAAAATACCATAGTGGAACTTTTACGATGTTTTATATCATATCAAACATGCCTTGGCAAGGGAATGTACAATGTCTAAGGGTCGTATGGCACATCCTAGATATTATGGCACACTTTGTCTATTTACCAGATCAACTTGTTCATATTCAATAAAGGTAATCATCCCATTGTCTAAATATGTACAATCGAGATAGAGTTGCTTTGTAGGAATCACAAATTCTCATTTTCTAAGGTATGTCATTATTAAAATAATGCTACTTATCCCAAAAGTACAAAAGTGTCTTCACGAATTCGCCCAAGATTGCAACTTAGTCGATTGAATATTTGGAATTAAGTGTGTAACCACACCATAATATCGACACTGGCAGCCTAAAAAAGTGGTTGAATATGTAGGTCTATTATACTCATTATTTCGTTATATTATAGACTAATATTATTATTGGAGCCTTATGTCGTGATTTTTTATTTTATTCTAAAAAAATTATAATTTGGACAGTTGAGTCACAGAAAATTAGTGGCTAAAACAAACTAAACCTGTTCTAAATTGATTAGTAGTCACGAGCTTCCATTGCAGGGTAAACACCTGCAATGTTCAACTTTATGCAAACATGGTTGTAATGCTCAACTTCATGCAAATTGATAATACATGTGATAGTATAGATATTCGCGCTTAGAAGGCATAATTATGAGAAATATTGTGCTTCCTCATCACCTTCTGAAATCTCCAGACGTTAATCGATCTTTGGCTGACGAAGAAGGCTTTAAAGTCTGGAAACTAGTCTTTTATGATATCTCCAAAGAGTTCGATTAAAGCTTCAAAGGCCAACATCCTGGAAACATATGAGACCAATCTTCTTCGATTTATACTGGTTGAATGGCTAAAAATTGAAAAAAACTTTAAATCCTATGTTTTTAAACAGCTGAAATACCAAATCAAGACCCAGTTTCTTCACGAGCGACGAGCTCTTAGACGTCCCGTATCATATTTTCTCCTCAAACCGTTGAATTAATTCCCACCTGGACTTGATAAAATGCCTCATACGGATCTGCATTATTGCTGCAGATACTGATAATGCTTGTGTTCGGGAAAGTCAACGGCGTGGCTATCCTCATGAGTGGTCTCGTGGGTAATTCAACGAATCGCTATCCGGAAAGCTTGTGGCTTCTCTGGCCGAGAACTTCTTCTTCGTCTTCGTCTTCACCGTCATTATCGCCGTCCCCTTCCCATTCTTCCGTGCTGTAATCAACCATGTCATCATCATCCTCGCCGTCCGCTTCTTCTGCTCTTCTTTAGGCTTGTAGCGTTGAGTGACCCGCCTAGGAACAAGGGTATTAAGCAGTACTTTATATGACTGTGGAACGTAGGGTTGTCCGGATTCTACAAACCCTAGATGGTTCACATAAGATGACAAAACCAGTCAGGTTTCCATTAGAAGAAATTCCCGAACACTGTGAATTGGAGCACAGAATAGCCACCGATTGCGTGAATCATGAGTGGTGACACTTGACCCGTCCTTCAGATGCCCAACGGCGTAAAAAGAAGCACCCAAAATGACCAGGGAATTCTTCACGTTTAGTCGGCGATATCTGAGGAGAAATGGATTACTTCGCTGACCACCAGGCCTATTTTTGCCGGCGTCGAGCACGACGGTCATCGATAGCACATCATCGCTTGCATCATCTTGCAGATCGTCCTGCAGACAGTCACCGGTTCAGATGAATTCTACCTTCTTGCTCACCGTCGTCCTTGATGCTTGGGCAAATTGACCGAGCCCGGGCCGGACGCTTTTCGACATCTTAGGCACGTCCTTGTGAATCTGGCCTCCTTTGACGGAAGTCGTACGCTGCATCGGGAGAACTTTGGGCATGGATTCCAAGTACAGATCCCACCACAGTCCCCGCGCCTGTTTCTTCTCAGGCCGATCACGTAGATCAGACGCTAACCCTCATCATAATTGTTCCCAATCTCCAACGACGATCCTTGCCAGCATCGGGAGAAGTCTAAAGGGAGCCTGGCTGCCTGGTTTTTCAGCCCAAAGATTACGTAGATGGTAGACGAGGATCTTCCTAGAGTCAGAAGGGTGGAGAACTGTGAATCGACGGTAGATACATGTACGGAGGGTTGTTGACATGAAGAGCGGTTGACCAAGGTGGAAGTTCTGAGCCACGGATTCGAAGATGCTTTGATTTGACGATGAGGAATGTCAACACTGTCCTCCGCTCTTCGAAATGTGTACCCACTCTTGGTAGAATCAATACCACGCGGATTTCTGAGATGAACGGGTGACCTTCCGGAAATTCTGGGTCCATTGAGGGGAAATAAGTTTGACGTGAGCGGCCGTTAGATTTATCTGCAGTTCCGAAGCAAAGATATCCGCGGGGGCCAGTTCGGCCTATTCAGATATTCACGACCAAGAGAAGAGGTACTGGATTCTCTTTCGGATAGGCCCTGAAAGGAGAAGGAAGGCTGGAATGCCAACAGAGGTCTGTCTATTCTCTAATTCACCCGACCCGATAGTACCCGTTTTGGGAACGTCCAGTGCCAAAGTCACTGAATGGGCAAGTCGCCAATCCCTAAAACGGACTATGTAATGTACTTTATCTGCTGGGTTACGGGGGGGCATTTTACGGTTCTTGGGACGAGAGAGCTGACTCCCAAAGCATTTGATTACGCAGATGACGACGAAAGTCAGCGGGGTTTTGTTTCCTGTACATACCTACCTATGCTACCCTTTTCCCGCTTCGCATCTTTCTCTCGCACTCGCTCTCTATCTCTCTATCTCTCTATCTCTCTCTCAGCCTCTACCAGCGGAACGATTTTTCGAATTAATGTACACTTTCGGGAGATAGAGTCCCTCTCTCTCTCTCTCTAGAGGGTGTTCCGCGAATCCCTCGTTCCTATTCCTCTCTATAAATAGGTGGCGAACGCCCGGGAATCCAAACATCCCGCAAAGGTTTCACCTCCCCAAACCCAGCAACCACCCCGAATTCCTTTCAGAGGGGACGAGGCTGGTTGGGCTTCTTTCTTCATGTTTTTGGGTGCACACACAGAAGAGATTGCGAGAGAGAGAGAGGCCCCCCAGGAGGAGGATCATCCACACGGCAGCGCAGCTCTGCCGTCTCCCTTCCTCGGTCGTAACGGAGGAGATCTTCAACCCGGCGGGAGACCACGCCGGTAGGCAGGCAGGTATGGATGTTATTAATGGGGCACATACTTCCCGTCTCTGTTGTACCTGAATCAAGGAACAGAACGCGTTCAGTTGGGGGTTTGGGGCCTCCACGAGGTTCGGCGGAGGGGGAGGAAAGAAGGCAGCTTGAAGAAGCCACGCCGTCCACATACAATGGGATCGATCTCCTCCGAACCCTCCTCCTCATCACCTCTCTCTCTCTCTCTCTCTCTTGCTGCATAAATCTATATACTTATATCTCTCTCTTCCTCGTTTCTACATGGCATTTGTAGGGATCCTTTCATCTCTCTACTAAGGTCTCTTCCTCGCCTCCTCTGCTCTTTTCGCCGCGATGCAGGTGCGCGCCGGAGGAAGGTTAGCTTCCTAGCAAGAGAGTGATACAGAGAGAGAGAGAGATGGAGGCGGCTTGCCCGAAGCAGATGAAGGCGACGTCGAACGGGGCGTGGCAGAAGGACAACCCTCTTGACTTCGCCCTGCCCCTCATCATCCTCCAGATCTGCCTTGTCGTCGCCGTCACCCGCGGCCTCGCCCTCCTCCTCCGCCCTCTCCGCCAGCCCCGCGTAATCGCCGAAATCATCGTACGTCCCTCTCTCTCTTTCTCTCTCTTCTCCACCTGTCCATCGCCTCTTCCAGTGATGGACACGACGACGGCGACCGCAGGCGGCCCATTAGGCCCACCCACTGATAAACAGTTTTCTTGCAAAAGCTAACGTCTTGTCGGGAGTAGAAAGCAGCTGACGCCGCCATTGACGTCGCAGGGGGGCATCCTGCTGGGCCCGTCGGCGCTGGGCCGCAGCGGCGCGTTCTCGGAGAAGGTCTTCCCTGTGCGGAGCCTGACAGTGCTTGACACGCTGGCAAATATCGGCCTGCTCTTCTTCTTGTTCCTGGTGGGGCTCGAGCTGGACCTGCGTGCCATCCGCCGCACGGGGAAGAAGGCCCTGGCGGTGGCGCTCGCCGGCATCTCCCTCCCCTTCGTGCTTGGCATCGGCACCTCCTTCGTCCTCCGCGCCACCGTCGCCGTTGGCGCCGCCCACGGGCCCTTCCTGGTCTTCATGGGGGTCGCCCTCTCTATCACTGCCTTCCCCGTCCTCGCCCGCATCCTCGCCGAGCTCAAGCTCCTCACCACCGACGTGGGCCGCATGGCCATGTCCGCCGCCGCCGTCAACGACGTCGCCGCCTGGATCCTCCTCGCCCTCGCCGTCGCCCTCTCCGGCTCCGGCTCCGCGCTGGTCTCCATTTGGGTGCTCCTCAGCGGCGTCGCCTTCGTGGTCTTCGCCTCGGCGGCACTGCGGCCCTGCCTGGCCTGGATGGCCCGCCGGTCCCCGGAGGGGGAGCCCGTGAAGGAGACGTACATCTGCGCGACGCTGGCGGCGGTGCTGGCGGCGGGCTTCGTGACCGACGCCATCGGCATCCACGCGCTGTTCGGGGCCTTCGTGGTGGGAATCATCGTCCCCAAGGAGGGCGCCTTCGCCGGAGTTCTCATCGAGAAGATTGAGGACCTCGTCTCCGGCCTCTTCCTCCCCCTCTATTTCGTCTCCAGCGGCCTCAAGACCGACATCGCCACCATTTCCGGCGCCCGCTCCTGGGGCCTCCTCCTCCTCGTCATCCTCACCGCCTGCCTCGGCAAGATCGCCGCCACCGTCCTCGTCTCCCTCCTCCTCCGCGTCCCCCCTCGCGAGGCCCTCGCCCTCGGCTTCCTCATGAACACCAAGGGTCTCGTCGAGCTGATCGTCCTCAACATCGGCAAGGACAGAAAGGTCCCACTTTCCTTCTTTCTCTCTCCCTCTCTCTCTAGCTCCCATATCTGCGGACAGACGCAGGAGACGAGTACGGTGATGAGGAAATGATTCATCCATCCATGCAGGTACTGAACGAGGAGACGTTCGCGATCCTGGTGCTGATGGCGCTGTTCACTACCTTCATCACCACACCGATCGTGATGGCGGTGTACAAGCCGGCGAGGCGGGCGGCGCCGTACAGACACCGGACGGTGGAGCGGGCGGACGCGGGGTCGGAGCTGCGGATCCTCGCGTGCTTCCACAGCACGCGGAGCATCCCGGCGACCATCAACCTCATCGAGTCCTCTCGCGGGCGGCGCCGCCGGGGGGGCGTCACCGTCTACGCGATACACCTCATGGAGCTCTCCGAGCGGTCGTCGGCCATCTCCATGGTCCACAAGGCCCGCCGCAATGGGCTGCCCTTCTGGAACAACAGGGGCCTCTCCGGGGGCGACGGCGACCTGGTGGTAGTCGCCTTCGAGGCGTACCAGCAGCTGAGCAGCGTCTCCGTCCGGCCCATGACGGCCATCTCCGACCTCGCCACCATCCACGAGGACATCGTCACCAGCGCCCAGCAGAAGCGGGTGGCCCTCATCGTCCTCCCCTTCCACAAGCAGCAGCGCCTGGACGGCGCCATGGAATCGCTCGGCAGCTCCCTGCAGCACGTCAACCAGCGGGTCCTCCGCCACGCGCCCTGCTCCGTCGCCGTCCTCGTCGACCGTGGCCTCGGCGGCGTCGCCCAGGTCTCCTCCAGCGATGTTTCCTACTCCATCGCCGTCCTCTTCTTCGGCGGCCGCGACGACCGCGAGGCCCTCGCCTATGCCCTCCGAATGTCCGAGCACCCGGGCATCGCCCTCACCGTCCTCAGGTTCCTCCTGGCGCCGGGGAACACGCTTACCACAACCTCCACCGCCACCCCCGCCGCCGCCGACGAGACGGCGGCGGACGACGCTCTCCTCGCCGAACTCCGCGCCACCGCCGCTGCCGTGTCCTCCGGCGGCACCACCGCCACCTCAGTGGCGTACGAGGAGAAAGTGGTGACCGGGAAGGAAGACATCATTGCCGCCATCAAGGCGGCGGGGAGGTCCAATCTCTTCCTGGTCGGCCGGTCGCCGCCCGTGGCGGCGCTGTGCAGCCGACCAACGGACTGCCCGGAACTTGGGCCAGTGGGCAGCTTCATGGCGATATCGGAGTTCTCGACGTCGGCGTCTGTGCTGGTTATCCAGCAGCATGACCCCAAGGGGAACCTCCCGCTCCTGGTGGAGGAGGTGGTAGCAGCCGGCGACGGTGACGACGTCCCCGACACCCCGGACGTCTCTTCCCACGTCCGCCGCGCCGGAGTGATGCCGCTCTGATCGCCGCCGACCTACTGCAACTCTCTCTCTCTCTCTTTCTTTGTCTCTCTGTCTCTCTCCTTCTCTGTAAATTGAAACGACGACGGAAAGGATAAGCGACGAAACCCTAGAAGACGACCGCCACCTTCGAATCTAATAGCGAGAGGGCTCGTTTATTCTTTGCCCACAGTATATGACGTGTCCGGGATCGTCGGAGGGCCCACGGGGGTTGTCATGAATCTCAGAGAATCACGCTAGCAGTGCCTGAGATCATAGCCCTCACGATGGTCCAGGTCTCATATGATCCACAGCACAGAAGGCAGATATTTTTACCGTTTCGATTTTAAAATTTCCGTACGGTCTTGATCGCGCCAACGCGGGTGGTCGCTAGACACGTGGCACGGGAAAGTGCGCACCACGTCCGGTCCGCGGAATCGGATCTGCGGACCCCACGACCTCTTTTCCTTATCTACCCCCGTCAGCCCCATAACTTCTATGAGGTAGTAAATGTCGTGGGCATTCGAGGCGTGTGCCAAAAGGTGAACTCCGAGGTAATCTTGATTATTATGAGCTCTGACAACCCGACCCTTTCATCTCAGCGACGGCCCTAAAAGTGCAAACATTATGGGTACTGGAAGATAGGTGGGCCCCGCAGTTAAGGAGATTATGACCTCAGGCAGGCGGGAGGTGTGGGGGTAAGATTAGGGATATTCTCAGAAAGAGAGAGAGAGGGTCTACATCCCCCCTTCTCTCTCCCTCTTTTTCGCAGTTTCCACGCTGCCGCCGAGGCGCCGCCATCGCTCTTTCAAAGGAGAAACGAGCGGAGAGGAAGGAATTCGCTCATCTTCCTCCCCAAGTTTCTCTAAATAAAATCCTTTCTCTCTCTCTCTCTGTGGCTGCTGGATTTCCTTTCCTTCTGCGAAGGAGAGAGAAAATTAGAATTCTTAGGAGAGGAGCACGAGGCCGGAAGCCTAGGCTTGACCTAGGGTTCCGCTGCTGGCGGGGAGACGATGCCGACCGTCACGGCCATTGCTCTGGAAACCCTCCTGGAGCCGGGTTCCTCTTCCTCCGGCTCCCAGCACAACAGAGGAGGGCACGGCATCGGCAATCCTCCTCCATCACGACCCCACTCGTTGAAGGAGGACCATAGCCGACTCCGCGGAGCCCGTGGAGGCTCCTCCGCTGCCTCCTCCTCGCTGAAGGAGCACCACCGCCACCAACCCGGGGTTCGCCGCGAGCAGCAGCCCATCTTCCTCTCCAGGCGGCCGCGGGACGAATCCGAGGTTTCCGTCGCAGCTGATCGGAACGATGACCCCGCGCAGGCTGCTGGATCTAGGGCAAAGTCCACGGCAAACGGATATTACATCTCCCCCAAGCTCTACGCGACGCCAGAGCCGACGCTGATTGTTCCCACCGGTGGGATCTCCTCCTCCTCCCTCACTTCCGTCTCCTCGCCATCGCCATATGTTGTCAATCACAAGCGCCGGGATCTGCCTCGCCCGCCGCCTCCCCTTCCTTCAACAAGCAATGATAAGGGGGGTGCGTTTCCCCCTATCCATCTCGAAGGGTCCGACTCTGCGACGAAAGCTCCTAATTCCACCATGGAAGTTACTGTCAGAGAATTGACGAATGGAACCCATGGAGGTCGCTCGGACGAACAGGAGGATGAGGAAGGCCTGAGGAAGGTGGAGGACGAGAACAATTCTTCGGATCTCCGGTCTCATTCTGGTGGGCTGTCTGAGAAAGAATGTCCTGACGCGAGCATAGACGATGACATGGATGATAATTTCTTTGATCCACGGGAGCTGATGAGCACAGTGAGCAGCAGCGACACAGAAGACGGAGGTAGCGTCCTCCGTAGTGGCTCTGGGAGGTGCCACACTCCGCTCGCCAGTCTCAGCGAGTTCTATGATGCCAATGAAGGTCTTCTTTCTCATCCTATTTTCTTCTTTCCTCTGTCTCGTTATTTGCCTCCCCCATCAGTTCCACAGCCAATTGATGTTCCTTTACCGTGCCCATGTCTTTCATTTTCTTCGGCAAATTGCTTTTTCTTTGAAGAAATGTTTGTGTATTTTCCTCATTCTCTCGTTCTCATTTACTACCTGCATACCCGGTCCGAACTAGACAGCTGCCCCCTCTCATGTACGCCTCCGATTTGTGTTCAAACAAAGTATTGAGGTTATGCGAAGCGCTTGGGAGATATCCTCTAGTTCGGAAATCTTTGGCCCACTTTAGAAATATTTTCTATTCTCCCCGTCGGCAGACTCTAGTTCTTGGCGCAAATAACCTTCTCTATTCTCCACGGGTAGAAACGCTTACGTTATCTGAATTTCATAAGCATTTTAACGCAGACGTAAGGGATTCTTTATGGATTGCATACTGTTTTGCGTGTGAATAACTGCATTCGAAGTTTCTCACTTTGTGGCAGAGTAGGAAAAAAGGTAATTTTGTTTTGTTTGTGCACTCAGGAGAAAGATTTTTTCGCCCTTTTTTATTAGCTCATCATGATTGTAGTCAAGTGTAAGACTATTCACCACAAAGTCAGTAAGATTGGACCAAGATGCCACAGGCGAAGAAGGGCCATAAGACGCCCAAGGCATTGGGTACTTTTAGGCAAAAAGTTTATTGCCTGGGTCACTTGTTTGATGGATTTAAGCATTGACATAGGTTAATGCTCACACATAAATCTGGCTCAACGGTCTTGTGGGATGGACTCCAAAACCAGCATTTCGACTGCAGGGAACTTACCAGCTATGTATATATATACAGATGTCTTACAGATCAAAAATTTCATGGTTGAAAAGCACCAGATCCCTCTAGAACTCCAACGTTGTATGTCTGAACAAAAGTATTAAGGGGGTGGGTGGTTTCCTTTGATGTTCTTGTACTGCACCGCTTTAAAGGCATCTTCTGAAAGCAAAAAGAGACCAGTTTTCACCTGGGCACCTCACATTGTTTCCTAGATGACTAGTTGGTTGGCTAAGAGTTTCATTGTCTTGGTCTTCCGCCATATTTGGGTATTGCTCCATTTGTATCTTAAATTATTGCCAATGAATGTTCCTCCTATCCCGAACTCGACAGCCATTCTGCCAGGAATCCTTTAGTGATAATGCCCAGTTTTTTCAGTCTATGTTCCATCTTTTATATTTTCCATAAAAACGGTTTTCATGGTTTTCATCGTTTTGTTGATTTTGGGATTCCGGAGCAGAGTAAAAGTCAGAGAAGAAATCACTGTCTTGGTCAAGTTTCAAATACGCCTAGCTTATATTTTTGTTTCCCACTTTTTAAACTCTTCCTTTTAAAATTTCTTTGTCAACTTATTTCAGAATAGTCATAGGTAAGGGTCATCTCGGAGCAGCCCGAGCAGATATTTGATTGAAACTAGGAGGATCTGCACTGCTAACAAATTTCAATGTTCAGCCCTTTTCTTTAGATATGTTGTCTGACACTATTTCTCATTCTAAATGATTACTTTATCGGTGTTATGACCATAGAGTGAGAAATTTTTGAGCGATATCCGATCTGAAACAGAAGAAATTCTGCATTTTGTCAAATTTTATACCTTGAATTGAGTGACCTGTCTACGGCACCAACAAAATGAATAAGAAGATCACGTCCCCTTGTTGCTGCCACCCCCTTTGAATCTTATTCCTTTTCCTTGGAATCCTTTGAATGAAGGTTTCGTTATTAAGGCGTCAAAAGGATTGTGCAAAGAGTTGTCCATAATTAGCCGATTAATCTTACTTTCACTGATAAGTGCTTTCACTCAGACGGGCAATGGTCTATTATCATGTGCATTCACTGCAGCCATCAAAGTTGCTTTTTCTGGGGCTCTCTTGCCTGCTATGCGTTTCATCATCTATGGCTCCCCTTTGTTGCCTTGGATGCATTTTCTGCTTTCCTTATACCTTCATTAGTTCGATTTCTATGGCAGCAACTGTTTGCTTCCCCCCCGACCACTTTACTCTTCTGTTTGCTCTAATGGGCCATGCGCATCTGAAATTCTTTAGAAACCTTCCGCACCATTCAAGTTGATGCTGTGGGGGAAGGACTATAGGACTTTGTGCTCCTCTTAACTCATCTCTGCCGATATGTTGATTGATCTGGTGTTGGTCGTTTGCAGATTTCTTCTCCGATGGTTCTGTTTCACGGGCATCGCCTTCTTTCCGGGCGAGCATCGAGGCCGATCTTCGCTCCATCAGACTCGATCTATTCGAGGAGATGGACAGGAGGAAGAAGGCGGAGGACGCTCTGGAACACCTGCAGAACATCTTACAGAGGATGGCCGAGCAACTCTCCCCGGTGAGCGCCGTCACATTTTCTCTCTCTAGGCCTGGGGGCAAGGACCCCCTCTGGGATGCGAGCTCGGCCGCCCAGTTCTGCCAAGAGGTGATCGTCACAAGGATGGTGTCCGAAGCTCTGGAGAGGGGCTTGGCCGGGGCCGAAGCCGAGGCTGCCGCCGAGGCGGTCATCGAGGTGAAGAACCATGAGATTGCCCGGCTGCGAGATCGGCTCCAATATTACGAGGCCGTCAACCAGGAGATGTCGCAGAGGAATCAAGAAGCCATCGGTATGAATTTTGATCTCCTCGAGTTCATTCATAGTTCCCCCCAAGTCTCTTCCATTTGAAAAGCCTGTTTAATATTTTGCTTGCCCATTTCATCGCCCCTGGCGGCGCTGCAGAGCTCGCCCGCCGGCAGCGGCAGAGGAGGAAGGTGAGGCGGCGCTGGGTGGTGGGCTGCGTTGGGCTGTCGATCGCCGTGGGGGCTTCTCTGATGGCCTTCTCCTACCTGGGCGGGGCGCACGGCGGGCGCCACGAGCCGGCTCCGGTGGCCGCGGCGGAGCTGCCAGCGGAAGCCCGATCGGCGTAACGGCTCTGCAATGGTTGAACCCATCCGTGAATGAATAAAAAGTGATGTACAAACAGAGCTCCTCGACGCCGCCGGGAGCTGAAAACCTCAGAAACCACAGAAGCTTTACTTTTATTCCTGCGATGATGCCGTGGCCATGCTCAGGGAAGAAGCAGTTCCAAAAGAACGTGTCCTCCATTATTCTCTTGTGGTTGGCCCCGCCATTATTCTCTTGGTCTGGACATGGTGATGGAGCCGCTACCACGTCTCCCTCTTGCTGGCTCCTCCGCCTCCATGGACGGGTTAGAGAGAGAGAGAGAGTGAGGAAACCAGTGGAGACAACGCCCGAGACGTTGCCGAACCTCGTCCCATCGCTGCTCGACAGTTCTTCAGACAGCTGTCTGCTCCCTCTCTCGCTCTCGGACTTTCCCGCAAAATCTACCGCCGAAATGGTTTTATTTCTCCGAAAGAGAGAGAGAGAGAGAGAGGGAGTAGTCGGGAGCGCGTAGCTCCATTTACGTTCGGTGGCGGAGAAGCCTCCAGGAAATCATCGCCCACCAAAGAAAAATTACTTGCTCAGTCTACGTAAGTCAACTGCTCTCTTGCTCTCTCATTCTCTCTCTCTACAGTCAGCGGGCGGCTCGTCCACATCGGGAAGGAGAGAGAGAAAGGACCAAGTCCGCCCACGTGCGTTCTCAAGGGGGGGAAGAGAGAGAGAGGGGTAGATGGGCCGGTTGTCTCCAACTGGGTTCGTCCTGGGCGGCTCTTTACGGAAAAGCCCGGGGCTCACCTACCGACGTCTCCTTCGCGGCCGCTTCCTGGCGGACCTCGTGCTGCTATAAATCCCTCCGCCGTCTTCCTTCTTCCTCAGGGATCTCCTTCGGTGCGATCTCTCTCCACCCACCCCCCACCCCTCACCCCCTGTAGATATCCAGCCAGAAAAGGAAACAAAAAGTAAAAAAGGGTTCGTCGGAGCAGGGAAAAGGAGCGATCTTCGGGTACCTGGTCGCGGTGGAGACGCATGGCGGCGGCGGCGGCGGCGGCGGCGGCGGCGACGCTAAGTATGCCTACTCTCTTCCCCGGGGGCGCGGCCGTGGACGGTCCCGCCGCTTCGTCGTCGTCTTGCTCCTGCCAGATTAGATGCGGCCCCCAGAGGAGGAAGAGCCCAGTCGGAGCCACAGCGAGCCCGAAGACGCCTGAGAAGACGAAGACCACCACCACCAAGCCTGCCACCGCCTCCCCACTCAGGAGCGCCGAGGAGCTTGCCTTCCGCCTGGGCCTCGACCTGGCCGTCGCCGGCCTCGAGCGTCTCTTCTCCGCCACCACCGCCGGCGGCGACGGCGGCGCCGCTGCGCTGCTCGACCCCTCTTCTGGGCGGCCGCTGCGGGTGGCGTACCAGGGCGACCGCGGGTCCTACTGCCAGGAGGCGGCGATGGCGACCTTCTCCGGCTTCCCGGGGGCCTTCTCCGCCTTCCCGTGCGGCGCCCAGATGGAGGACACCTTCGCAGCTCTGGAGAGCGGCGCCGCCGACCGCGCCGTAGTCCCCGCCGAGAACTCCCTCGACGGACCCGTCCACCGCAACTTCGACCTCCTCCTCCGCCACCCGCTCGTCGAGATCGCCGGCGAGCTCGTCCTGCCAGTGAACCACTGCCTCCTCGTGCTCCCCTCCGCCGCCGGCGCCGCCGCCGCCGTGCGCCGCGTGGCCAGCCACCCGCAGGCGCTCGCCCACTGCGCCGCCCGCCTCGCCGCCCTCGGCGTGGAGACGGAGGAGGTGCCCAGCGCCGCCGCCGCCGCCCGCGCCCTCGCTGACGGCCGGCTGCCCGCTGGAACGGCGGTGATAGGGAGCCGCGCGGCGGCGGAGGAGTTTGGGTTGGCGATGGTGGAGGAGAACCTCCAGGAGGGCTCCCCCGGCTCCGCGGCCGGAGGTAACTTCACCCGCTTCCTCCAGCTCAAGCTCCGGCCGCTGGCGTCGTCTCGGCAGCACGGCCACCTCGCCGCCGGCGGAGGGAGGAAGAAGGCGACTGTGGCGTTCGCGCTGGAGAGGGGTCCGTCGGAGCTGTACAGGGCGATCTGGGCCTTCGAGAGCCGGGGGCTGTCGGTGACCCGGGTTGACCACCGACCCAACCGGTCGAACCCGGTCCGAGTCGTGGACCGGCCCGGTGGCCCTGTCGGGAGCTACGACTACGTCTTCATTCTGGACGTCGAGTCCGCCGCCGCCGCCGCCGCCGGTTCGACCCGGCTCGACTCGGCCCTAGACGCCATCGTGAACCAGTTGACTGAGATCTGCTGCTTCGTGCGCGTCGTCGGCGCCTACGCCATCTAAACGTCATGATGACGTCAAAACGGGGTCTCAATCACCCCCAACCTCCCAATTTCATGTAATTTTCGACCAACTCTCTCTCCGGCTGTCTAAGGCGACGGAGAAGAAGAAGATATTTTTTGACCAATTCTCTCTCTCTCTCTCTCTCTCTCTCTCCTGTCTCCCTCCTTGCTCTCTTTCTCTCTCTCTCTCTCTCTTTCTATCTCTCTTTCTCGCCGGCAACTACTACGGTTGCTTGCGCCAGCGTGACGGCGGCACAGCGTCGTCGGTTGGTGGCGAGCGGCTCTGCGACCGTCGACCGCGTGGTGGCGCCGAGGGTGAACCGGATGAACGGATGACGGCATGTGTTATTTCAAGCATCTTGAAAAATCTTCTTCCATTTTTAATTATATCAATCACTTATTTATATATACAGCACACGAATTTACGCGTAACGGGCCGGGCCCTGAAACAAGCGTTGACTTGGGGGCCTGACCCGGCCAGGCAAGTGGGTTGGTAACGGCGGGTCAAACCCTTTTACAGTCAGCCAGCTCCTACCGATTGGGCTGTTCATACTCAGTATGTATTTATATTGATAGACAGAGTATTCAAAGCTGGCTAAGAGGCCTGATCGTCCCGGCACACAGTCTGAGGAGCTTGAAGAATCCTTGTGGAAGAAGCGTACAATATAATAAAGATTGCCGTAAACGTAGGCAGAGGGGGGACGAAGAAGTCCAGGTGATCACCGCCACCGCCACCGCCGCCGCCGCTCCTCTGGGAGGGCCCAATCCGGCGGAGAACCCTTGTTGAAACCTTCGCCTGGTCCGTCTTCCGCCACCGTCATCGTCTCACCGAACTCCGGCAGGTCTGAGCGGAAGTCTCAGAGACCTGCCGCCACTGGGGGAAGGAGGGAGGAACTCTCTTCTCCGGCCATGGTCCCTCCGCCCTGATATCCTCTCGTGCGCAGGAATCCGCTGCCATTCGGGAAGCTGGAACATCTGCAGAGAGCAGGTGCGGCGGTCATCCTTGCTTCACCGGCAGCCGGAGGCCATAGCTACCTCTCCCGCCCCTAGCGGCGCCACTGAAGGGCCTGTCAAGATTGCCGGCAGCGGCGGCGGCAGCAGCAACAATTAGAGACAGTTTGAACAGTCTATAAGATGAATCAACGATTAGAGAACCAGAGATGAATCAACGATTAGAGAACCAGAGAATCAAACGTGGTCCAAACCATTTTTAGGAAGATGCGTTGACCTTACCGGATGAAATTTGTAAGAAAAAAGTAAAATTTATGACAGATGGGTTTTCCAAGGAATGAATGAAGGGACTAAACGGGCATTGAGGTGAAAAAGTTCAGGAAAGAAAAAAGAAAAAAGCTTCATCTCATCTACGATCCGTAGGAAGGATTTTGACCAGATTCTGACCCCTTTAAGATGATGCCTTGACTTCAGCGAAGAGAGTTTTGCAAGAATAAATGAAAGTCAAACATTACCAGGAGACTTAAACAGGTTCCACACAATGTGCCATTATATCTGACAAGTGCAAGTAAATACCTGTCTCTACTTCCTGAGGACCCCAACCCGCTGTTGGGCCGCCTTCCGTCTACCGGCCGGTCATCTCTGCCATGCTTGGAGGAGCTCCATGTCCAGCTGTCATCAGATTTGAAGCTGCGGCCGCCATGGCGAAAGCTGTCTTCCTCGCCGGAGCCACGGCTGCCCCCCCAGCCCCCCGAACCCCTCGAGGATCTCCCCCTTGAACCTCTCCGGCCACCACCCTCGCGGTTTGAGAATTTGCCGTAATTGTCTCCTCGAGGGCCGTCATCCTCCAATGCAGGCAGCTACAGAGGCGCGGTGGGGGGAGGAAAGCTCCAAAATGTCACAGAAAGTTCCAAAATTTGTGGACAGTTTACTTAAAATGAACACTCTGTGATGTCAGCAGAGACATTTGAGAGGGGGAGATGAATCATGGGATGAAGAACTCACCTTTGTTATCTTCGATAAAGTGTTCCCGGGTGGCACCTGCCTTGAAAGCAGCTCCCTCGCAATCTCCTCAGGCAAGTCAAAGACAGCTCCTTGGACCTGGACAAGCAACCAGTTTCTAAGTCAACCATACAGTTGGGCTTGAACGGCTGTAGTCGGTCCGCTGCCCAAATTCGTGAAGGGAAATTCCAAGAAAACTAGAAAACCAAGTAATGAGAAGGGAAACCCCAGCAGCTGCTTCTAGTAGCTGCTTCTAGCGGCTGCATCGGTCAACCCACTGATCATGCATCTGCCAAATTCTCGCCGCTAAGAACCTCAGCTAAGTGCAGTCCAGAATTATTTCATTCAAATGGGATCCACATGGGATCCACATTTTAGATAATGTTTTATTTTACCTTCATATGCATGGCATCGACCAATTATTAATGAAAGCATACAGAAAATAAATCTGTGGCCAATATTCATCAAATAAAAGGTATGAATTTTCCTTTTTCTTAATTATTTTCTTAATCAAGAAATGGAGGAGAGTTCTGCCACCATCGAATTTCAAATGAATAGTAGTATGCACGCACCTTATCACCAGCAATCATGTAAATCTTTCCAACCTCGTCGGCAGCTGGAGGGTAGACGTCAGAGAGGAAACCAGTGACAGATCTTGGCGACAGGTATCCTCTCGAATAATCAGGATCGCGCGTCAGCTGCAATGTCACCCATCCCTGTGAACAGCACAATAGAATCTCTGGTGAAATATTCATGAAGATTGTTCAAGAAAGGATGGCTGTGTATTGTTCTTATTCTACAGGTGCAATCATCAACCATAACCTACATAGTGGTCTCACATAACATATAGTCCGCCAAGCACATACACCATATGCCACGGATCGTTGACGTTTAAATGATCAATAATTTGGAAGGAAAAAAGCGAGTTTAAGTGGCTGTACACCAGAAAATCCATTTACATGGGAAGTAACAAAGAATGTTGCTTTCCATTTCGATATGAAGCTACTGAAAGTTCAGCAGCTTTATTTCGGGGTCCAGAAAAAATAAGTAGGGCTTCTTAAGAAAGAAGGAGCAGGAACTCACCTGCTCGTGGCTGACAATGGAACGTGATGAAGGAGGTTGAGAAAAACCGCTTAAATGAGCTAATGCCGCAGCAAGGGCTTCTGGGCCTCTTTCTTGCATCATTTTTTCCGCAGATGGGAGGAAGAATCGCACTGATTCTTGGTGTACGCCCCGCAAAGTAGCGACAACCTGCTCTGATGACGATTCCAGAACCTCCGGCACAGATGGTGGGCTGATGAACTCGAATCGGCATCCTACATCACGCTCCAGAGATTTGATTGTTCGCCTCTGGCTTCCAGTGAACATAAGAATGGCAGTTCCTTCCTTGCCAGCACGCCCTGTTCGGCCAGACCGATGAACAAATGTCTCCGGATCGTTTGGTAGCTCATAGTGAATAATCTGGATTATAGTTAGAGAGCGGGGAAACAAAGGTAATCAAAACTCCATGAGCAATGAGCATTCATAACAGTCGAATATTTACATGACACAATCAGTAAGGAGAAAGCTGAGCTATAGGGGAGAGCCAGCAGGTATATCATACGATAAAACTACTAACCAGATGTTTTGTAACCGTAAAAAGGAAGATGTTACGTAACACAATATTTTTGAATCAAAGAGAAACATGCTAAACACCTAAACCCTAAACCCGAGGCATCTTGTGGCCTGTAGAAGAAGTGGGCCATTGATTTCCTTTCATTACCCAACAAGAAGAATTTAGGGAGAATGAAAATGGAATGAGTGGATCCACCATTATTATCACCATCACCACCATCACTGCCAGGCCTTATATCATATATGTCGAATGAATCTGACTTATTTTTGGTCAGCCTCACCGGATTCACACTGATGCGTCATTTCCGCAAACGAACGCATTGAATTATAGGCAAGAAAACGTTCAGGTGTGGGGCAGCGCAAGATACTAGCCACCCCTTTACTCTCCAAAGTAGTGATGGATGAAAAATTCCTTTGATGGTATCAAATGGTGATTTAAGCCTTTCAACTGGCGCTATTTTATAATTAAATAAAAAAAATGAAACAAAGCGTTCCCAAAATACTCACCAGATCAACATTAGGGATGTCGAGTCCACGAGCAGCAACATCAGTTGCGACGAGGACCGTGAACTTCCCTTGACGGAAGCCATTCAGGGTTCTCTCACGCTGATGTTGAGATATGTCCCCATGCAATGCTTCAGAAGCAATACTACTGGACAAAGCTGTTGACACTTCATCGGCATCTCTCTTTGTCTGTGTGAAAACAATGGTCTTCCCACCTTTTGAATAGACCTGCAGACATCACAACAGTAATTTAACAACTAACACTCTGAAGTTGTATCCAAGTTTCTTCATGGAAGAGCAGATATCACATTATAGCAGCCATAAAATATAAAATATACTGAGGAATGATAGCACCACAGGGAAGAATTCCGCGGGATGAGAACTGAGCTATATTTAATTCTTGGTAAAATCGAAAAGATGATTTTATCGTATACCGTAATAAGATCACTGAGAATGACACGCTTTGATGCTGTAGCCGGCACTGCATAAAGCCTGATGCCTTCTGCAAGCTTTTCTTCATCATCACCCACCTGTACTACCCCACAAAAAGAAAAAAAACAGGATGAAACAACAGTGTAGCCGGAAAAAAAAGGAAAAATATGGAATCGCATGAAAATGTTGCAATTCACATCTCCTAATTCCAATTCCCCGATCAGAGGCAGATAGCACGAAAATAATACATACCAGATCAATCGTCAGAGGATTATCCAGGTGCTTCCTTGACAACTTCTTAACCCATCCTGGCATTGTTGCTGAGAAAAGCATACTCTGGCGTTCCCTTGGGAGCCTATCCAATATGACTTCAACATCCTCTTCAAACCCAACAGCAAGCATCTGGTCGGCTTCATCAAGAACCAAAAATTGAACTTCGCTCAGCTTGAGGCTAGAACTGTTTACGAGGTCAATAATGCGCCCAGGAGTTCCCACCACCACGTCAACCCCACGAGTTATTGCATTCTTCTGGAGATTGTAAGAAACCCCTCCGTAGACACAGACAGTGCTAAGATAGGGAGCCGATTCTTTGATTTCCTTTTCTACTTGCTTGGCCAACTCTCTGGTGGGTGCTAGCACCAGCACACGAGGAAGCCGCCCTGTCTGTCTACAGAGAGAAATTAAAAAAAATAAAACTCAAGGGCAAGCAGGAAGGGCTGATCAAAGTTCTTTCACACTCTGGGTGCAGGACTACCTCGTCATAATTCTCTCTTCATCAGCCTCAGTGAGCTTCTTGATGATCGGAATTCCAAAGGCCAGAGTCTTGCCCGTTCCAGTCTTTGCCCGAGCGATGATATCTCGACCCTCCAGAGCGGGTAAAAGCACAGCCCTCTGCAGAGCAAGATACATCGTGTCAAGAACAGCTGATGGATGCAACAGGACAAGGGGGAGATGCTCCCAACGAATAAAAGCACCCCAGGAAATAACACCAAGCTCAAGTTAATAAACGACAACGAAGAAAGAGAGGAGAATAATGCTACCAGATGAACGCTGTATGGTGAACGATTATTACTGATTGGGCAGGCTGCAATGATTGGTAGAGCAACGATAACCAATTCTTATCAACGGATTCAGGAAATAATAAAAAAAATGGCCTTCAAAACTCTCTGTAATAGATGGATATACAGACAGAGGTGCGAACAAGAATCCTGACTGGACGTGAAAAATATTTCCAGATAAGACAAGGAGACATGATAACAGTCGATGAAAAAATAACAGCATCACAGTCCCACAACGCGATTGCATAACAGGCCCATAAGAGAAATATACTTTTCCAATACTAGCCTTTAGCGGTGGCTTTGCAAACAGCATGATGAAGCCAAGATACCGATAATAAGGAGGGTACGATAAGGATTTTTTGAAGCATGAAAAATTCAACGTCTAATTCTGTGCAAAGTATATTTTAAGCATGCTACAGAGACAAGAATGTATGTAGGATATTTTGGGCAAGGACTGAAAAAAACCCTCAACTTTGAGACAAAAAATCAACGCCAGAACATGCGGAAAAGTTTCTGCGGATGCGACGAAAAAGCTCTACACTTGTAATTGATAGGAAAGGATGAAACCATGTAGCAGAGCATATCAGGTCTTGTCACGAAGGAAATTGTCTGTTGATGGGCGTAATGAAGCTAGGAGGCGAGAGATTCATGGTACAAAAGAGGAGACAACGTCTAAACCTGAATGGGGAAGAGGCGGGTGATTCCCCGCTTCGTGAGGGAATTCACCAGCCTCTGCGGCAGCCCCAAGTTGGAAACTGCGAGCTCGTCACCGTCGACGCTGTCTCTCTCGGAGCCAAAGACCACCTCCCCGTCTTCTTCGTCAAACACCTCCTCATCTACGTCCTCCAGATGCTCCTCGAGTGGAGACTCTGTGAAGGGGCGCCCCTCGAACCCCTTGAAGGCCTCCTCACTGAGGACGGAGGTAGGGGTAGTAGTAGCGACTGCAGAGATAGCAAGCTCCCGGCTCCGCGGGCCGCTCCTCGGGGAACAGAAGCAGGAAGAAGGCGCCGCGGTTGCCGCCACCTTGAGCAGGGGCTTAGCGGCGGGGGCGGTCAAGTACAGGGAGGAGACGCCAATGACGGAAGACATGGCTGCTGCGGATAGGGCTTAAGCCCGGGTTTTGGAGAGAAACGGGGAGAGGCCGGAGAGAGGATAGAGCAGGGGAGGAGGGTGTTCTGATAAGGCCCCTGTTGTGTGGCCAAACAAAGACACGCCTCGCCCTTCCCCCCGCTCCCTGCCCTCACTTTATAGCTCCGCCCCTTCTCTGCTGTCAGAGGTGAGGAAAATATCCTCACCTCTGCCAGCAGAACAGTTGAAATCTTTTTATACAGAAATATCTTGGTCCAAAAGAAAATGTCATTTCCTTCTATATCTTTTTTAGAGGTATTAATTTTTTTAAGGAACGGGTTTTGATGATGAAAAATAATAATAAGAGTAAAAAGATTAACTCTTATGATTATTTGCAGTAAATATACGATATTTTGATGATGAAAATAATCATAAGATTAAATAAAAATATCAAATTATGACAAGAGACTAAATATGAAAATATTAAGATATAACTCAAAATAATCCTCATAAATACTTAGATGAGAACTTACCGTATAAATTTATTATCTATGAAATAATTTTCATCTAATTGGTTCATCTCATCATGTGAAACTATTATTTTGTATATTGTTATGAGAATTGACAATATCTATAGAAATTACCACAGTATGAAATCGAGTTATTAAGATGTTGAAATTTATGAGATTTTATGAAGTAAAATATGGGCATGAAATCTTACTTACTTTTGAAAGTTTTTGAAATTGAATTAACAAAGTAAATCCAAGCTATTCATTTATGTCACACAACATTTTTTAGATATTATCAAATATTTATTAAAAATTAAAACAACTTATATGGATCACTAAAATTATGATTGAAAATAGTGGTATCATCATCCAAGATATTCTTTTGAAAATCACACTTTGTTTGAGGTGATTCATATTGGTTTTGATTATTAAATCACAGTTTTAATGATATATGTTTTATTGATTCTAAGTTCACAATATTAGATTCTTATTAGATTGATATAGACCTACATGATTTAGATATGAACACTAAGCAATAACAGGATCACGTATTAGTTTCACTAAAAGATATCTGAATTATTTAAAGGACGAATTGTATTAGTCTCTTAGTCATTTGAATTAATGTCATTTAGAGAAAATAGATATTAAAAGATCATGAAAATATGAGAAGAACTTAGAAACCAAAGTCATTGTCCATCCTACAATTGCGAAATAAATTAAGGTGTGGTAACAAATCTAACATCATTACCATTCAAAGTTTTAGATGACAAGGTCTACTTCGAGGAGATCAGATTTGGTATCAACGTTTGTGCCAATGTGGTGGTTGCATCAATAACAACAAGTTATACTATGACACAGGAGGAAGGTGTGCTGGCTATGTGTGTAGCAATGGAGGTCAGCATATAGAGACAACTCTTATCAAAGGTTACAGACTTTGAAGAAGTTATAAGACTTATTGTTGAAGAAGCTTTCATCAGATTTCCTATCTTGGTGCAAGGTGGAGCACAAGATAGAGTTCATGTCGAATGTGTGTTTGTCATTGTACATATTGTATAAGATGGGACTAGTATGTTTGGTAAGCTACATAGGCAATTGAGCAAATTTTTGAAGGTGGAGCTCATTCATTCATCCAAGGTTCTTTATAATGATTTTGTCATCATTCATAAGAAAGAAAATCTCACTAATTATGCATCAACTATTGAGCTCTTAATAATGTGATTGTGAAAAATAAGTATTTGGTTTGCAATGTGGAGGATATGCCAAACCACTTAGGAGAAGTTTAAAATATATCTACGATGGATTTAAAGAGTGATTACCATTAAGTTTGCATTCGAGTAGACAATGAATAAAAAATGACATACATGACACACTATATCTTATATAAGTTCATATTGGTGCTTGAATTCAACAATATCTTGACAACATTTTGCACTCTAATGAATGTTATTTTTAGGAACTGTATTAATCGTTTTATCATAATACATATAAATAATATTTTGATTTACAATCAAAGCTTGAAAGAACGTATATAGTACTTATAAGAAATGATCACAAAGTTGATAAACAAAATAGTTGTCTTTAAATATCATACATTCATATTTGGGGAAGGATAGTAGATAGACCAAATGAAGGTTTATGTCATCAACTATACTTGAAAAAACTTAAATTAAAATACTTTTATATAAAAATATCATCCCCCATAAAAATATTATATTATACATATGATATGGCACTAACCATGCATATAATTTGAATCAAATAAAATATTTTTTCTACTATTTTTTAAGTGGAAAAATTAAAATGACATATTGCCCAACCAAGGAAAACGCTCAATTGCATGTTTCCCTATTCCATTGCCTATGAATAAATGAGGAATGCCATGATTTCAGTATTGATGATGAGTGAACAAGGAACATGATGATGCTTGAAAGTAGTCTTAGCAAGCACATTAGCATACTTGTGTTGCCATGATGGATGGGTTGTAGTCATAAAAAGACCATAGTTTTTGAAATATTCAACCTTTCTTAAGACAATTTTGGATGGGGACTCTCATTTAAACTACCCCTTGGATGAATGCTTGCAAAGAAACAAAGAAATATGCGGTGCCCTTCAAGAATTTAACATGATTTCTTTAGGTTCTTCAACACTTCTCTATGTCTCCCAAGAATAGACCACTATCTTTTGTACATTTGACTCCATGCTTTAAGGAATTCAATCCCTAAGTCCCTGGGATCTTTCCGCACTATTTCTGCCTTCTTCCACAGACATAGCAGGCATAAAAAAAACTGATAATGTCCCTTCACCAATTTCAATGTTGGTTTTGTAGTTATCTTCTCTTTTTATTTTTTTTATTTTTGCGCACTCTTGTCTGATGATGGTCTGAATTAAAAATTAAGCGGAAAAAATAAGATTTTTTTCTCTGTTTAACCTGTCCATAAAATCTGTAGGTAATCTGAGCCCAGAAGTCTATGCATTGAGCGTTGTGATAATGGCGAGGAAGGAAGAAAATTTAATGACTTTCGTCTGTAGATCCTATAATTATCCGCTCCTCTGCTGCCTCGGCCGTCGATCTGGATCCCCGTCCTCATCCTCTGGAAGAGGGGAGGGTAGACGGGGAAGAAGTGACGGTGGGGCGGGGTGGGCCCATTGGGCTGGTCTTGCCCTAGCGCAACATCTCGACGAGGATGAGGTGACTTCCGTAGTGCCGTCGCCGCCGCCAGAGCGTCGTCCAGCAGGGTTCAGGTACATCAGGTAGCCCCTTCCCCCTCTCCGCTCTCCCTCTTCCGCACCGAACGGTGCCCTACGGCCTCCCCCTTCTTCCTCCCCGGCCTCTCTCTCTCTCTCTCTCTGCCGCATATTACCAGCCCTAGGTTTCCGCTGAGTGCTTACCCTCCTATTTGTTCCATCGGGTCCAACTTCAACCCTGGAAAGAACCCCCGGGAAGATCGACTGCGAATAGAAAACCAGAAGGAACGGACCGGCAACCGCATACCCTGTTCTGTCGATACCGGTGGTCGCCGTGGATCAGAAGAAGGGGGAAGGTGATCTGAAGAAAAGGATGCCCATGGGGGAGAACGGCGAAGAAGAATAAGCGTTCACAGCGGGGCATCACCCTTCATCACTTCATTTTGACTACAAAAGTCTGCCATTGATTGTTTCAATTTCGGTCACTGTTCGATGGAGAGGATGCCCGCGTGGAATACCCCTTCAAGCTCTATTCTTGAAGCACCATCTGCCGGCACGTTAGAGTTGACTAGCGATTTTCCACTCCTTTGTTTGTCTGGGATCTCCAGTTTCGATGCGCCAAGAACATTTCCCAGTTTGACTCAAGGCGGGTCAAAACTTCCCCCGGGGTGACTCGATCCCATAACATGGGCTTCGCCTGATCTCAGTCAACTGTACATAACGAAGAGCCCAGTTGACCTCGGATCTTGAGATTTGGCCCTTTCTTTCAGATTTTCCCCACGTCTTCCTCTCGTTCATCAGCTTCTCCATCTACTTACCATTATTTTTTGCGAGTAAGCCATGTCCTATATCCGATCTTAAGTAAGTCATGATAGCCTCGCAGTCGGTTCTTGCATCACGAGGAGAAAAACTCAAACTCGGCGGATATGATGCATTCAGCCGGGCGTTGACTCGCTTCATGCCCGTGCACTTGCATGGGTCTACCAGGTCCGCTGCGGCGGCGGCGGTGGGGATGAGCCTACGGCGGTGCGCGGATGTCTGGAAGCTGGGCACGGTGGGCTACTCGGAGTCCCTCAAGCTCCAGCAGAAGCTGCTGGCGGAGAGGAAGTCGGGGAAGATTGCCGACACCGTCCTCTCCCTCCAGCACCCACCGACCTTCACCCTCGGCAAGCGGCGTACGTACCACAACCTGCTGCTGCCGGAGGCCGACCTGAACTCCATCGGCGCCGAGCTTCACGTCACGGAGAGAGGCGGCGACATCACCTTCCATGGTCCTCACCAGGCCGTGCTCTACCCCATCGTCTCCCTCAGAGAGATCGGATACGGCGCGCGCAGGTACGTGGAGAGCCTCCAGGCGGCGATGGTTCGGCTGGCGGCGCTCTACGGCGTGAAAGCTCGCGCAGGGGCGGCGGAGGAGGTGGGCGTCTGGGTGGAGAACCGGAAGATCGGGGCCGTCGGGGTGAGGATCAGCGGCGGGTTCACCTGCCATGGCCTGGCCTTCAACATCGACCCGGACCTGAGCCTCTTCAGGCACATTGTGCCATGCGGGATCTCGGACAAGGAGGTGACCTCGCTGAAGAGGGAGGCCGCGGTCTCCCTCCCCGCCGACGAGGTGATCCAGGAGCAGCTCGCCGGCTGCCTGGTAGAAGCTCTCGGCTACGATGAAGTCCTCTGGAGAGAGGAGTCCGAAGATCTACTGAAGCGCCTTCGCCACTGATCGTCGGGAGCCGGATGATCTGAAATTTCATGGGTGCCTGCCTCGTTATTCTTTTTTAAGAATAAACTGAGACATAGCTGTTCTCTTGATTACCTTATTCTTCATCGGAAAAATAAATATTTAGGATAATGCATGTGATCACCATCATGAAGGGAGTTCTACGTGGGTGAGTATTCTGAATAATAAATCATTAGTCAATCATCTTAATCACATGATTTTCTCCCACTTTAATTCCAAGTATGGCTATGAATAATTAAAATATTAGAATTCCAACTAATGGATCATAAAGTCACATGCTCCATTTGACAAAATGTGCTCGGTGGTTTAAACATTTTTTGAAAACTCAAATTTAATTATTAGTTACTTAGTTGTGGGGTGCATGCTAAATCTTGAATCCATGAGCTTGATGTTTAGGAATAAAATTAGAGCTTATTGAGCATATTGTCATCTAAATCCCTTTTCAATAATAACATGTTTTTTTATTAAGATCTGATAAAAAAATATTTTTAATATTATAAATAATATAGTTAGAATTCTACCATTTTTTATGATTTTATTGCAAATAAGCTTGGGTACAAGCATCACTTAGGGTATCACTTGTTGTTTTGACTTCATGATCTTGATGTTTCTATACCTCTTTCTTTTTACCCTAGGATATAAAATTAGAAAAGGGAGATGCCACTTTAAGGTAAAACTCACTACATCCCCTTGTCCTTCCTTCTCTTCTTCCTTCCTTTTATTTTGGTGAAGAAATCAAATATTGAATTTGATATTGTATGACTTGTCTTAAAAATTCTTTAGGGAAGGGGAGGGGTAGGGGTGCACACTCAAGCGTGCACAAGGATTTTCCAAAAATCTCTAGCATCAAGATTCTTCTATACACCTCAGATTGACGTAATCAACCTCCCTCAACATTTTACCATTGAATTGTTGTCAAAGGAGACGGTGGATTTACAAGTGTCCCTATTTTTTTGTAGGTTGTCCTTACTTCACAATAGGCTAGCTATCTACAGCTCCTCATTGAAGAGTTGATTTTAGTTGGCAACAACCACTTGTTGAAACATCCACATTGTAGTGCCCCATAAATTTTAGATTGATTGCATTCCCATCTAAAATATTTCACAAAACAACTTCCCCTTATTAGCCATATATAGTAGAGTTTGTGGATTGTAGATATTAACCACATGAAGGAGGGTCCTCTTAGTTTAGAGAGACTGCTCCTTAAGCCTCTATGTCGATTTGTTGTGAGTAAAGATGAGTTTAGTTTAACTAATGCCTTGAGCAAAAACTCATACTTTTTTCATGAGAACTTATCTTTTCAAGCCTACATAGTTTTGATGTTAAGCAAATATACACAAGGGTAAAATATTAACTTAAAATGAACAAATTTATGTTGTGTATATTAAACTATTAACAAAATATTTTTTTAACCTTTGGTCAAGTTTCATGTTATTTCAAGACTATTTGTAAGATTCTTATGTCCTTTTGTTTTTGAAGAAGAGAGTCAACTCATGAGTTGATACACCATGAGTTTCATGTTATACAAAAGTTTTTTAATACTCATAATGACCAAGACACATTGTAAATAATTTAAAATTTTCAATATAGGTGTGAGCTATTTTTATTCAATTGGCAATATCTTACTTTAACTCTTGACTAAGTCCTAAAATATTTAAAATTTAGTACTTACAAAGTTTGGGTTTTCACTCCATTATAAGAAATGAGTTGTCTTTGTAACCTAAAAGAGTTTTAAACATTCATAATAACCAAGACACCATGTGGGGATATAATGATAATTTTATTTTGTGTGACTTCTAATTTTTTCACAATATTTTATTTTAACCCATAACAAAGTACCTTTTGAATTTTTTATTTGTTAAATTTATATTTTGCACTTCTTTGTAATAAGTGAGTCTACTTGTGAGTCAACTCCATTGGTAAAAAGAAGGTTGGAACATCATAAATATTCGTACCACATGATAGAATACAAAAAAGATAATAATACAAAAATCATGACTTAGTTGATTGGTAGTTTATAGAAGAGATGAACATGGTGTTAATCTAGTTTATCTCTTTATATCTTAAAATCTTAAAGAATTATTTGGGAAATAATTGAACTAACTAGATTTTTAAGGTCAATAAGGCCTACCAAAATTGTTGAGAGTGAAAGTTTAATGATATCTTTTCTCCACCATGAGGGGTGTTTGGGTGTGTCATCTTTGTTCAAGATCACTCCCTCAATCTTTTCAAACTCTCTCCCCAAACTCTTAAGGGGGTCTTTATTGGTTACTCCAGCACAAAAAAAGGCTATTGCATATACTTCCCACATTATCAATAGTACATTATCTTTACCAACATCACATTCTTTGAGAACACTCAGTTCTTTTCCACCACTTTTATCACCCTCACACCTCACTCACCTCTGCTATTATTTCATCTACCTTTACCCCTTTTGGAGGAGTTATCAGACTCAATGCCCATTGAATTGTCAAACATAGACTCATTGCCCTCATCTACTCTTATCTCAACTCTATATTCAAGTCTGTTGCCATCACCTAACTTCAACCTTCATTTACCAATCACTGATGTATTTGAGGCATCAGTTGAAGACAATACAATCGATTATCAGCCTTCACTATTTCTACTCCCAAGGACTCGTAGAATTGAAATAGTGAAATTCTTGACTCATCTCTATGGGTTCAGAAACAACTTATTTCTCTAGATCATCATAATGTACTCCCACAGAAATATTATCTTAAATGAGGAAAGGCAGCACCTCTCAAAGCTCATATAAGAGACAATTGGGGAAGTAGTTATGCTTATATCTCTAACAAGACAAGTTACCACATATCATAAACATGGTGAGTTAATAATTAGATGCTTCACCCACCAACTTATTGAAGGTTTTTAATTATATTGTTAGGTGTTTGAAGTCTTATATAAAATATATTATTATTTTTGAAGTCAACTACCTTTTAGATTGAGGATTGTATTGATGCTAATTGGGTTGGATCTCAAGATGATATAGAGGATCTATTGTAAGTTGTTGTATCTTCATAAGAAATAGCCTCATCACTTGGAAAAGGCAATCAATATTAACTAGATAAACTCTCAAAGTAGAACATGGATAAACCTATGGTCCACAAACTCGCCAAATGGTCATAGTTAAGACTTCTCCCAAGATATCTTCATATTAAAGTGAAACTTCCTCCTAATTTTTACTGCAATAATAAGGTGGTGATCAATATTTCCAACAACCCAATTCAACATGGTGGAACTAAGCACATAGAGATTAACCATCACTTTATCATAAAAAGGCTGCAATCTAGGGTGCTGTGTTTGCCAAATGATTGCTTAGAGGATCAGGCAGCTAATATCATCACAAAGGGAGCGCTCAAGGCCAAGTTTACACCTTTGATAGCCAAGTTGAATGAAATGGATAGAGGCTATCTTGGGTACAAGCCTTATTCCCTACTCTAGGGGTCGGCACCTCGATGTTATTTTACCCTATGACTCATGAAGTAAGAGAATTGCCGGGGAGGGGAGGGGTTCTCTTCCTTCCTCTCTCTCGGTCCGGCGAAGATTCTACAATTACTTGCGAAGTAGTCTTTGCCTCTTAGATCGCCGTCTAGTGCCCATTATTGGTGATGTTGTGGATAATATGGAGGACTAGTGATATTATTGGAGGAGAGAAGGTCCGGACTCTTCTGGAGGAGCCCCGAGGGGAACAGGAATAAAGAAGGCCGATAAGGACGGGGCACGTCCAGGCCCGTGGGGGGAGAGGAGGTAAGCTCATCAGCTCAGCAGGATAAGGATCGGGACTCGCTGCGGTCCACGTCGTCCTTCCCCCGCGGTCTCTCGCTGCGCCGTATCCCCGGGCGCCACGTCCGTACGTGTGCTTGTCGGGGAGGCGATGGACGCGCGAGTCGGTCGCCGTTTCCCTCAACCTGTGGGCTGCTCTTCCCTTCTATTTATACCTCGCGCTTATCCTCTCCTTGCAGAGCTGTCATCAGTGACAAGAACGGCATAGAGAGGGAGATAGGAGAAGAAGAAGAAGGAGAAGGAGGAGACGAAGAACAAGAAGAGATGGGCTCCCTCATGGCGGGGTGGGACTGCCCGGTGCAGGACCAGGAGACAGGTAAGGAGAGGACCAACATGCTGGCTGTCACCGTTCTTCGTTATCCTTCTTTTCTTATTGGTTTCATCTCTTTCTTTCTCTCTCTCTATGACGCAGCTCGGATGGAGAGGAACAGATCGCTGACCAAGGAGGAGATCGAGAGCTTCTGGAGGGTCCGCAGGAGGAGCATCGATGGGGAGGAGGGGGAGGAGCTGCGGTCTCCAAGGAGTCCTCTCAGTGGCGGCGAGGCCGAGGCCGAGACCGGGCGCCGGAAGATGGCCTTCCTCTGGGGGACCCTAGAGAAGACGGAGCCCTCGTTCCCCGTCGGCAAGGACGCCAAGCTCACCGGCGACTGGTCTGCCCTCACCTCTCTCTCTCTCGCTCTACCTCTCTCTCTCTCTCTGTACCACTCTCTTTCTGTCTCCCTCTCTACCTCAATTTCTCCCCCCCCCCTCTCTCTCTCTCTCTCTCTAAAGAGCCCGCTGGTGCAGGTGGACGAGGAGCAACTGGGCGTTCCTGAACGAGCCACCGCTGGAGGAGGCGGCGGATTCGGCGCACAAGTACACAGCCCAGTTCCACATCGCCCAGATCGCCACGCCAACGCCCCCGGCCAAGGAGACGACGCTTCCTCACGATGCAGCCAGCCCCCGCAGTCGTGATCAGTAAGAGGAAGCGGAGGAAGCCGTCGTCGCGGTCTTGTATAATAATTAACTACACGCATCCACCCACACGAAACGTGGGGCTTGTATATATCTGTGCCGAGGATTATATCACACCGATCGAGCTCGCGCACATTGATTTCCCCGAACCACACGGTGAGTTATCGTTCTTATGACTACCCTCATCGTAGTTTTGAGGATAATGGGAATTTTTATCGTCATCATCATCGTCATTATTGCTATCAACGTCAAACTTAGGCGATAATGTCAACGGAAAGTTGCCAAGGTTTATTGGGAATAAAGCTCCAACGAGACACATGCACTAAGAGCCCCCTACTCGCCCCCCGTCCCTCTCTCTCTCTCTCTCTCTCTCTCTCTCTCTCTCTCTCTCTCTCCCTTCTCTCCGGTAACGAACACTTCACCGACGGTCTGGTAGGAGGGGTTGGGCCCGGCAAGTTCGGGCCATTGCATACGCGGCAAGTGGCCAATGGGTGAACTCCCAAATTATGATTTTCATGATGGGTAGCGGATTAATCGGACTAAATGGGGAAGTCCGGGAGAGAGCCGATGGGCGACTTTGATGTTAATGACTCTCCAGTTATTAATTTGGGATCGTTTTTCATGGTGGGTAGCGGATTAATCGGAGTAAATGATCGGGAGGGAGCAAATAGGGGCAACTTTCCGTTCGTCATATCTCAAGCAGGTTGATCTTAATGACTCCTAAGTTATGACTTTGGGGTCGATTTTCATATGGGTAGTGGATTAATCGGAGTAAATGGGGCAGTCGGGGAGGAAGCCAATGGACGCAACTTTGCGTTCATCACATCTGCGGCAAGTTGATGTTAATGACTCTCAAATTATGAATTTGGGATTGTTTTCCATGATGGTTAGCGGATTAATCGGAGTAAGTGGGACATTTCTGGAGGAAGCCAATGGGATCGGCTTTGCGTTCATCACATCTGCGGCAGATTGATGTCAATGACTCCTAAGTTATGATTTTGGGGTCGTCTTTTATGATGGGTGGGGGATTAATCGTAGTAAATGGGGCAGTTTGGAGAGGCCGCCAATGGGGTCGACTTTGTGCTCATCACATCTACGGCAGGTTGATGTTAATGAGTCTCAAAATTACGACATTGGGGGCGTTTTTATGATGGGTAGCGGATTAATCGGAGTAAATAGGTAAGTCCTGAAAGTAGCCAATGGCGGCGACTCTGCGTTCATCTGATCCGCGGCAAGTTGATGTTAATGAATCTCAAGTTGTGATTTTGGGGTCGTTTCTCAGGATGGGTAGCGGATTAATCGGAGCAGATGGGGCAATCCGGCATCTCTCTGACGACAATCCCGACTTCCAGTATGATTTAATTTAATACTTCTCCGTTCCCCTCTTCCCGCATGGCGGCGAATCCGAAGACGGTGACTTTCTAGAGTCCCCCATCGAGCGGCGCGAGGCGTGTCGCATCACCGGCTGGGATTTCCCTGGGTGTTCCCCCTCGCCGTCCAAACTCGAGTCTCCTGCGCCTGCTTCTCCTTCTTGTTCTTGTTCCTCTTCGCCCGGGGCGGCTGATGAAGTTTGGGAAGGAGTTCAGGATCCACCTGGAGGAGACGCTGCCGGAGTGGAGGGACAAGTTCCTCTGCTACAAGCCCCTCAAGAAGCTCCTCAAGTCCATCCCCGTCCCCGTTCCTCCTCTGCGCCCAGGGCTCGCCGACCCCGAGGGAGACGACGCCGACAACCAGTGGGCGCATCTGCCGGCCGCACCGGACTCAGCCGCCCCGCCGGCGGCCGTGGAGGAATGGTTCGTGGGGATTCTCAACGATGAGCTCGACAAATTCAACGATTTCTACGTCGACAAGGAGGAGGAATTCGTCATACGCCTCCAGGTGATCCCATCAAACCACCAAGGATAGCCTCGAAATGGCTCGGGAATACCTACCTGTTCCTCCTTATTCATCTGCCTTTCTTCTCTTCTCGCCCTAATTTTCCCTTTTGAATGCATCGCCCTCGCCGGAATTTGCGATCTCTTGCTTCATCCTGGGAGTTTGAAGTCTCCCCTTTCTGGGAAGATCAAATGGTCGGAGAGCGAACCATTTCGCTTGTTCATCGATTCCTTTGATTCGATTCCAGGCCCAGCGCTGTCCTCTTTCTGTTCTTTCTCTATAGAGAAAACCTCCAGCGCGCAGTGGAATATATAAACTCCAATTCGAAACATACCGCTTCATTCATGTATTCCCAGTGTTGAATCGACTCCATCCTCGTCTGAATTCGTCTCCGAATATTCTGTGATTTCGCTGCAACGAGCCGTACATTCTTTTTCTTCTTCGACGCGATCTGGGTTCTGCCAGTTTTCATTGAACTTCTGCGATCATCGGGGCTCCACGGCTTGCGCCCATGGAGACTTCCCGGGTGACAAGCAAAGACTGGAACTGGTTCCTCACAGAAGAAATTAGCAACTTACCTACCGTCTCTTGCCTCATACATACCCCCTCAGGGCAGATGAATCCCATGCTTTTCCCACCGCAGCAGTTACCCTTTTTTTCCTCTCTGGAAGAAAAATCTCGATTTCGGTGGGTGACCCTCAATCCCCCTGTAGCCATTTTCCCCCGGCTCTAGTCTTTCATCTTCGCAGTTTCTGCGAGGCCTCCAAAATATCCTGAAGACTTTCGGGTTTCCTTCATCTTGATCTGTCTCGACTCCCCAGGACCTGAGGCAGCCCAAGAATCCTCACAGAAAGCAACCCCCCGCCTCTTTGAATCGCTTCTGAAATTGAAAAACTTGTTTCAAATCTCATTTCGTGGAGTATACCGTTCGTCATGCTCTATTTCACCGAGTCTATCTGCTTCATCTTCTGGGAGGCCCTTCCTCTGTCACGTCTGCCGCATAAGTTTCAATCGACACTGTCTGACGCTCATCAAGAAATGCAGCCTCGAAAGCTACTTTCTCTGTCTTGTTAAGTTCCAGAAGGTCATAAGCAGATACTGCCTGGTCTTTTTCAATCCAGATGCCTAAATTTCTGGAGCTGCAGTTCGTCTCGTCTCGTCTGAAATAATAATAATAATAATCCTCATTCTGCGAGCGCCAGTTGGGATATTGTTTGAAGTCTGAAGCAGCTAACCATCAGTCTTCACTAGCTGTATGGACACATCATGGGTCGATTGGATCTAAATCAGGCTTATTTTATTTTACACAATTTGTCGCTGTTCATGAATAATTATTCGCTTTTACTTGTATTATTTTGACTCAAAAGATATTGTCGGGTGTTTCGATAGAAATGGTGGATCTTGTGCAACTTCCTAGGTTACGAACCCAGAGCCAGGGCTCTCCGTTGACCGAATTTCTATGATCCTCCATGGGAAACAGCGGCCCAGCGCTATGAACCAGTGACCAGTTCGCGACGTGGAACTTCTGATTGAGCACATTGCAATGATTTTTAGTGTTTGGTTCTAGTCCAGTGTTCTCGGTGCGACTGATTCATCATGGGCTAGAGCTTTCAATACGTTTCTGCCTGGAGATCTTCTTCCTGTGTGAACTTTAGCCCGAAATTTCCTCGCACGATTTCATTTTCCGGTCGGTCAGTTTTTCATTAAGAAAAAGATCCTCTGCCTGGAAGAATCGATGGCGTTCTTCCCGGGACAAGCTCGGGGCCCCGTTCCCCGCCAGATATCGAAGAGCTTTCTAAAACTGGACGTATTGAATGTCTGTAAATTTGTGTTGTGTTCTGTGGATTTATCGTCGGAACGTATAGATTTGGCTGGGTCTGCTCTGATATGTGGGGTCGCAGGAGCTCAAGGAGAGAATCGAAGGAGTGGGGGCCCAGATTTCGGAGAGCAGTCTCAGCGAAGAGATGCTGGAGATCCGCAAGGCCTTTGTCAGGATCCACGGAGAGATGGTGCTCCTGAAGAACTACAGCTCCCTCAATTTCATGGGTATCCCCTTCTCCTTCTTTTCTCTATTCTCCCTCTTCTTCCTCTTCCTCTTCCTCTTCCTCTCCTCCTCCTCCCTCTTCCTCTTCTCCTTCTTCCTCTGTATTTTCTTCACGTTCCTCTCCTTCTTCCTACTCTTCTTCTCCCTCTCCATCCTCATACAGTCCAGGTGTGTCTTCTTGCAGGCCTGGTGAAGATACTGAAAAAGTACGACAAGAGGACGGGCGGGCTGCTACGGCTGCCCTTCATCCAGCGGGCCCTCCGCCAGCCCTTCTTCTCCACGGAGCCGCTCACCCGGCTCGTCCGTGAGTGCGAAGCCAACCTCGAGCTCCTCTTCCCTCTCGAGCCAGAGGTCCTCAACTCCGGCGCCGCCGCCCCGCTCCGCCACCCGTCCCCTTCCCCGCCGCCGCGGCCGTCGGCGGAGGCCTCTGGCGACGCCCAGCACGGCACCGTCGACGTCTACCGCAGCACACTGGCCGCCATGAGGGCAATCCAGGGCCTACGGCGGGCCAGCTCCACCTACAGCCCGCTCTCCCTCGCCCAGTTCTTCCGCGACGGAGACGACGGCGGCGCCGGCGACGTCACCACCGAGAACTCCGTCTCCAACTCCGCCGCCAGCAACGAACCCGATTCAGAGCCCGCCACCGCTACCCCCGCCAACTCTTCCAGCAGCTAGCACCTCCCTCGCCGACGCCAGACTTTGTATGTAGACGCGTGGAGAGAGAGAGAAGGGGTATTGACTCACGAAAGAAGCTAGCTAGATTCAGCAAATCTGAGGGGATTCCCGACATGGCAAGGAAACGAGGAGGATTTTTCTATAATATTCTCAGGAAAGCTATTTCACTCTTGCAAGGCGGACTGCCAGCGCATAGCTTGCTGCCCCGCCTCTCGGGTCGCCTTTTGGGCATTCTGTCGAACACGTCGCAGCCGGCACCAGCATGCTCGGAAGAGCGGCTCGCTTCCTCCCACGTCCCTGCGTGCTTCTCCCCGCCCTTCGCTCCGCATCCTACACCGGCGCCGCTGCCGCCGCTGCATCCGATGCCTCGGAAGAAGCGGCGGGCCAGGGTCAGGACCAGGCCCACGGTACTACTGCCGGCGGCGGCACCGCCGCCGCCGCGGAGGTGCTGCAGCGGTGGGGATGCAGCGAGGAGGAGGTGGGCAGGATCCTCGCTCGCCAGCCCTCCGTCGCCCGCATGGACCCACTCTCTCTGCAGTGCAAGCTGCAGTCACTCCGCCGCGCAGGTTTGCAGGGGGGCGACCTCGCCCGCATCGTCTCGTGCCGCCCGCGCTTCCTCGCCGGCCGCATCGGCAACGGCCTCGACGCCCGCTTGGCCTTCCTGCGAACCCTCTTCCAGTCTGACGGGGAGCTGCTCCGCGCCGTGGTGCGGAACCCATCACTGCTCAACTACGACGTGGACCGGACCATGCGGCCCTGCGTGGAGCTCTACGAGCGCGTCGGCGTGGGGCGGCGCGAGCTGGGGCGGGTGCTGCTGAGCCGGCCGACGGCCATCTGCCGCTCGGCGCTGGACGAGGAGAAGCGCGAGCTGATCCGCCGCACGGGGTTACCTCGGGAGGCCGCTACATACAAGTACGCCGTCTCCGTGCTCGCTGTGTCGCACCTGGAGACCATCAGGGAGAAGATGGCGAACCTGGAGAAGTTCGGCTTCTCTGCCGACGAGGTGCTGGCCCTCTTCGGCCGCACCCCCAACCTGCTCACCCTCTCCGTGGAGAAGGTACAGCGGAACATGACCTACATCGTGGGCACCATGAAGCTGCCGGCTAGGGTCGTCCTCGAGCAGCCCTTCCTGGTCTTCGCCAACCTGGAGAGCGTGCTGAAGCCGCGGTTCCAGCTGGGTGGGAAGCTCGGGGAGATGGAGCTGCAGCCGCAGGTGAGGGGCCCCCACCTGATACGGGCGCTGAGGATGACGGAGGCGCGCTTCCTCAAGCGTTTCATCGACTGCCACGACAAGAAGCTGGCGGAGGAGCTGAGGGGCTTCTACCTTGGCGTGAAGGGGGTGAAGCGGCTGGCCGCCGCGTCCAAGTCCACTGCCCACAAAGGCTTCCCTTTCTAACCGCTGTTCTCTCTGATTGGCTTTTTTCAGCAGCCTCTTCCCCCCCGTGAGAATCCTCTTCTTCCTCGGTACATACATGGAATTCATCCACATCGCTGCTGGGTCTCGCTCAACGACTGCCTATCTTCACAAACAGATTAAGGTCCCCTGTGATGAAGCTCCGAGTCTTCTTCCTGCGCCATTGACTCCTACTCTCGTGTCATCTGTCTATTTTTCCTTGCCATCTTGTGTCCATTGAGCTCCTTATTACATGGGTTCCAGCTCCGGAGCGGAGAAAATGGCTCCTCCGTGGCCATATCCAATCCACAGGCAGGGCTGTTCTATGTTTCTGACATGCTCCTCCCTGAGCAGATGAAGGCCAGAGCCTACTCCAGAAGAAGCCCAGGGCAGATAGATGAATGAAGAAAGAATCAAGGATCTTCGGGGCCGACAGAAAAGACTGCAAGGGGTGAAGGCCAGTCCAGTGAGGGAGGAGAGGCGGAAAAAGAACTCGCAGGTCTCTGAAGAAGCCGAGGCAGGGTGACCACTGCAGTACAGGACCTGCAGACTCGGGAGATGTCCGAAGGGTCTTCTGAAGAATTCCCGGATGTTGCTGCGACCAGACAGACTCTATTTTCGGAGAGCAGTCATTGAGACGGACGTTGACCTCAGAAGATTGAGATTGAATAGGGTGTAACAAGGACCACCAGTTCGAGCCCTTGTTCAATATGAATTGTAATTCTAAAGGTTTTGATCGAATGAATGCATAAACTCCGAGGTCACGAGCTTGATCTCCAAGCCCGACTCCAAACGGATGTGTTAAAACTCGTATTGTTCAAACTGTTAATTTTACATGGTGTCTGACCAGGCGCACATCTATTGTTCATGACCCGCCGGAAATCTTGTTCCGACCCCTTCATCTCTGACTTTTTTCACAGCTATATATATCTATATAGCTTGATCTCTGTCAGTCCCGCTCCTCCCGCCGCTGCCGTCTCTCTCTCTCTGTTGGTCTGTCTTTCTCCCACGCAGCCGCACTGGGGTCGCCCACTGCCCCTCGGGGGGAGTTCCAAAGTCCCGAGATTCTTCGCCCCAATCCGTCGCCGCCGTGTTTCGTCTAGCCGCCGTTCCGCCGGTGCCGTGCTCCCCGCCGGCGTGGGCTGCCTTGATGATTCCGAGTAGCACTAGGTCAAGGTCCTAAGGCGCCCCCTTTCCTCTCTCTGCAAGTAGTTCATCCCTGGCGGTGGATAGCTCCCGGTGTAAGCCACCCGACTCCTCGTTCCTGAAATCCTTACCCTTTCCGCGAGCCAAACTCATTCCCCGCGAATCGAAGACTCAGGAGAACGAGGTGCTAGACTCCGGCGTGCCGCTGACGCATCTCGTCGATCCCCAGAACAATCAAGATCGTTCTTTAGGTTGGAAAATATTGACTATTCTTATTTAATTGTTACTTATCTTCCTTTAAACTCTGCACTGCCGCCGTCTTTTCCGACTCGATCAAACAAGATCGCATCGCTGATATTAGTAGCATCAGATACTGCGTCGGATTTGGCCTTAGAATGGGCATACGAGATGGACCGATGCTTTCTTGGTTGATGTCGATTTTTGAAACGGGCAGCATTCATAGCTTGTCTAGGTGAAGCTCATGAAGGACCCCTCTTGGAATTCCTGGAAGCTTACACAACAAGCTCACGACTTCTTCCGGTGATGGGTGGCTTGAGACTTGATCAGATAATTAAAGAAGGGACATGCCCATCAACATCCCAACAGAAGGGAGGGCCTAATTCTTGAAGCATATGGCTTTCTAGGTCATGATTAACGTCCATGGTTTTGATGACTATAGTGAAGTTCATGTGGCATTGCTTTTACCGGTCCTCTGATCATGGCGAAGAAAACGATGCAGACAGAGTTTTTTGTTTGGACAAGACGTGGTTAGAGCGTTTCCAAGTGAAAGTTTCCCTCAGCTTTCTGAATGTTCAGAGGTTCGGGGGAGATGGATGCATAGTGTGAAAAGTGGGGTTTTTCTGCAGAGGATCTGCGGTCTGTTTGAAATATGGAAGCTTTTTTCATTTTTTGATGATAAAAATAATTGATATTGATGAGAAAATAATGAGAATTGGCCATAACCCTTCCGTTTGAGATTTCTAAGGTGGCCTACGAAAGATCTGGCCATCTTCGTAATTAGCTATTGAGACTAATGGGCATCTGCGAGGACACACATGCTACATCTGGACGAGGGGAGTACTTTATTGATAATCAAAGGTTTTGTTCAGGTCTTGTTTAGCGTGCACGCACATTAGGGCCCCATACGACAGCGTCGTTTTTCACATTTTTTCTTGAAATTATATTATCTGTTTATGCAACTTCCAGGTGGTCTCAATGACAAGAGAGTTCACATCATCCGACTGTGGCTTCATGGAGCTTGCTTTAAATCAGGTAATTCTTTGTCAGTGTAACTTCAGTATATGTAACTGGGGTCTTTCTTAGAAGATGAAATTTCGCTCCTTTTTAGCGTGATTATTGTTGTTTTAAACAAGTAACTGTTTCGATAAATTCTTATATTCTTTGGTCCTGATTTCTGTCTTTCAGTTCGTTATTAATGTGGCAAACATGTCTGAAATGACCTTGTATCATGCTCACTCTCGCACATTTAATCACATACCAATGCAATAAGGGAGACCAATTGGTTTGTAACTTGTTGATAGCGATTACATCCTGGTTTTTTGATGGAGGGAATGCATGTTGAGTGATTCCTTTCTGGAAGCACGTGTGCAAGCATCCTCTGAATGGGAATTGGCCGCAGATAGAAGATGCCCCGTTGTTGCCTTTCTGTTAACTGCCCCGTTGTTACCTTGCTCAACTGCCACTTTAGAAACTTCTTCTTCCTCCTCTGAATGGTGCACCGCAACCTTGTGGTCGTCTCCTCCTGTAGCAGTCATGAGCTTCATGATGAGCGTTTTACTGGGTTTCTCCATGTTCATGGGTGGGTTTACAGAGGTGCATCTCGACACGGAATTGGGGGGACTTTCATCAATTTTGTGACCCATGTTGGTAGGCACATGTGCCAATTATGCAAGTCTGAAATTTGAACCAAACTTATTGTTAATCTTGTGGTTCATCTCAGCCTCACTCTTGCTTTCCTGGAGAAGTTCGGAGCTTGGTTCGTCAACGTTTTTATCTCTTTTATCGCGCGTGAAAAGTGAAAAGCACCGCTGCTTCTGTGGCATCTCCTGCCACATTGCCCATTGGATCCTTACACTAATATGGTGCGATGGGTTAATGCTGGCAGATTGTGGTGGCTAGGAATAGATATGAATGTTTCATAGAATTTAGAGCTATTTATTGTAAACTTATTTCCTTTCTCGGTTACATGGAGTTAGAAAATTTTTCTCGGGATTTATGCATGCCTGAAGTTGGATTGAATCGTGAGTCACACGAGCCAGATAAATGCCCTCCGATCTGCCTCAATTTTTGAGTTCGGTTAGTCTGATTAAACCCAACTCAGTAAAGTTCTTGCAGACTAGGGGCATATTTTACATGTAATTCAATGTTTATGAAATGTATTGATTCTCTTTCCTTATGGGGCGTTAGAGAAATGGAAAATCTACGCCCTGTGCTTTCCTGAATGCTTGTTGTCGCATCAAAGTTACGTCTTGTGTGAATGAAACAGTTTGAACGTCTTTAACAGTCATTATTGTTAGAGGTGAATGTTTGTATTCTTTAACCATTTTGGTCTCTAAAAATTGCAGGCGAAGTTAGCAATGAGTAACTTGGAAGTCCCTGTGGGGTAAGCCTTTTTTTTTCCTAAAAATGCTCTATTTGGAATATATAAAACTTGATTTGCTTGGGGACTGCATGTATTTTTGATTTGCTATTCCTGTGTCTTTTAGCATACTATTTTTCACTTTATTTGATCTTCTATGGATAGTGATTCATATTTTTGGGGTGATTTGCCAATTTTATATAAAACGTATGAGTGTGTTGTTCAAATGTGACATGCTGTTGTTGACTCTTATGACCATCCGAAGTGGAAATTAAAAAAAAATGAGATCTGAATTGACTCGAGTACGGTCAGAGCCTTATTCTCCCATGGGTTTAAAGAAAAGAGGGCTCTTGTAGTATATGCGGATTAGTCAATTTGTGAACCTCAGCTTCCAGGTTGCTTGCATTTCTGTATTTAAGTCCACTGACTTTTTTTCTTCATCTCTTCTGCATTTATTGGCCTATCCTTTTAATTGAAGAAATCAACAATAATCTACAGCATCCACTGATGTGCAGTAGGAAGGAATCATACTAGCAAAATGGGAGAAAAATGTAACTTCCTGAAGTTTTAGTGTTGCTGGAAATGAAAATTTCACTTTTACAACATAGAAATGAAGGGGTGTTTAAATGTTGATTATAAATAAAGGTGATGATCATTTCATGCGATTTTACTTTGATTCTTAATGTACTCATTGGATTTTATGACTTTTACAAGATATTATTATTAAACCATGCTTGAGGTGATATTCACAGTGATAAGATTTTTCAATAAAGGAATGTACTTTGGTTCTACGTATGAAGGCATGCTGGTTTACAGTTTACAAGATGAGAATATTTTACTAGGATGGAAGACTCTCTCTCACCCATTTTCCTCTTCTTAGTGAAGAACATCTTCAACATGTATGTGTAGGGGTGCTTTTAAGATTTCGAAATGTAAAAAACATGTTGCCTTGTTTTGCTTACTGTTCAGTTTGGGCAATTCAACCCTATGTTGATTTCGATTAGATGCTGCTCTTGGGCTCGTGACATGCATCCATAATAGGCTCTTTTAGTGGCAGTTGGAGAGTGTAATTTGCTGCTATTGAGGTTGTGATTTTATTCTTGTAATGTAGCAGCAATGTTGTTGGTTTCTCAAATGTAGCATCTTGCTAAGCAACTACCATCCTGTCCTAATGCAAGTCTAGGAACTGGGCAGATATCCACAGAGCCCTAATAGAACATGGGAAGTAGTTCAAGAGGCTTCCCTTCCCCTCCTTAGCTCGACTGAGCCCGTAGAGTCTTTTTCTCCAAAAGATGTCCCTCTCGTTTGTTTGTGGGGTCTTAATACCCTAACCTTACAATGAACTATTTGCCCTTCTCGCCCCCTTACTTCCCTGCCCCTCTGTCATCTGTTTCTGTCTTCGACTGTAGGTTTTCATCAGAGCATTATCAATACTTCCCCCCGGCAGCAAGCACCTTGTCCTCAAGGTTGAAATCTGGGAACTGTTGGTGTATGACAGCGGTTGGCTCTCATGATGCTTCAAAAACGGGCAGATCTGTCCACTGAACAAGGACCTCGAAACCTGTTGGGGTGTACCTTGTCCCAAGTACTGCTTGGGGCAGACTCGTGTTTACGTAGCACCCGATGAAAATGAGGCCAATACTTGGGGGCAGCAGACATGACATCCTCTTAAGGCCAGTGGGGGGGGGAAACGAGAGGTGTGAGTACCCTCTCCAATTTCTATACAAAAACAAGGCTTTCATGTGGATGATGCTTAAATATGGGCAAAATGTCATAGTCTTCCTTGATTTCGTGTTGAATATATATCATTCAAGTTCATTTTTGCCACAACATTTGGAAGATCATTACATCTTGGTCAGACCAAGGCATGGTCAATGAAATATACTAGTTTTTGCATAAAAATTGGTGAGACTCTCCCACACCACCCATTCTACCACATTGGTCTTGGAAGATTTCATGGCAGGTGTCTTTAGGTCTTACTTCCATTCTTATGGGATCCTATACAAATGGGGTTCGATGTCCTTCCTTTTGGCAGTTCTATCACATCATCGACATCTTTGGGTGTACTTATTATTTATAATTCTCCTACATCGTTTGGCCCATTATCTCATGAACATAAATGTACTGAGCAGGGCATCATTTTAATTGTACTTACTAACACAATAATAAGGCAGGAGATATCTACTGGCAAGTTAATTTTATTATAAAATGGACTTTAACCGATCTTCAATCAATTAAAAATATCATTAACTTGTTTTCCTTAAATCTTCCTTGTTTTTCATATGTATAGGTTAAGTTTTTATTTTTTCTACTTTTGTGGATAAGAAATAACTACCAAATATTTTCATTTCCGCCTTCTAAAGAACCTTGTGAGTGATCACAGTTTTAACACTGAAAGCTGAAATATAATACATGAAAAAGGATTGTGAATAGACTGAAAAGGTATGCTCTGTTTTTGTTGGGGAAGGAGATACATATTGATTTGGGCCGACCCATGTAAATGCCTTTCTTTTCTGTTTTGAATTGTGATTGGGAATAGGATACAAGCTGACACTTCTCATATAGCGTTTTTTAACAGCTCTCATACGAATGTTGGGAAATCCCCAAAAGATTGATATAAGGTTTGGCATCAGGATAAAGAAAATGAGAATGGGTAATCCGACAGAGAACCAGTCCACAGGAATAGAGATTCACAAACGAGGGAGGAATGGGAGAAAAAAAGATAGAAAAATATCCAACAGGAAGAGAAAATAATGTCACATTCATCGTGATCCTTTTCTCCCTTCCTATGACCAGTTAAAAGAAATGTTTGAGGGAAACTTAAACTCATCCTCTAACTCTTCAGTTGATTAATCTGAATGCAAATTACTGAATTCAGTGCCAAAAGGGAAATAACCTTTGAGATTTTTAATCTGGATGGAGGATAAAATGGGGTCGAGCCCAAGCATGAGGAAACTTTTCCTCTAAAGCTGACCTTTTCCTAAGTTAAAAAGTTAGGAACTCTTCTTCATTGTTTTTTAATTTCAAGAAAAGGCAATTTATAATGAGCTAAGATCTGTCTGAACAAAGACTTGGTCCATGATTTATGGCCTGTTTAGAAACATTTCGTGAGGTCCATCACAAGCATCATTTAGCTTCAAGAACCATCATCATTACCAAATTCCTCTGAGATTCCATGACAGTCTCATTTATTTTCTTTAAAAACTACCAGGAAGTTTCACCCCGCTTTGCCCCTTGATCAAAGCCTTTAGTGGTAGGTAAAAATATTTAATGATGTTTGACGATCTGATGTAACTTATATCAGTGAAGTTCTTCAACTGGTTTTCTTTGGGGCCGGTGACAATGGTTCTCCCATCATAGCCTCATGTCCCGGAGGGCAAACATGTCTTTTTTGCTCGAAGCGTTCTCATATGCAAGGTTTTTGGCAAGACTTTATGCTTCCATGACCTTATTAAGGCACTGTCCAGAAGTTTTGTTAACCTTCTACCTGTACTCAGCCTTTATAGTTGAGTTTATTTTATCGTCGGCATGTCTTTAAGTCAGTCGAATGAATGTGTAGTAAAGCTTTCTCAAAATGAGATTGTAAGAGTACAAATTGGCGCTTTTATGTGTCATCATGAGTTTATTTTTGATTTTTGATGTGGGCAGTTTTTCATGTAGTTTGAATTCATTTCTTGGGACCCCGTGACTGAATAGTTATTTTTTCTGTGTCTTCAATTTTGTTTGTATTTCTAGTTGTGTTATTGTTGAAGATGGGAAGATCATTGCCTCTGGGAGCAACCGGACAAATGAAACACGAAATGTATGGATTGTGTTTCTTTTTAATTAAAAATAAATTAGTTAAAAATTGATACAGTTACCTTCTTTAGGTTTTATTTGGTTTGCCCTCTATTAGTTGCTATCTTTGCATAAAATCTTACTTTTTGTGCACTGTGCCCGTTGGTTTTGCCAGTTAGGAATTCTATCTGAATACTCCAACTTGGCAAGTAATATGAAGTAATAAAATCAAGAGAACATCCCATGCTTGAGTGTTTGACCTACTCAAGTTTGGACAATTCTGTTAAAAATAAAAAGAAAACGTTGATCCCAGTAACTTAAACGTGAGATGAATAAATAACTAATCATGGATGTCCTAATGGCATGCATAGCTGAACGAGGTGTGGTTAACAAAGTGGAAGTATATATGTCGAGTTTGATGATTGATAATTGACTATAGGAAAACAAAAATTATATTCACATGGAAGAGTTTTTTTGGGCTAGGATGTCTTCTTTTTGATTTCATTCCATTATGTAGTTTGTATCATGAAAACTGCAAGTCAGTCATTGTTATTATAACGTCACATCATACAGAAGATTATCATGTGGTCCGAGAAGATGTTTCTACACCCATCATAGATTTGTTTTATTTCATACAACTTAATTCTTTTGCATCGTATCCGGGTTGAAGGTTCTGTCTTATGTTGTCTTTTTAATGTTGTGTATTTAGAGATATCAAATAAAGCGAACTGCACGTGAGAAGAAAGATATCAATTTTCCTGCGTTGAATGAGAGATGTGAAGCCAGTGAACGATTAATAATAATTCATACCCAAAACATGGAGAGACATGTTTTGGATGGCTCGATTATTTTATAATTAGATGGTAAATCATGATACATGGTCAGAATATGCAGAGAAAAGTTTGAATTTATATGCTAGGGACATAGTTGAAATTTGTTTTTGAAAAATGGTTTATACTGACTTCTAAGAGAATCTACATAAATGTGATACACGGTTTTAGAATATATGAGATGAAATGTTGAGAGAGAGTCGTTCTTACAGTTCAACAATTTCAGATGTTAGCATACGTCTGTTTCGGATATGTTACCACTGTCACCATGATAGCATCCCTAAACGCAGTAGGCTACAACAGTAAGCTTTGATATTTTGTGTTCATTCATTTTGTGTTCCTCCAGGTGATCATTCATCTAGAAATTCTGCGTCAGCAGTTTTATTCGGAGAGAACAGTTGACAGTTAGGCTGGTTTAATATTTTTCTAGAACGTCAGTAGTGAATGATGATTTTATAATACTTTTAGGGACAGAGTGGATTTCATGGGGTTATTTTCTGCATGGGTTTCTGTTACCACTTTGAGAAGACAACACGAAGACTATTTTTCAGCTTAACTATATAAAGAGTAGTACATGGGATAAATCAATGTACTGTCAGTACAACATAAAGCTGCACAACCTGAGGGAGACAACCTGCTACAGTGATGAGAATACTGGACGGTGTTGCTTAAGTGTCCAGTGTTCTCCAGATTTAGACTTGAAAAAATCAGATTATTCTCTATCCAAAACTCTAAAGAATTTTACTTTTAAATGCTTATTCAGAAACTCAATGTTTCTCTTTGAACTTCGAATTAATCCTAAACATGAAAGGTGGGCACATATTTCTCTTTGAACTTCGAATTAGTCCTCAACATGAAAGGTGGGCACATATCTGTACCAGTAAGTACGAGGACAAAAGTAAGTAGGAAGACAAAAAACGTGAATAGCCTGACAATGATGATGTTAGAAAAAATGTCAAATTTACATTATTTTCATTTGCTAGTATAGCTCTCTATTGTGCTTTGTTGGATAATGGAAATGGTGTTAACTTCAGCGTTCATGATTCTTATCTTCGAATACATTTTACTGCTTGCTTATTTCTATGATTTTAATTTTTATCTCTTTTTTAAAATTTGAAAGATCCTCTGGTATCAGTTTTGATACACGGCCCAAATCAATCTTAAATAGCCATTAAATTAACTGGTTGATTTTGGATTCCATTTGAGGGAAAGAGAGGCATACGAAGAGAGTATGGGCGATGAGACTGAGAGAAAGAGAAGATGGGGCTTAGAGGTGGTAGCTACAGTTGATGTCTAACTCAATGGCCTATTTCTATTTATTACCGTTATATGTAAAATATTTGGGTATTCTTTCATTGAATAATTGTATTCCGTAGTCATGGTCCTTCAGTTCAAATCATGGAATTTGATTTTACATTTTATGTGGTGTTCTTGCTAGTCATATCTATCATAACTCTCCCAGAACCTGCTTTTTGGGTCTCTTTGTAGGCAACTAGACATGCAGAAATGGAGGCAATAGATTTTCTGCTAGAACAGTGGCAGAAGAATGAACTTTCCCACCTTGACATTGCAGAAAGATTTTCAAGATGTGTTCTTTATGTCACATGCGAACCATGTATAATGTGTGCAGCTGCTTTGTCCAGTCTCGGTGAGCTAGTCCGTCTCCTATGGCATTAAGACAAACATACAAGTGATGTTTGTGATTAATATGTGGGTCCTTTTTAGGGATAAGAGAGGTTGTTTATGGCTGCGCGAATGATAAGTTTGGAGGATGTGGATCCATCTTGTCAATGCATGAAAGTACTGAACACCTTACCAGGTTTGCTTCTGCTTCCGAATCTTTATAATACCAGCTAATAATCTCATTCAGCTTCTCCTTTCCTTTTGGACATTGATTACTCCTCTCTCAATCTGTGATATATTCTGTTACAGGACAGTTCTTTGAAACGATGGAAAACCTCTAGTGTGGTAAGGACGCGTAATAATAGGCTGAAATAAGCATAAAACCCCATCAACTTTACGATTTTAAGAGCTTCGTCAAATTAAAATGAGGGAAAAGTTGCCATTTATGAGCAGAACTCTGCAATTGCAAAACGCTGCCACCTTAGTGGGGGAGGAAGCAGAGCTATGATCCTCATTCTTTTTTTATAAAATTTAATGTATATGGCCTTTAACATATCAAAGAAAAATATCTATTGCTCAAACACATCAGCCACGTCATCAAAGAGTCACATATATTTCCCACCAGCAGTACTTTATCATTAAGAGGATATGCCCTCAGGGATTTCTGGGCTTGCAGCTCTTACCGAACTTCAAAGCATAGAAACTATTTCGGCGTTTCTTCTTCTTGACTTTGTTCTTTTGTCTGCTCAGATCTCGCCAAGGAAAGGGCTTTGTGAGCCATGGAGGATTAATGGCATTGGAAGCAGTAGATCTGTTCCGAGGTTTCTATGAGCAAGGAAATCCAAATGGTATGTTTTTGACATGTCTTTGTCCATAGATTTTTTGAAACTTTATTTTTCTTGTTCAAAGTGGTCAATGCTCAGATACTAAAATATGATCTGATGAAATTTGGGCTTTTCTGAAAAAAAAAACAAGGATCTAATATGAAATCTGCTGAAGCCAGCAGAAGAGGGAGAAGTGGGGGCACTAAGCTAACAATTAAGAGTGTTTGTCAGATCAACTGCGGATGAAGGATGACAAAAGAGAATTGTAGGCGATCTATTCGCAAGTAACCTTCCACTGTCATTCCACTATATTCACTCGCCTAATAAAGGTGTAAAGGTTTAGCACCCGAGCAACATTTAGTCAAGTGATTAAAACGTCAAGCGTTGCTCTTGAATTTATCTAAACAAAAAAAGTAAAAAATAAAGTAGACACTGGTTACACAGGATCTTGTAGTGCCGGAGTCCAAAGCTCACTGCACTTGAGCAGCTCACGGATGTTTAAATCGAGAATTTTTATAACCCGCGCAGAAGATCTTTCCATTGCAAAAGCATGCCACCAACTGGCTAGTTTTCCTGTTTATTCGGTTTTTCTGGGTGCTTTAGTGCCGCCAAGGTGTTATTCATAGCTGCTGACTCTTCTCGACGATTTACCTTCTAAACTTGGCTAAATTTTCAGGCGTCACCCTTCACATTGGTAGGATCGAGACATCTAGTTCGGTACACATGTGTAAACGCCTCGGTGTTTACAGCTTTTCATAGGTATTGATCCACCAAAGCTAGGCAGTTTGTAATATTGTGCCCAACCCAAATTCGAAAGTGTTTACCCAATTACTGCCTGCCGTACACAGAAAAGCTTTGCCGGCAGAGATGTTTGGTCGGAGGATGAGAAGAAATCCACTGTTTGGGCTGTAGACTAGTCTCTGGTAATTTATCATGGCGCCCGTAATAAAGCTGTTTCTTTTCTTCAGCAAGTGTATGCATCATCATCATCGTCATCTTAAGGCCGGCTACCGTTCAGGTCCGACCCGCATCGGGTCTGTGGTGGCCCCAGCTTTTGCGGTTATTATTGATGAAAGTTTTTGGTCTTGATATCCAGCTCACCCGCGTTTCTCCGCGTTTTATGCAGCCCCCAAGCCCCACAGACCTTGCCGAATCTCCCAAGAAACAGTCTGAGGCCCAGGCATCCTCAGTGCATCTACGGCTTGAGATGTCCCTGTCACAAATGCTCGAGGCCTTTGAATATTATGCATATCATTATTACACAAGGGATGGTGTCCAAGGACAGTCTCATCGAGTAGCGCACGATCAGGGTGCATGGCTCCTGGCTGCTGCTGCAAGATTCAAATCTTTCAATGGTAAAATCATCGCCGGTTGACCTGGCGACTGACTCTTGGGTTCGATTAACGAACTGGCCGAACAGAAGAGCAGATAAGCCAGCAGCATCATGAATATGCTGTGTAATATACATACATACATACATACAGCAAGGTGACTTTGCCGTCAAAAACAGTAAAGTCGATGTCTTACTTGTTTACAAGTTCCTTTCGGGCATCACTTTTGGAAATCAGTGTACTTTTTCTTCCCATAAATGAAAGTTTTGCGCCTGGGCTTGTACGACGGGGATGACTTAGAACGTACTCGTAAGGACCTTGTTCCCGATGCAGTAATGCGGATAGAATATAATTATTGGAGATTATTTTGGTGTGGCCGAATGGACGACAAGATCACGAATAGATCCTTGACAAACCAGAGGTTATGGGAATTGGATTCCACGTCCAAGTGGGATAATTAACCGCGATAGTTCATTCCGCTGTTAAACTGCTAGGTTGTGTTCTTCATGCACATGACTAGCTTACAGACCAACTGTCAGGGGGGGGAGATCGTGAGAGGATGAGGTTTTCACTGCGAATGCCTTCGTAAAACCTGATGTCGATGAATCGTGAAGAGCTTGGTGGTGGAGGGTAATTTGCAGGAACAGCCTGGAAGTAGGAGCATCAGTAAGGAGGAGGGGTGGGCAGAACGCAGCCAATATCGATTCGAAAACATTGACGGAGGTGATGTTACTGCCGTGATCCCAGAGAGGACGACGGCGGAAGAGGGTTCTGGCCACCAGAAGAGTAGTGGAAAATGGTGGGCAGCATCGGGGCATCGTTTTGGAGAGTTGGCCGGGTTCCCGGAAACCTGTCGGGGATACGAGTTGGTGACAAGAGGAGGACTCTATTCCGGCCCTAAAGTTTTGAAGATCAGATCGCAGGGGAGATGAGAGGAGAAGATGGGGAAACAGAAATCTGCGAGGTGAAGAAGCCATCTACGAGTTCAGCATGAAGCCATCTACGGGGAGCCTGCCTCTTCTTCTGAGATGAAGCTTGGGGGGGGGGATGTGTCGGAGGAGTGTGATGCAACCTGTTGCTACCGACTAAAAAGATCAAATCTTTCGCGGGAAAGGACGAAACCCAGTGGCCAGTCCGAGCCTCCGGAGGGGGAAAATATCTTCCAGGGCGGACCCAATAATCCTATTTTTTTCTGAACGGAAGGGGTCGTGGAAATTGAGGTGCGCGGAGAAGCAGCCACGACGCTCCATGCAGCGTCTTCCACGTCGCGAAACGTAAACCAGCCCCGCCGCCATTCTCCGATGGCTGTCTATTTATGGGATATTTAATCAATTATATGTTTACAGAGGGTAGCGGCATGGAGAGGGATGACCAATGGGAGGGGCGGAGGGACGATTGGGTGTGATTTTAGCATGTGGTGGGGAGGTTAATATCGGATCGCCCGATGCCCACGGAATCGTACAAACGACAAGGCGCAGAGATAGGGAGCGGGTGGACGACGGATGGGGTTCCTGAGGTTGTGCCGTCTCCTTCCTCCCTCCCTGTGATGAGAGAGAGAGAGAGGGGGCCGTTCCGTCCACGGGACCGCTGGGGTTTGAGGCGGGCTGCGGGCGTGAAGCCGGCAACCCTTATATGTACCAATATATCTTCGCTCGCCTTATCCACTCGCCACTCTCCCTACCCTCCCCTTACCTCTTTCTCTCCCTCCCTCCCTCCCGCGACGGACATCCTCCCCCAGTCTGTCTCTTCGCTTGCATCGTCTCCTGCAACAAAGTTGCTGGGGAGGTATCTCGATCGATGAATACCCTAAACCAGTCCATCGCTTCCAACGGGCACCCGTTGTTCCCTGCTAGCGGAGGGACAGCGCACTGCCCTCGTCAGGATGCGGCCCTCCCGATGTCTCTTCATCTCCACCCGTCAAAGCCTCTGCGACCAAGCCCCTCCCAGAGAGCATCCCTTCTCGCTTCGGACGGCGGGAGTAGACACGGCAAACTGGTTGTTGAGTTGGAGACTGGGGACGTCCTATTGAAGCAGCAGACCCCGTCCGCGCTTGTGGGAGGGTTCCTCCACTCCCTTCTGCAGAAGAAGGAGCTCGAACAGCGCTCAACCCCGCCCAGAATCACGCTTACGGTGTCGGTGGTCTCCGCGGTGAAGCTGGAGAGGAAGCAGATGGACCAGATCGCGAAGAAGATGCAGAAGCTCACCGGCTTCCAGGATCTGAAACTAGAGAACACCGTCGACCCCTCCCTCATCGCCGGATTCGTCATCAGCTACGGGAGCGACGACGCCCATGTCATCGATCTGAGCGTGAAGGGCCAGCTTGCTCAGATCGCAGCGCGGCTCGAGTCTTCAGATCAAAGACAAGGCTGGAATCTCTCAGGGGGCCTCTGAGAGCTGCGCGAGAGGAGCCCAGCCTGGCATCGAAATGCCAGAGATTTTCTACGAGGAACCCTCCCTCCCTCTCTTGCCGGCTCTGAAAGTTTTGATAACGTTAATGAGCTTCCTGTGAGTTTCTTCTTTCCGTCTGGTTGTATAGGAGGCAGAAGGCTGTAAACACTGACTGTGATACTACTGATATTGATCATTATAACAAGAATCATAAGAACCCCTAGGGATCTTTATGGGCACGATGGCGGCCACACCTCCTTTTGGCAAATCGCCCTTTATTATCTGGATAAATATTGAGAGAGAGAGAGAGAGAGATAGATAGATCGAGAGGGAGAAAGAGAGAGAGAGAGATAGATAGATCGAGAAGGGAGGGAGAGGATGAGTGAGAGAGAGAGAGAGAGAGAGAGGATGAGAGAGAGAAAGGGAGGGAGAGGATGAGTGAGAGAGAGAGAGAGAGAGGATGAGAGAGAGAAAGGGAGGGAGAGGATGAGAGAGAGAGAGAGGGAGAGGATGAGAGAGAGAATGGGAGGGAGAGGATGAGAGAGAGAGAGAGGGAGAGGAGAAGAGAGAGAAAGAGAGGGAGAGGATGAGAGAGAGAGAGGGAGAGGAAGAGAGAGAGAAAGAGAGGGAGAGGATGAGAGAGAGAGAGGGAGAGGGAGAGGAAGAGAGAGAGAAAGAGAGGGAGAGGATGAGAGAGAGAGGGGGAGAGAGAGAGGAGAGGAAGAGAGAGAGAAAGAGAGGGAGAGGATGAGAGAGAGAGAGAGAGGAAGAGAGAGAGAAAGAGAGGAGAGGATGAGAGAGAGAGAGGAGAGGAGAGGAAGAGAGAGAGAAAGAGAGGGAGAGGATGAGAGAGAGAGAGGGGAGAGAGAGAGAGGGAGAGGAAGAGAGAGAGAAAGAGAGGGAGAGGATGAGAGAGAGAGAGAGGGAGAGCAAGAGAGAGTGAAAGAGAGGGAGAGGATGAGAGAGAGAGGGAGAGAAAGAGAGAGTGAAAGAGAGGGAGAGGATGAGAGAGAGAGAGAGAGAGAGGGAGAGGATGACAGAGAGAGAGAGAGGGAGAGGGGGGAGAGAGAGAGTCAGGAGAGGATGACAGAGACAGAGAGAGGAGAGGGGGGGGAGAGAGACCGAGAGAGACAGAGAGAGGAGAGAGAGAGGGAGAGAGGGAGAGAGAGAGAGAGAGGAGAGAGAGGGAGAGAGAGAGAGAGGGAGAGAGAGAGAGAGAGAGAGAGAGAGAGAGAGAGAGAGAGAGAGAGAGAGAGAGAGGGAGAGAGAGAGAGAGAGAGAGAGAGAGAGAGAGAGAGAGAGAGAGAGAGAGAGAGAGAGAGAGAGAGAGAGAGAGAGAGAGGAGGGAGAAAGAGAGGGAGAGAGAGAGGGAGAGAGAGAGAGAGAAGAGAGATTGTCTCTCTATTCTAGCAGGATTCTTTGTACTCTATGCATGAGAACGCATGTGCGATATGCTGGCTGTACATCGGTTCTCCCATAAATGATTCTATCAAGACAAGGTTCTCATTTGGTTGACAAGTTCATTCTGGGTTGCTTAATTATGCGTGCCGTTTCGAATAGTTGGTTCCACTATACAACACCCATTTAATTATTATATGTTGAGTCTCACATCTCATATTTTAATAATTTTAATGAAAAAATGTTCAAATATACTTGAATCTTATCGAAACTAAAAATTTCAAATGAGATAATCAATGTGGACACCTTGCGCTTTTATGTCAACACCTCTAGCAAAAAGGATAGCGTGTCTCACATCTGTCAGCAGTCATACAAGCCGACATGATTGTGATAAAATAGACTGATTTGTACAAAGATCAATTACTATATCTATGGACTGTTAAGAAAAGCAAACTGCAATATTTGATATTTGGTTTCATTAGACTCGTGTTAAGACAAATTGATATCTATAAGAGTTTCTTGAAAGTAGAGTATTCCTCTCCTTCCTTATTTTTTGATCCATGAACAACATATATTTTGAAGTGAGTGTTGGCATTCTACTATTCACATTTCATTAAAAAAGATAAAGATGTTTGACCGATTATTTAAGGATAGATATGGAATTTATCAAGAGTGTACACAAGATGTAAATTGATCTAATTTGAAGTTTTCAGTAAATCATATAGCTGTAGCTATGTAGATTGAACTAAAATCTGAATGTGAAGTGTTTTCTCTTATCTCGTCCACCCTAAAACACGGTCAATTGTATGACACAAAATGGCAGTGGTGAATGATAATTTCATAGTGTTTCAGTGCAATCTGAAGCTAGCCAACTCACCAAGCCTTAACATGAGAACTCCCACTGTGGTCTTTCCTAAATCTATAACATGTTCCTTTCTTCAGTGATAATACAATACCAAAAAACATTTTTGAACAAGGAAATAATGCAACATACAAGGAAAATAGTAGTGAAACTACTCATAAAATGCTTCGCACTAGTGGAGAATTGAATGTATAGAAAAAATGAAGATTTTTCTCTTTAAAACTTTGAAAAAAAAATCTTCTATGGCTTGGAAATTTTGAATGCTTGGGTGCTTGGAAATCTCTCTTATTTTTTCAAGAAGGTGATGAATTCAAGGGATATTAAATACCTAAATAGGTAATCATTTCCTTTTTACCATTTCAGTCCAAGAATTGAGATCTTTGAAGACTAATTTTATTTCATCCACTAATGTTGGCATAGGCTCCCATAGGTTCATATAGCATATTCTTCCATTATCTCTAGCTATTGCCAATATTCTTGCCATCTTGTAGTTTCACTTTGGATGTTGAAACTTGTCTTTAAGGTTCATGATTTCACATTTGGTAACTATTAACTTTGGATCAATATGCTTTTGCATTTCTATTTAGGATTCTGACGTTAACAATTAAGCACATAAAAACTTAATGAAAAATTACTTTGAATATGTTTGAATACTCTAATGAAACAATCAAGAACTGAATCACTAGATCTAGTTTCATTTGTTTTGTTGATACTCTTTTCAAGCTTCATATTAAGAGAACATACATCAATAGGAGTGAAGAAAATGATTTAGAAGAATAATATGATGAAAGGTAAAGTATGCCGACCTATTAAAGTATGTGTTGACCTACATGACTAAACAAGTGTGTTGGTTGGAGAGACCATTTTGGTATGGAGAGATCAAGTGTGTTGGTTGGACTCAATCAACAAGAGCAAAAAAGGGAGCAAATGTCAAAATTCATTAACTAATATCTACGATTTGACCTAATTAAAACCTGGTCAAATTGACAGCTGAACCCTAGTTTGACTCTATAGTCTGAACAATAGGTTGGCACACATTGACACTAACAATCTTTTACTAATCAAATCATAACTGATCTGATCTCCAACAATCAATATTCCTGGCTGTATAAATAGCCTTTTAGCATATTTTTCAATAGTATCTTAATCATTAATCATCTCTTTCTACACATCTTCTAATCCACTTAAGAAAGTATGTTGCAAATTCTTACATGCCCAAATTTCTTCAAATCATCCATAAAAAAAAGTTAGTATCTTAGGATTAGAACATATTTATATATTTGTAAAGTTTTTTTTCCTATGTGGAGAACACTTTGAGGGAGTGATTGTCATAAAGTAGAGAGGCAAGCTACTATCTTGATGTCCAGAATAGAGTCATATACTTGGGCATGTAATTAGTGGGCTTATTGTATTTAGTCATTGCTATTTTGACTATGGAACATTATACTATTTTCTAGTCACATGTTACTAAACACTACCCCTTGGCCTGATCTGATTGTGCCTAAAATGTATTCATACCTTATCAGGCATTTTAATAGTCCAATTGATGCATTTTCTTCTTCACTTCAGCTTTCTAATGAATATTTTCAACATAATATCTAAACTTTAAAGTCTTGCCAAAAAAAGCTTATCTTCATCATATGAAACTATGATAATTACTAGTATGCCTTAATTGAGTCAAACTTGATACACCCACCATGATAAATCAGAACATATCAATTGCTGTGTAGAACTTTATATGCATCCCATAAATCACTCTTTTACATAGATTGATTTGATCCTCAAGTTAATGTCACTAATTTCATAATTTTGTTCAATGTGAATTCACTCAATTACTCTTTCACATCATCTAAACATTAACTTTTGAACCCAAAACCTCAACCTTTTAAACCTTTTTTTCTCCCACAATATGGCTATAAATGTTTTCCTATACATTTCTTTTTGGATTTTTATTCCACATTTTCTGTGTGGATTGTTCTTTCACAGTTTCTTCTCTACAATTCTCCAACACTTCTTCTTTATTTTTTGTGACCATAAAAAATCAGGAAAAATGAATGACATTCAGGGATTTATTTCCACAATGTGCTTCATATGTAAGTTCTTGTTCCCACTATCTTCATGGCATTTCTTTCTAGTTGATTCTAGATCCCATCTTGTCTAAGAAAGGGCTCCGAAGCCATAATTTATTTGCAGGCTCATAAGTGAATGCTGTGGGGGTATTTGAGACTTGATCGCATGTGATTTACCTCGTAAGTGCTTGATAAAGTTTTTCTTCTTGAGTGAAAAAGCTCACAAAAGAGGTGTACTCTTAATTAGATAATGCATTGTTTGAAATTTTAGATTTAATTGTTGGCGAGGAAACTAGCTTTTGATCATACACTTGTATCCCAAGCAAAGAAGAATAGTTTTATCAATGTAATATGTCCTCATTAATCCTTAAATGATTTTTCCAGATAATTGAACTCGATAATGTTTGAGAATTCAAGAAATAAAGTGGTTTATTTTTCAGGTCTATAAAAAGTTAGCCTATACTAAACACTAAGGCTTCAACAAGCCTTTACTGCATTTATCAACTCTAAGGAAACAAAAAATAGACTAAGAACAATTCAATTCTCTTATAGGTTTCCTCCCAGTCTTTTTGCTTGATTTCTTTGATTGAGGATGAGGAAGCATTCATGAAGTGGTTGAATTGTTGATGCCTTTAGTAGAATATACTTTCTTTTCAATACTCAAGGACATACATTTCCTACATGAACTTTGTGAAGAATGGTGTGTGTTGTGGCTTTTTTTTGTATTATCCAACATTAATGTTAGATGAAATTCCCATATTATATACAGCATAGTGAACTCCCAATGGTCGTTTGCAACAGCTATAAAATAGTCTACTTAGTGTCACATCCACACTTGAAATTTAAGCTCTATAAAAATTTATAAGTCTTGTAGAAATTATAAATTTTGATACACCATTTTTCTACTCATATTATTTTTTAATTATATAACAGGTATATGTATAGTTATGCCTATAGTATTTATCATGGTTTAATATCTATTGTGATTTTTTCTTTAGTGAGTGCCATAATTTCATTGTTCTAACATCAACATTACCCTTTTTTATAAAAAAAAAATTAAGCTAGTAATAACACTTAGAAAGCGTTTTTGAAACTTAGGAAGATCACTAATCTTGTGTGAGCTTTAGACAAGAGAAATATAGTCTAGAACACTTTGATTAATTGAAGCACTATTAATTCTCACATTTTAATTTTTTTATGGAGAAGACCACTAGTGGTCAAAAAGAGATAAATTTCAGACACCAATAAAATAAGTAATATTTCATCATTTTTTATTATTCAGTTTTAGAAATGAATTGCAAGTTATAATCTCATTGTTAACCAAGCAAAATTATTTGATTCATTAAAAGAATCTCAAGTTATAATTTTTGCTTGGTTAACACAAATGAGAGTAACCATAGAAATATTTTACCATTTATCAAATTACTAAGATTAAACCAGAGAGAATGTACTCCAAAAAGGTGAAGATTCACATTTTCTTATTATTTTCTAACTTTAATTTATAATTTTCTTCCAAAGTTCCTCTTTAACATTCTCCAAAAGTGAATACATACAAGAGTTTGGACATGTTATCATGCTTGGTAGTTTTAGGTTAGTTGGAGATGTGCCCTAGTTGAGACTTCCACTATGTTTGGTATATTTTTATCTACTTAAATTAATGTAGTAGGAGTTATGGTTTGGATGCAAACCCTTATACTTAATTTTCATTAGTTTTAGACAAAGTATAATAGTCTACATATAGATTTTGTATGAATTTCTAGTTATTAACCTCATGCTTTCTTAAATTCTATGTTTATTTGGTCCTCTGATAATATAAGTATAATGAAAATTATATGACAAATTTGATAGGCGAGTCATTGTTTTGGTGAATCACAATGCAAATTACTCTACTCAATGTCAAAACTGTGGTACTCATACCACAAACACTCTAAGAATCATATTGAAGTCTTAAAGGTCCTGTTTTTCTGCATCATTGTTAGCTCCTTTGGAACATGTAGTAGAGTTACTTTGTTATTTTGTCTGACTTGTATTCCTTTTTTCAAATAATAGTGAAGCATCCTCTTGTATTTAGTCAACATAACCATTAGAGGAAAACAAGCTTAAATCTTGAGGGCTATGCTAAGATTTAAGTCCGAGTAAAAATAATACGATAACTCTTCATATAAGCTTGATGATTAAGAATTTCTTAGATTTAAAATCATATTATTTTTGTGTTTTTATCTAAGTTTTAATTTTAGATTACATGTATATTAATTAAATGCACGTGCGACAATGGAGCCCAACGGACATTGGAGAATAAAAAATAAAAAATTCATAATTTATGCTGTAAAACGGGTCAGCAATATCAGATATCTGCTCATCTCTCTGTCTCTCTATCTTCTCATATACATCAATCTCCTGGGGTTTCTGGTTGTTACCCCCCCTCTGCCCCCGTCTGACTTTCTCTGGGATATAACATCAGTGAAACCCACATGTAAGGGGAGGCTCTCGGGCGATGTCTCGGGGGATGTCCGGCAGTAATACCCCCAATGCCGCCGGCGACAGCAGCAAGGCCGCCGCCGGTGACTGCACCGGGGCGTGGAGGCTAGTCCTGGGCGTCTCCTTTCTATCGTTCTTCCTCCTCGCCTGGGAATTTCACGGGTTCTTTAGTACCGACGTCGGGCGCTCCTATTGGTCCGTCCCCCTCTCGGTTCCTCCACGGACACCCTCCCACGGAACCACCCTATCCCCCTTTCCCAGTCCTCAGGTAAGAGAAGGAGGCAGCGGCAGTGGGCCAAGGGTAGGGCGGAAGATGGGGGAAGGCTCCGATGACGAAAAGACCGCCACTTCCAGCGTCGTCCATGGCAGGGCGAGCTGCGGCGGCGGCGCCTGGGAGGTGGTAAGGGAGGAGTACACCTTCCCCCAGGGATCCGCCCCTTTCAGTAACTGCCACGCATCCACCATCGTCGAGGCAAGCATGAGCTTACCCGCCCCCCTCATCCTTCCCTCTCGGGGTTGTTACATTCTGATCGAGCTCTTCCGCCGTTTCGGTGACAGCTCGAGGAGGGCCAGTTCCTCGTTGCTTACTTTGGAGGTACCAGAGAGGGCGCCAACGATGTCAAGATCTGGCTACAGAGACACAGCGTGCGGTCATAATAGAACAAAAGAATGAGAAGCGTATGCGATCCTCCTTAAGTTTTTTCATAGATCGAGCTCCCCATTTTTGCAGGATGGGACATGGCAGCCTCCGATGATAGCCGACGAAGAAGCTGGTGTCCCGATGTGGAACCCTGTTCTGTTCAAGCTCCCCTCCAACGAGCTGCTCCTCTTCTACAAGATCGGCCAGGAGGTTCAAAAGTGAGTCCTCCCCTCTTATCCTGCTGCCAGACCATGACCATGTGCTGTGAGCTATATTAATTACCATGGGCGGATGGAAACGGCAGATTTCTGTTGGATCCCATACCGATTGATGGGAATACTACTTAGTTGGTCATTTGAGTCGGGAGGGAATTTATTATTCTCCCTCCATTACCTGGAGGAAACCCGTACCCTCTCCCTTTCGATCTATCCACTAGCTGTCACCCTCTTGAATCGCTTCGGCATCCACCGATGAGCTGATGAGCTGAGCTGCAGAGAGGCCTTGTCTCAGACGTTTGGAGGCTGAGTCTCTCGACACTTCGGTGCTTAGTAGTTGTTCGTCACAACCCCCGTGAAACAGGTGTCAGTTCAGATTAATTATGGAACATCACGTTCTTCTCCCAGTCCGTCAATTGAAGGAAGAGCTTTCCTGGCGGAGTCTGGTGTGCGCCATTACTGAATTCTGCTCATATCTGGTCGTTGACTGCGAGATGCGATCTGGGCTGACTACGGATGAAAACTCAGGTGGAGCGGGTGCATGAGGCGATCGTCCGACGACGGGATCAGCTGGTCCGACCGGGAACAGCTTCCTCCGGGTGTTCTGGGCCCGACCAAGAACAAGGCAAGAGAGATGGCTATCATCCAGTCCACGCGGCACGAGGAGGTAGAAACATGCCTGTAACACCGCTGTTTGCTTGCTTGCTGCAGCCCATCTTGCTGGACGACGGCCGTCTGCTCTGTGGATCCTCCGTGGAAAGCTGGAATTCGTGGGGAGCGTGGATGGAGGTGATTAGATTACTAGCGCAGAGAGCGAGAGAGAAAGGGAGAAAGCGAGGTCGGCGTACTCATGACGGCGGCTCGTGTAACGCGTATGGCTGGCAGGTCACCGAAGATCGCGGCCGGACATGGAGGAAGCACGGGCCGATATACATCCAGGACCAGACGCTGGGGGTCATCCAGCCGGTGCCGTTCTTGACTGCGCGAGGAACGCTGCGCGTTCTACTGCGTTCGTTCGAGGGCATCGGGAAAGTCTGCATTGCCGAGTCGTCGGATGGAGGCCTGACCTGGAGCTACGCAGAGCCCACGCAGCTCCCTAACCCGAACTCAGGTTCATCGTTTACATCTATTTAGTCGACCCGCGGCGGCGCTCCCCTCTCCAGGGAGGGACGACGACGCGACGAGGACTCACGGTTGTGGGGATATCCCGCAGGAATCGACGGCGTGAAGCTGAGGGACGGGCTTCTGCTGCTGGCCTACAACACGGTCTCGAGGGGTGTGCTGAAAATAGCCGTCTCGGAGGACGACGGGGATTCCTGGGTGGAGGTCATCACCTTGGAGGACACACCGGGGATGGAGTTCTCCTACCCCGCCGTCATCCAGACCAGCGACGGGTCCGTCCATGTTACCTACACCTACAACAGGACCCAGATCAAGGTGAGCTAAGGCGGATGAGGGGGATGATGACCGTACTGCTTCCCTAACTTGGATTCTCTCTCTCTCCTGCAGCATGTCGCTCTCCAGCCTCGGATCATCTTGACACCATGATCGGAACCGCGGCTGAACGATGCGGTGAAATCCCAGAACAGGGCCTTCTTTTCGGAGGAAAAATGTTCTTCGAATTGATATTTTAAGGGAGGGACAGATTCCATCCGAGGACATTTAATGGCGGCAGTCGTCGCCTTGTTGGGAGAACAGATTCCACTCGCACAGGGCGGCATAACACCGAAGATCATCTCGTCCGAGGGCTGGTTTCTTACCAGGCAGTAGCAGGCGGACACTTCTGCAGAGCCTCCGTCAGGTTCTTGACCGCCTTGTCGTAGGAGACGAACCCCATGAACCAGAGCTCGTGGCCCGCCGTGGTGAGAACCTGGATGTACTTGTCCGAGGGGTTCATCCTGTTCGGAGAGGGCACCACCGCCAGCACCTGGCTGAGCTCCAGGACAACCTGCGCAACGGATGATGGATGAGCACCTCCCTCTGACGTTCTCACAAACGGGGAGCTCGGAGCCACTGCATACCTTGTGGTGGGCTGATGGCGGCTGCCCCCGAGCGGCGGAGGGGCCATGATCGCTGCAGAAGGCCAGCCTTCTCGTCGACAGATAGAGAGTCCCAATGGCGGGGCCGGAGGGCGTTGACAGGTAGCAGGCGTACGCCTTCCGGAGCTTCTCCCCCGGGAGGATACCAAATGTCTGCTCGAAGAGCTTGTCGCGCCCCCCTTCGGCAAATACCTTCGTCCCCGTCGCGAGGCTGCTCATCGCCGCATCCGTGAGGTTCGGGGCCGTCCTAACTGTGTCAAAGAACTGCGGCTTTTCAGAGAGGCAGAAATGGAGGGAGAGATAGTAGGAGAGAGAGAGAGAGAGAGAGAGGGAGTACGGTGCTGCCAGAGGTGATCGGCGGCTGTCCCAGCATTCTTGGCGCCCTTCTCCAGCTTCTTCCCGCATCGACCCAGCACCTTCACAACCGTCTCCATGGAAGCTGCTGGGGGGGGTAGGCCGCCACGCTGAGAAAGGGGGAGGCAGTAATACACAGGTAGAGAAAGAGCGAGCGGGGCTACAGCACTCACCCGTCGCCGAGGAGTGGGAGGCGGGGGCCGTCTGCACGTAAGGATTGGCTTCATGGGCACCGCGATGCACATACGGATTTACCCCTTGAGCGGCGGTGGCGGCGGGGGGGCCGGAGGTCGGCGCAAAGGGATAAGCTTCACGGGAAGGGCCGGCACCGTAGGGGTGATTCATGTGGCCGGGACCCGACGGGGTGAAGTAGGGGGGCGGCTGCGGGTTGGGCTGCTGCGGAATCGGCGTGCCCATGACCCACGCCCCGCTGCTGCCCTTTCCCCCTTCCATTCGTGCGGCCTCTTCAATCCGCGGTGGTTCTCCCTGCTCACGGAAACGAAGATCAAGTGCCATTTTTCAGATGGCGTTCCCTGCCCTCTGATCCGTTATTCCGGCTGTGGAGGCCGGAAAGAGGAGGGAGATCGAGAAAGAAAGAGAGATGGAGAGAGAAAGGAAGGAACAATCACCTGTGGTGGCTGCGACGGGGGGGACGGCGGACTCGCACGAGGCAGAGGAAAAAAAGGGGAAAACGGAGGCAGGGGCCTACGAAGGGGAGGAGAGTGGCGATGAAGCAAGAAGAAGAAATAAACCCTTGAGAGGTCGGCGTGGGCCCTTGGCCCTCCTCTTTCCTCGAGCTGGAGGTCCCGACCAGTCTCGATACAAAAATCTTTTGGCGCCGTTGACCTGGCGCTCAATACGAAAATCGACGATTGAAGCATCTGAGGCCGCTCGAGGATACACGACAGAAGGCATTGTTCTATCTCCAAACTGAAATTCACCTTCACTAATTTATTTCCATAATTTTTCTTTTCTTTCTATCTTGAACCAAAAAAAATATAATAAAAATATATATATATTTGACCCACCGCAGCCTATCCCGACAAAGTCAGGATAACTCCCAACAACAAAAGAACCGAGTCACCGGACCCACGCGGCTACTGAAAGTGTACGATAATGATCCAAAGGTCAGGAGGACATTCCTCCCCCCTGCCCCCGCGTGTACTTGTGGACCAAGCTAACAGATAGGGCTGGGCTGGAGCATTCTGGGCCTTGTCACTTCTCACGGTCCCCGGCCCAGCCGCAGTACGCCCGCGCCCTATCGGCGGCGCCGGCCACGTGGCCACGACACGCCGTCCCCAAAATCCAGGGGAGTTGGGATCCGACGTGGAAGGAAAAAAGCAGGCGCAGGCCACGCTCGGGGAGCGCGGCTACGCGTTCAGGGAGCGTGCTGGCGGGAGGGCCGACACTCGGCCCTCCACGTGGACATCGCCATCGAATCGGACGGCTTGCGAATATCCCAGGCCACCGGCATCTCGCATGTTGCTTTTAGATTCCCCTAGTTTCTCGCGTAATTCCCACCTGCCCGCCTGGCTGCGCGGAGGGCCTCCCTCCCCTCCCTAATGATATTCGAATGCAGTGCAGAGAAGGAAGGGGTGGGGAGGAGGCGACGACCAGGTCACGATCTGCTCGAGGCTCCGGAGGCGGGGCCGCCCATCGGTTACGTGATCCGCCGCCGGGATGGCATCCTCGCCGGCCCTCGGGGGTCGGCCGCTCTTCTGCGTTGGGAACTGGAGGGAGGACGGCCACCGACGGCGATGGTGGCTCTCTCTCCGGTCGGGAAAGCGGGAATCGCCTGCCGCGGTGATCGCGGGGCGGGGCGCCTGCTACGCCTCGGCGGTCCCTTCGCGGACGAGCCTTGGAAAGGGAAGGTGCAGTGAGGAGAGAGACGATGAGAGCGGCAACCGGGAGGCGGCATCGTCGGAGAAGCTTGACGAGTGGATGCGGGAGAGCGTAGTCGAGGTACGTCCGGCGGCGGGAATTCTATTAGTTAGACGATCAAATGAATTGATCATGGCGGTTCTTCCATCTCCCGGAAATTTTTATTTCTCGCCGACACCGTCTGTCCTCTTTTGCTCGAGCAGATCGTCCGGAACATCGGGGAGGCGCCTTTCCTGATGGCATGTCTTCTCGATCGAGGGCTCGGACCGCAACGTCGCCGCGCCGCTGAGGTTGCAGATGGAGGCCGCCAGCGCGGAGAGCTGGCCGGCCATCAGACGCAAGTGGGACCGCGGGGCGGCGAGGCCGCCTGACGGTATCGTCCTGGTGGAGGAGCTCGCGGGGGACGTGGAGAACTCAGACGCACCCGCAGAGGAGAGAGGTTGGTCGAAGACCTGGGGCGTGCCGGTGCAGGCGCGCGGGCAGGATACGTCGGCGGCGTGCTACATTCTCAGGACCTGCCGGGTGCCGTCGGCGGCGGGACACAGCACGCATTTCTGCCTTGCGAGAGCCAAGTGCTTCGGGGATGCCGACGACGCGCAGCTACGGGAGGTCTGGCTTCTGCGGAGGTCCCAGCAGAAGCATCAGCGGCGGCGACGGCGGCGGGGGTGGTGATTCTCGCCGCCATCACCACATCCTCCTCTCCCCCGTCAAGAACCCCACCCCCCAATTCCTCAACTTCTCTGAATTGTTTCTTCTGAATTTTTGCGTCGTTCGTCGCTGTCAACACCAGCCGCGTCGCCGTCGGGAGGCATATGGAGTCATAATGATCCAGTAGAATTTACAGAAACTGCGTCCCAGGATAGAGCGCAGCGACGGAGGATGGAACGGACGGAATCCAACCCCGTAGCTGGCTTCAGGTGCACCCAAGATGGGATTACCATGCGGCGTTAGCAATCAGATAAACCGCCTCGCTACCAGAGGCCTCGACGAAACAACAACGATATGGGCAAAACTAGTCTCGCATTTCGGATGGTAGCTAACATCACGGCCTAAGCTGGCCACTGCAAAGTACTTACCCTCGGGGAGATCGCCGCAAGCGAGGAGAGGTACGCGGAGAGCCTCTGCCAGCCTCCGGTGCCGCCGGGGCAACCGCCCCCACGCTTCTCCTCCCTTTCGAGATCTCCGACGAGGTGCCGGACTCGACAGGAGCAGGGGAGGGCATGGTTCCCTCCTCGCGGGGATTCCGAGCCCGTGGAGGAACACCGGACGCAGAAAGAGACGAGTCAGATCTGGGAGTCCTCCCCTCACGATTCGAAATGCCAGCCACCCTGTCGAACTCGTCTCCGAGCTTCCTCGCGCTCGTCCGCCGAGGACGGCTCGAGGAGGGCTCTGATTCCTCAACCACTAGCTTGGTCTGTCCTGACGAGTCGGAATCGAAGGCGCCATCGTCGGGGATGACCAGCCGCCGCCTCTGCCTCGGCCGGGGAGTAGGAATAGCCTTGACGGCACGTTCCTCATCTTCCTTTTCTTCTTCCTCCACGCCGTCATCTTCGATTTCTTCCGCCGGATCCACAGCACGGAGCTTCCTCTTCTTCCCTGCTTCTTCCTCCTTTATCTTCTTTGTGGCCTCGCTTCTACCCCTCCTCCCAGCCCTTTCCGCCTCGGCCCGGAGCTTCTTGATGGAACCTTCGATGCGGCCCTGGAGACGGTGGCGCTGGAAGCTGAGCCCCCCCATGGACCAGTGCGCTTCCCGGGCCCAACCGAGAAGAGGATCGAGGGCTGCCGGAGGGGGATCCACACGCTCGTCGTTGAACTTCACATTGGGGTAGAACCGCGGCCTCGGCAACGCGCTGCCATAGAAGCGCCCCGGCCTCAGAGCCACCACTACCATCTTCGCCGCCGCCGGCGGATTGCGGGTGCGATCGGAGGGGAAAGATAGGCAGGGGAGAGTAGAGAGAGAGAGAGAGAGAGAGAGAGAGAGGGGTACAGAGGTACAGAGAGGGAGAGGCCCGGCATTGTATTTATGGGAGGGAGAGCGGGAGGGCGGGAAGCGGATTTGGGCGCGTTCTTTTGGCGCCAGTTCCGGCGAGCACGCTGAAATCACGGCAGCGCGGGAAAAAGGATCTGTTTGGCGCCGCAAAATGGGATCCTACTCGAACGCGAGTTCCAGGAAGGAAAGTAACGTCATTGCTCCATGGGATGACCAAAAGGGGCCAGCCGAATAGCTGTACTGTTCGTAGCAAAGGAATCCGGCAGTCAAAGAAGAAGTCATCATTTTTCTTCACATCCCAATATGTACTTCATAAATCATGGCCCCATGTGACTTTTATGCACAAAATGAAAACCAAGGACTTTCATTTGATCAATCAGAAGGAAGAGAAGAGAGAAAAAGATGACATAACCCATTAGGGACGTGGACATCAACGTTTACTCTAAGATGACGTAACATTCATATGATAACGAATGTTTCATTAGACGTGGAGACATGTAAAAAAACAAAAAAAAAAGCTTCAACCCATAACTCAATGAATTAATTATTAATCTTGACCTTCAAGACTCTTACTAATCTTTTTTTGAAATTTCTCTTTGGAACCTGCTTAAGGAATCTCATATTGAATACAGCATTAAATGGAGAAATTTGAAGTGCTTTGTGTTCGTCCTCTAGCTACCAAGAAAATCACACTATATTTTAAAACAAACGTTGAAGTTGAGAGCATAATTCGAGGAAGTAATGACATAACCAATTAGGGATCTCATCTTATCTTAGATTACCCATCGACAATCTTAATCAACATAAATAATCAGTAAGTAGCATTATTATATTCTTCTAAAATGCGAGGCCTACATATGAAGCACTTTTGAGGTAATGAATGATCTGCTTTATAACCCTTTAATGAACACTTTTATTTTCCTATATATCTGATTACATATCATTGTACACATAATCTTACGAATAGAACTTACATATGATGTTGAATTCAAAGTCCCACTTAGATCAAAAGTTATGTGTTAAATTAATCCGTCTAATTTAACATTTGGTCAATTCTTTTAATTTACTTAATTTGTTTCTTCTGATCCTAGGTTCTCTTGAATTTCTTAAATCTAGTTCTTAAAAACTCCAAAAAATTTATTGTGATCCAGGCCCTTGTCTATGTCTACTCTCTAAAAACATGACATTCTTAGGTTACATTAGCCAAACATTTAATTAGCAATTATTGATCATCGAGCTCAACTCTCACAAAATTTTACCTATAACATTTTTTTTTGATCCACAGCTCTAGGTTGGCCAAAGTTGGTTATTATGATCAACTCACTTGTATGATTAACCCAAGATAATTATAGGTTTATTCCATACAAAATGAAGAAAAATATCATTGTTAGATTTTTCTAGTAGTCAACTGAGACATTAATCATGTATAAGGGCTAAATGAATTAGATTTTTAACACAACTGATTAAAGTGGTTTTATCTAAAAGAATATGCCATTGAGCTTTCTGCCAATTATTGCAAAGCTTATTCATTAAAGAATCTAGTATAGTAAACCACACATTAAGATTTGAAGTATTGATTTAGTTATGAATTTTATATTTTTTATGGTTATATTTTTCTTTGTATTTAAACCCACGCACAATCTTTTAAATGTCCTCTCAACTAGCCATTGAGACAATCATTTGAATTGGTTAATCATGGATAAATAAGGTACTTTTATTCAAATTACGGTAAGATTAGTGGAGATCAAAGGGAGGATGAGAAAAGATGGGAGACTGCCTTCATTGCACTAATCTTCCACCTCCAAGAGTCTCCAAGATATTTCCCTCATCATCCAAGAAACTCGACTGCATTCCAAACCTTCAACCATATGTAACACACCAAAATATTAGTTGTTGTTCTTTGCCCACTAAGGGGATTCACTATACTAACCTTCTTTAGAAATAAGTTTCTCTATCTTAGAAAAAGATGTCAGTACATGAGCCAAATATTTTCTATTATTCATCTCGTGTTAAATAAAAATGTGAGGAACTCTTGAAGTATTGATATCACTTTGCTCATTGTAAAAAAAATGATCAAGTTTCAATTTTTTTGAAAATAATTAAAAACAATTAATTTTTTTTTGATGAATTCATATCTTCCACAAGGGTTAATCTCAATATAATATTTTCTAAATAATTTAATTTGAAAATAAATAAATAACAAAGAATAAAAAGGAAAAAATGATTTTATTTTGGTTTTCATGTTCTTAAATGCTCAATGATTTGATGTGTTCCTACGTTTTCTAATTGAATGATGGCACTAGGCCTACAAAAAAAATTCAGAGAAAATGAGATAAATAAATGACAAAACATAAACTTAAAATCAGGCAACATAGGAAAGAAGAGAGAAAATATGACTACTAGTAGGGAGACCACACCAATGGTGAAACGGGAAAATTATTTTGATTCGAATCCTTAAAAAAAGTTGAGTAATATATTAAACTAAGTGGCTTAAATGATTGTAATCAAGTAAAATTCTACTTAAAAAATTAGAATTACACCAAAAAATGACTTAAAAAAATAAAAATCAACAAACAAACTCATTCCTATCTATCACCTAGGAATAGATATTCTTGCGGACAGAAACTAAAAGGTTTAATCTCACCTTCTACTTGTGACCTAGATGATAGAATAAGAAAAAAAATGAAAATCAAAGCAAATAAAAATAGAAATCAAATTCAAGAGCATCCCATGTTGCTCAACCTCTCTATTGTTCAAAAATTGAGTACTGGAAAATAATTGTGGAATTGATCTAAAAAGTGGTAAAAAAAAGAATTTAAAGCCTTAGTCTCGTTGTGTGCTTGTCACACAGATGACGGATTAAAAAAGAATAAAAATAAAACATAATCAACAAATAAATTGAACTCATAAGTGCCCAATGTCACTTTGCTCATCAGGGCTTATCGCCCAACAAGAATTCATCTCAAAACGCTTGAAAATTGATTAAATCACTTGATTTTATTCATCTCAAAACCTTCCTCCTTTTCTTTAGAAATTTCTTCTAATCTTTGTGTAAAAATATCTCATTCTTCATTTCATTACTCAAAGTAGAATATGGAAGATGATGTATTCATGGATGACATAGCATAAATATTGACCTCTTCATTCATTGATTAATGCTAACATGGCCAATAAGGCCTTATGTCTTATTGATGTGGCCATGAATCGTTAACTTTTTGGTCAATTATTTTGATAATTTTAAAAATTAATAAAAAAATTAGTAAAAAATCTCTTCATAAATTCTCTAAAAACTCTAAGAAAAATCTATTTTCAAAATTTTAACTTAATAATTATTTTTCTGGTCAATTTTAACATAATTATGAAAAATTAAAACCTTGGATAATGTTGTTAGTACATGGATTAAAAATAAGAATATACAATCATATTACCTAAGTTATGAAAATGACCAAATCAAGCCTATATTCATAAGATAATTCCGAAACCAATACTAAAAAGTTTTAACTTTAATAATTCGTATTTTATTTGAATTTATGTGATTATTTATTGAATTTAAGCTTAGTTATTATACAAAATAAGAATTATCAAGTACCTACCACATGTTATTGTGTGTGGCTAGAATCATAACTCTATGTATGAGGGTTATTAGATATCCTTGAAGTTTCAAACATTGGTAAACAAAGTGATCATTTCAAGCAAAAAAATCATCATAATACTACAACTTAAAATATGAGAATCAGATATTACTTGAGGTTTTCTTGTAAAAGGTTAACATGATTAATACGTTTCAGCTATTAATTTATAATTAATTAACTTTATTTACACATCTAGAAAATCTTTCATACTAAATTACTCTCATACCTTCTCCTTGTACTATTTTTGAGACAAGTAAAAATCTTCTAGTGGTATGGTTTCTAGTAATTTCAATTCTTCTTTTATGTTCTAATATCTTTAATCTCAAGTTTACCACTTAACTAAGATTTTAATTGATAAAGTTTGACATCTTCTTGACATCAAGCAACATGTCATCAATGTAAGACAAGAATGAAATAAATAAATCTAAAGGGGGAAGAGAGAAGAAACACCCGCTGACTGATTTTTCTCTGCCGACGGTAGAACAGGAAAATACTTTCCGATGTAATCTAAGAAAACGTCGGTGACTTTAGAAAGTAGTTAGACTCGAGTGGCTTTATACCAATTAATATTCACAGAAAACATTCAAATCACAAGCAGATCGCCTAAACACGAAATCGTAATGAAGATTCTCCCCGTCTGTCATCCAGGGACGAAAAAAAAGTTGCTGAAACAAAATTTGAGCTCGAAATTAACAAAGAAGGTAAACGAGCGGGATGACAGTATAATTCACCATGTACTTGTCACCCACACGGCCAGACAAGTCAAAAATGAAAATAAAACATGATTCAGACAGAAATTTAGTTCGTAAACTCACACTTTTCGCTGCTCTGCTTATCTCCGTCCGTCACCCTGTCGCTGGGATCCATCTGTTGCCGTCAGGCTCCATCTCCCGTTGTCAGGAATGAACCTGGCGCCGCCGCGAACGGTCGCCCTTCCTAGGTTGCTCCCCGCCAAAAAGGGCCGCTTTCCGCGTGCCCTAAGGTCCCCTTCTCCTTCTCTCTTCCTCTCACATAACCCTCAACAATCGCATTGATATTGAGCTCGTCATCATCGGTCCATTACCATCTCACAACGTCCTCCATAAATTCACCAATCACTCCAAGAAAAATTTTGTTTTCCCTAATTGTAATTTTATAGCGTTTTCCTGTCAATTTTGAAATATTTCTCAGGGGTATACGTCTTGGACAATCATGTTAGAATAGGGATTAGAAAATCGAACAGAAATTTCTCAGAAATAATATGTAGATTTAAGCAGGAATTTATGAAAC